TCTCGAAACTTTTTTTTACAATGAACGTGTCTTACGATGTATTATTTGAACCGGAATGAATATATTGACTTCCGTGGATTTTACCTAAAATACGCATCTATCTTTAGAGAAACGTCTCCAGCAAAAAACATGTGACTTAATGTTAGGTTTTTTTTAAATGGCCGATTCCTTGTTCCAATGCTCATAGTTGTATATTTCGTCATACATATACATATTTCTCACTGTTCTGTCCACAAACCTGTACTGCAATGATTTATGTATCTGTTAGAAAGCTTATCCGCTGTTTTGATTACCACCCTGTGTATCGACCTGTAACATGATCTTGGCAGAAGCGTAAGCTGCAACTACAACATACCTCCTCATCTATCTTCATGCTAAACCACGTGTTTCAGTGGCCTGGGTCATAAATCATCCTGGTCATAATCTCTATAACGAGGGCCTAGATAATTTCGGGCAGTAACAATTAGGGACTTGATGGTTCCATTGAAATAATTAGGACTGTTTTTCTGGTCTCGCAATCAGTTAACATTTCCGAAAGATTACTATTTTTGGACCTATAGAGGTTAGTGAGTTTGAAATGAAATACAGGGTGGATATTCTAACGATATGAGACTAATGCAATTATGGGCATAATTTTGGTCACTGATCAAAAATGATTTTTCAGTGATAAACTTTATAAAGAATAATTTTATCTAGAATCAGCATTTTTGTCGATGAATACTCCAAGGAATGACAATATTTACCCCTTGCGATTTCTTTGTAGACAAAAAAATCACAGTTGATAGTCGAATGTCACACGATCAGCATTTACTGTGGTCCTTACGATCAGTATTTACCGATGGTTCCGTCAGTATCAGTGGATTCTTATGTAACCTTAGACATCAGTAATTATTGACGTCCAGGCTTTACGTTCAATGAATATCACATTCCATAATAAATACTGATGGATCACTGTAAATACTGGTCATGTGACATTAGGGAGCTTTTGAAATACTGCCATCCATTATTACTGCCGACCTTTCAATAATGATATAAAATAAGTAGAAACTGATCTTAAAATTGTTTCAGAATTAGATAGAGTTATTGGGTGCATTTCTGTGCACAATTTCTAGCCCAGAAATATTGGGATAAAATATCCTGTTTAAAAGTATACCAACACTGATTTAATTCGAATAATCTTATTAATTATAAAGTTTTGCTATTGTTTTTGTACTTCTTCGTGTTTTGCAACTCGTTTGAGGTAAATATTAGTCTTTTTGGTTTGAATTTTACGGCCAAAGTATTCATGATTTTCACTAATTAAATTTACAATCAGCGAAAAGTACAAAATAATAGCGAGAAAATGGCGAAGGAAACAACTTTCCGTATATAATTTATTTTATCTGCGAAAACTTCTATAAAAAGTAAGGTTATTCGCACAAAAAAGAAAAAAAAGCCTTGGCTGTTCCACGATTTTAAGGGTCCTGTAATAGTGGCAGGCACTAACTTTATTAATCCCAAGTCTTATTTTTGTTTTACTGCACCTGCTCAGATGTCAAATCCGGCCAGGAATTATTAATGGCTGACTTTAGTGGACGTTCAATAACTCCCTATTCACCTTAAGGTAGATGCTCGGATGGTTTGTGTTGAATCCCTATTTATTTCTTAGTGGTCACTTATAAGCTTACTCATTTTTCGCAGTTTTGTATAATTATGCTTAAATCGCGTCTAAATGAAGTAATGCCTGACTCCTGAAATCGATTGTAAAATGGCGTTTTCATTTAAAAACCAACCTTAAGTAAATAAAACGTAATCTAACCTATTTTTAAATAATAGCATGGTCGGTCATTTTGCTTCCAGTTTTGTCATCTCTCCAAATTTTACGCTTATTGATAGAAGGAGAACTTAAAGAAACAACGTAGTACTGGTAAACGCAAACATTTAAGGATTCAATTGTGCCTTATACATATCTCCATAGTTTTCAGTGTTTGTTGTTTTGGCTGCTCTGGTAGTCTTTTTAAAAGTACAGAGTTGTATGTGTGTTATTTTCAATTTTCCAATTTTTCTGATAATAGCCACACGAGATAATGTTCAGAATTTATAAAAACATTTTTTTGTATTTTCAAAAGTCCGTGAACTTTAGGGCAATCGTTTAGCAAAAATCTAAATACCGTTAAACTTCATTCTTGGATCATTTCCAATTTTAGATTATATTTGATGAAGCCAAATAACCTTGAGTGGGCTGAAACCTATTTTTCGTTAGAATGCTTTTTCAATAAAGCTATTTCTATCATCATATCAACACAATAAAAAGTGTTATTCTTCGTATGATTAACATCCTCTGAAGTTTTATTTTCTATCGGAACGCCCGAACAATCAATTTATCTTTACATTGTAAGCAAGATAGTAAATCGCTTAATTGCTAGTCCCGTTATAAATCTGTTGATTTGTAGTCATCATAATTATTTCAACAGTAATATTAATGTATTCTGTATAGAGGTTAAGTGTTGTTTTATGGTGTCAAGTTTCCGTATGATTGAGCTATGTTATGTTTAGGCTGAAATAACGTGCAGCATGATTGATATATGAGCAATTTGAGATAAAAACTCAGAGGCCGAACAGTTCTTAAAAAATGTTTTGTTTATGACCCATCCGTGCAAGGGATAAAACGGCAATCTCAGTTATGTAGCCTGTATAAAAATAAACACCAAACAGCTATTACAAACCATGTACCACACCCGCATTATGCTACAAGGTACAGATACTCCAACTTGGAGACCCTCTGTAGAAAGCTACCCATGTGAATGCACCCCATAGACACTTGTTTTACCGATGGGATCTACAATATATTAAATTTAAAAAATAATCGTAAGCCCTTTTCATTCAGCATTCTGCACAGTTATTTTCACGAGTGGGAAAAGTTTGATGAAATAGACCAATGGTACTGTTATATTGAGAAGATAACAGCGTTTAAACTATTATAGTATCGATCAGGTTAGGTTAATAAAAAGATGAAAGTTTAATTATTGCTTTCGGTACTTGCGTTATCATTTGTCAAAGAAAATTCAATATTTGTATTTCTTAGAAATACAAGCTTTTACTTGAGACCGACCGCTAGATGGCTAGAGAGGTATTATAAGGGTCATTGCCTGACTGTAATAATACAGTTAATAAATGCAAGTCATCCTTGCTGTTGGCTATGTTTTTCTCCTTTAGCAAGAAGTCGTGTTTCCTGTTTATGTTCATTAATGGATGAACACGTTTACATCTGCTAACTTTTTGTTGTCTGTTTTGCTGGTCAGTGCTCCTTGCTTTATATCTGGAGCTCTTCATTTCAAAATATGGTGTATATGCTCTCCAATTAGAAATGTGCAAACGCAGCCAGGTCCGGCACTAGCAACAGAACGCAATCAGGTCAGGCACGTTGTTGCAGCCGCCGCACAGTTGTACGAAACTGTTCAAAAGTCTGGTAATATGCATTTTTCGAAAATACTAATCTGAATTGTCATTATAGACCACTCAAGAAGAGTTAAATGGACTTTTATGCGTCAAAATTACCTCTTTAACAGTGGACAGTATGTATGGTATGAATATCACAGTATGTATTTCCCCTAAAATACTCATGAAACTGGTATACAGGGTGATTCACAAGTCGTGACCAAAATGAAACATCATACACAAGACCGTATTTTAAGGGGGGTCTGTTATGTAACATTTTTCCTCGAGGGTTTCATTAAAAAGATACGGGGTTTGAAATTTAAAAATAAAAAACAATTTATTTAATATCTTCAAAACTAAAATTTGGTCTGTGGATTTACCTAAGTATTGTCCACATTCAAAAGTCTTTGTTTAGAATTAACGTGCGCCAGTGGCGAAGATATAGGGGATTAGTGGCATTATTTTTACAAATAAAAATAGTACTCCACTTTTTTTTCGAAACGCGCAATTTTTTTAATTTTACCTTCAATTTGTGACAAATAATTACTCTTGTGTTTTTTCCTAGAGTGCATTGTTTTCGTGAAAATAAAAATCAAATTAGATAATCAAAGCTTTATTTCAATAAATGTTCAAAACGACCACCATTCTAGCGGATATTTTCGCAAAATTTGTTGTGGCTTGAATTTGATGGAACGCATTATCTATTTTTTCTTGTAACAGAAGACCCCCTTTGAAATATGATCCTGTGTATTATGTTTCATTTTTGGTCACGACTTTTGAATCACCCTGCACATCATGGCAGGTACATAATTTAATGTGATTTCTTGATTTTTGTTGTTCTACGCGGATAGCTCATTTTTACGGAGTTTGTTGGTTGGAACAAGCATGAGTTCCTCAAGAGACCGATCATTCACGAAGCACTGCAGTCTTCGCTTCTTCGCCGTAAGTCCTGCTACCGAAAAATCTTTGGGATCTATTTAAAAAATGGTCTAGAGAGGTCATGAAAACGCAAAACGATTTCAATTTCCGTTTCTATGCGGAATCGCACAAGAACCCGCTGTTGCGTGAGTTGTGAGTTAGTAGACTACACAGTTGAGCAAGTTTGCAAGCACACAAGACCGCGGCTCGCACTGTGAACAAAATCAAGTCGAGCAATTGTAGGTCCAACAAAAATTAAGATTTTTCCCACACATACAAATTCCTAAATTAATTTTTGGAACAATTTAAAATTACCGAATACTAATTAACAATACCAAGGCACTACTTCAACTGACACACTTCCTCCTCTTTGCTCGTTCCCCTTCCTTCCTTTCTTTCTTCTTCTCTCCTTTCTTCCTGACTTCGACTGGTATCTGGGCAACCAGACCTGACAGACCTAACAACCTATGATACTTTAACAAAGAGCAAACGTCCCACGGACCGCTCTGGATAAAATTGTTTCGTTCTGAGTATCTGCAACATGCATTTTTACACCTATAGTGTTTCCCACTCTGTCAAATGACATGTTTGCTTGTGTCCCTGCGACAATTTATTTTTTCAGCGAATTGTAAACTGAAATTTTTAATAATTTCCCGTTGTTTCAGATTTCCCTCTATGTTCGACCTAGAGTTTAATAATCTGTACTGGCAAACTCTGCGAACTTCAAACGGAACGTTTCAACTGTATGGGGCATATTTGGACAAAAGGACCAACAACCGACTTGGGCCGACGGTCCGGATATTGGGGATGATTGACAGGATAGAGCCGACCGTCGTCACGTACTGCCAGTTCTGGTTCGACGGGAAGAAGGATCCTATAATCGGAAAGAGCTTCGAATACAAATACATATGGTAATTTATTCTATTAGTACTGACATACCTGTCTTGCTGTCACTACAAAGAATGACACTGTTGGTCACTCCGTCGAAGAAAAAGTAGAAATTTGTAGTAATGGGAACTAAAAAATCATCACAAGATGTAGATTTTTCCGATCTCTTTTCAAGCCTATAATTTGAAAAGTACACGACTTATTTTTTTATATTTTTCTGATAACTATTATGACTTGGCCTATCCCCCGTTTCCAGCTTGACGCCGACTTCTGGGACACCTTGTATAGAAAAAGTTTTTAAAGACAGTTTTGTAGCGTATCACATAAGCAATAGAAGTTGACTCTGCGATATTTTCATATCTACGTTCGTTTACGAGATTGTGCCTATTTTCTTAGAGCTGTCATTATGTGAATGAATTCTCGTATGCGGGATTTTTGAGCCACCTGGTTGATAAAATAGTTTTTTGGACAATTTACCAAAATTACAAAAGATGTGCAGAAATAGCTGAATTTTTACTATAATATATATATATATATATATATATATATATATATATATATATATATATATGGTGTGTCCTTTTTTTCCCTCTCCATCTTCGTTTCCTCAGGTTACACCCGTATCCGGATGTGTGGGAATGTATATCTACTTTTGTAGTTTCATATGTGCATTCATTTCGGGCCTGATGAAGCCAACCAGCAGAAATACGTATCGCTCGGGTTACCTATCCTATTTTCTGCTCGAATCCACTTTCCTCCTTTTTGCGGATTTTGCCCATTAATTTCCTACTTATTGTTTAAAGGACCGCAACAAAAAAAGTTTTTCAAACATTTTTCAGTCCCTGCCTACCGCAGAATCCGGAACTTTTTGACAGGCTAAAGAAGAGTATTTCAGTTACCTGAATTCGAATTTTCATCTATTATAGAATTTTTGCAAGGTAGAATAAAAGCTGATTATCTAGTAATATTTCAAAATGACACATAATTATGGCGGAAGCGTCAACGCCAGGTAGACAGAGCCGTATTTTGTTTTGGTTTTCGGAACGCTACAGATTTATTTTGTACTTGCTAACAACTCGTTTATTTAAAAAACTTCATTTTCATACATAAAAAAACACTACAACAGTAGACGTCAAAACGTAATGGATACTCGTGAAATAGGGTTTAGAAGCACGGTTAAATTTAGCCAATTTCACTACTAAATCAAGCATTACTGTCATTTTAGAAACTAAACGCAATGACAAGTCGTTTTTACTTCCCACGCCTAGTGCCGGAGAGAGTATTGTAAACGCGAAAAATTTCGAAAATGAGATATGTTTTTCGCATGTTATATGACATGTATATCACAAAAAATCATATCACCCATTTCTGTCGGTCTGCTGACTGTCCGTTTGGAAACTACTGCTCCTATTTATATGAAATTTTTGCACAAGCTTACTACTGTGGCGAGGACGAAAAGCTTTGTAGTTTTTGAAAAGCGGACAATTGGCGTCGGAGACGAATGCCAGAAACGAAACAAATAATCGCTCAATTTACAATTACAGTTTTTTGATGGTAGGATGCATGTGACATCCTTTAAAATGCTTCCTCGTGATTAAAATGCTTCCTCGCCAGTTGGCGTGGGAACTAAAATGACTGAACAAAACTTTTTGCAATGCAACCTTGCTGTCATAGAATGTCTTATTTGCAGGTACAAAAAGTGGGGTAACTACAAGCAAGGCATCTACCAGCCATATCTCATAGCCTGCGTGATTCCCCAGAAATACCGTGACCACATCCCTCAATCCATATCATTGGTGGAGAAGCAATGTGACAACGCCACCAACAACCTTAGAGTGATCTATGAGAGACCGAGAGAGAAAAAAGACTTCGCAGTTTGCGTGAAAGGCCTGGACTTCCTTCACGAAGACCTGTCCGTTCGACTTGTAGAATGGATTGAGTTGCTCAACTTGCTTGGGGCTGATAAGGTGTTCTTCTACGAGCTACAGGTTCATCCGAATATCAGCAAGGTGCTGAGGTACTATGAACAGGAAGGAAAGGTAACTACTTATTTATTCACAATGTCAATATGTCTCCAGTATTATTAAATTTCCATTTTCATTTTTCGACCACATCACACAACATATTCCACTGTCAACCAACTGTTTTGGAGCCCGCCATGCGGCTGTAAGGTAGAATGTTGAAATGAGAATATTTGTTGGGTTCAAATAAATGTAGAATAGATTTTTCAGTTAAAAATCATTACTCTGCCAAAAAATTAAGGAACGGTTTGGTAACAGAGTTATGACATGAAATAAAGCAAGTTTTCTGAAAGCCTCATTTCCCAATTTTCGGGGCGATGTCAGAATTGAACTATACAGAATATTGCCACGAAAAATGAAGGGAAAAAGTATATAAACATTGGTCTAAACATGCTTTATACGGGATACTTAAGCTTTCTCGACTTTAATAGTTCATCTTACAGTCTAACAGACGCACCGTAAGAAAAATTAGCAGCGAACCCGTACATCAATCTGTTTATCCTTATTAAGAAATAGTAGGGACTTCACGAGAAGAATCAAGATCGCTTTGAGACTACGATTCTTAAATCCTCTATGTTTTGTGTTTGTCAAATTTGCCCATACATTTTCTACAACAGTCTGGGGACGTAATAATTTAGAGAAACAATCTTCGCCACCCTGTATCTTATTAAAGAGCAGGAATATCAGGCTTAATATCATCATTTTCACGTGTTTAACAACAAAACCCAACAAATCGTACTCATTTTCACGCATACTCGTGAAAAATTTTGAAAATGAAAATTTGTTTTTTGGATGTTATATGAGATGTACATCACGAAAAACCATGTCACTCCTTCTCTGGGGGATTGTTGACGGGTGGGGGAGGGTGTGTTGCATTTTTTATGTACAGGGTAGGCCATAAAGGTGTTGGCAATTTCAATATTCAATTAAAAAATAACTACGCAATATAAAAGAAAAATAAAAGTATTTTTAAAAAGTAGAAGATAGAATTTAAAAATAATTTTGGAAAACTCGTTGAAAAGTTGTTCTCGGTATTTTGTTACTTTCCTGAACAATATTTTTCTTTAGCTGCTCTAAATTAGTTGGATTATTCTCGTAGACCACCGATTTGAGGTAGCCCCATAGGAAATAATCGCATGGAGAAAGATCGGGGCTACTTGGTGGCCGTTCAATATCCCCAAATCACGCTTCAAAATTCGCCGCAAGCTCGTTCTTTTGATGTCCAAAGCCTGACTTCTCTTACGTGTCGACTGTTGCGGATTCCGCTGAACTGAAACACGAACACGCTCTACATTGCAGAATCAGGACGACCACGAGCTGTTATTGCCACTGTCGAACCGGTTGTTTCGAACATTCTGATCCATTTCCACATCACATTGGCGTTTGGAACTTCTCTTAAATCGCGTAAACCGTATTCATGTCGATACAAACGTCATACAGCAATAACCGATTTATTGTTTTTATACAGCTTATCCCCGCCCAACCCGCGCGCCGCGTTTCCGAGAAATTTAAGATTTAAATCGCCAACACTCTTATGGCCCACCCTGTATATTAATACACTTCCAACCCCAGTAATTCTACTCACCTATTAGACATATTTCACACATCATAGATATCCAGGTACATTGCCCTTAAAACTTACATAAATGTTTACGTCACGCGTCGCTGCGTCTGCTCTCTGGCTTCACCGGCCGGGGTGCCGATCTTCATAAGTGTTCTCGCATGACTGGCGCTCAGGAATTGGGGAGAGGAGACGTTGTCAGATGTGTCTATATCTCAAACATACTTATTTCAGGTTCAAGTGACCCCGATAAACCTAGCCGGAGGTCAACCAAACGCACCATCTTTCCAACACCTCTACCTGACGAAAAAAACGAACCACAAACGTCAGAATGAGCTAATCCCATACAACGATTGCTTCTACAAACACATGTACGAGTACAAGTACATCGCTCTTCTGGATATTGATGAGGTCATCATGCCGTTGGAAGGAACAACCTGGAAGGAACTGATGGAGACCAAGGTACTGCCGAAGGCGTTGAAGATCAACAAGGAAGAGAGGGCTTCCTATAATGTCAGAAATGTATATTTCTTGGATGACCTGATACATAATCATGGCTGGTTCAAAGAAATTCCTAGGTAGGCCTATTTATTTACATTTCCTATTGTAACGCCCTCGTAACTAGAACTTTGAGTAACAAAAAGACATACTCATACATCGACGCTTAGGTAACTAGAATTACGCGACCGCCCATCGAGAACATTCGCCACCCATCGAGAAATATCAACCACCATCAGTGTTCAACTGTTATAAATTTTGCTCGTTCGCTAAATCTACAATTCTTTTATAATTTAAAACGGAAGCTACCAGCAATTCGGAAGATTAGACGTGACGACAACCAAATAACAACCCGAATTTTTTTCCGCATTCTTTCATCAACTCAAATATCCTGGGCGAACTGTATTTATTGCTATACCTGTTTAGTTATTTGTTGCTAAGGGAAAAAAGAGTTTCATATGCTGTCAATTACCTTCGTTCCAATCTTGGGATAGTGAAAATTAATTTATTGATTCAGATTCTGCTTCCAAAATGGTTTACACGCTAGCCGAAAGAGTGGAAATGATTCTAATTTATTGTGTCCAAAATCAATGTGCTCGGCAAACTGTCGTCACGTTAAATCCAGACATCCGGGGAAGATATCTTGGCATAGGTATGTTTTGGACCTTGTTCCTAAATTTACTTAAACTAGATGTGTTGCAAAGAAAAAACGTGATCATTGGAGAGTTTTGGATGTAGCCGCTTAAGTGGAAGTTTTGGGTTATTTATATAAATCCTAATATTTCATTACTCAAAATTGTTGCTGCGACTGGTATTTTATTAGGCTCTGTACACACAGTCTTTAAACTCCATAAATTTCAACCATTCAAAATGGAAATATTGCAGGAGTTAACCGAAGATGATTTCGATAGGCGATTTGAGTTTTGTGAACAAATGACTGCAGAGATTAATGATATCATTCATGTAAAGACTATCTGCTTCAGTGATGAATGCACATTTTATCTAAATGGATTTGTAAATAAGAATAACTGCCGGTATTGGAGCAATGAAAATACTCATGCTTTTGTAGAAGGCCATATTCAGTTCCCCCAAAAAATTAATGTATGAGCAGGCATTTCAGGCAACACAGTGATTGGGCCATTGTTTATTAAAGGAAATTTGAATGGAGACATTTATTTGGATATGTTACAAAATACCATCAATCCGCTTATCACTGAAACCATTGAAAACCAGATCGAAGAGGATGGAAACCATATACTTGATAAGGCTGAAATATATTTCGAGCAAGACGTCGCTCTTCCTTACTATGTCCTTCCGGTTCGGCAATGGCTAGACGACGGACGACGAGTTTCCAGATAAATGGATAGGGCGAAGAGGGCCTATAGAATGGGCTGCTAGATCTCCTAATTTGACGCCATTAGACTTTTTTCTATGGGGCAGTTTGAAATCCATTGTGTTTACTCCAAACCTGAAAGTTTGGATGAACGTCGTCAACGCATCATCGAAAGCTACCATGATATCCCACATGTTTTTGAAAATGTCCGTCAGGAATTTGTATATCGCCTATATCATTGTTTGGCCAATAACGGGCAACTTTTTAAACACTTTCAAATAAGATATTACTCGATACCCCTTGTCATTTGAAATGTTTAAGTGGATGACCCTGGGGGCAGAGGGTGAAAGGAGGTGAAGTAAAAAAAGTAAAAAATTTCCCCCTTGACAAATCTTTTGACGTGTCCCGGCGTTTTGAAATTTATTTACCGGAATGAGGCTTGGCATGGAGTGAGTACTCATCTTTAAGAAGTGGCGACCAAGCGGCACTGCAGGAAAGACCGATATACAAGGAGGTTTTTATCCTGAAGGCGTATATTCGTGATTTCTAAATTTTTCTGTATTCTGTCGCCTCTATCAGTTTTTCTGTCATATTTTGCCTTCTATTTGTTGCCAAATACTATTACCCATGTGTTTAGTCAGAGCCCGCCGAACTGCATTGCTACATTATGCGGGACAATTTCTAGGATATCTGTAAATACAAAGAAAACATCGTCCGCCGTCAGAGCCTTTATTTCGACCCATCCAACTTTCTTACAGTGGAGTGAAACTATCATCACTAATATCTCACTTTTGCAAGGTGATACCTAAATAACAGCTCTTGAGGGTCCTGGCTATGGAGGGTTGCACATGTCGAAAGGTCATATTTGCGATTTTCTCTATTGCACTGTATTCAAGTGATTCGGACAATGATGCATTATAGTAAACGGTCTTAAGAAGCACCCAAATAATTTTCGCTTGGAGTGCTGTTCCCATATTTGAAGATTATCTTCTATATAACGGTAACTGTTACATTCCAGATACATGCACATGCTCCAACACGTCTACCGCACGAAAAACTTCACGAAGCCTGGGCAATATGTGAAGTGCTTCCACAACACCGAGAAAGTCCTGACGCTGCATAACCACTTTCCACTCAGCTGCCTGGGAAGCGGCTGCACGAGTTACCCAATCGAAACGACTGACGCGCAACTGCACCATTACAGAGCAGACTGCGTGAAGACACTAAAGAAAAGCTGTGAAGAGTTCCGGAAGACCAGTGTAATGGACACGACTATCTGGAAGTTTAAGGAGCCCTTGATCTCCAGAGTGACCAACACGTTAAAGACCTTAGGGTACTTCCCTAATCCTGAAACTAATACGAATACGAATAACATTAGAAAGCGATGATGATGTACGGATAGTGGCACGATTTTTGAATGAATGCTTTGAATTTGTTCAGAGAGTCTTGTGTGCGAATGACAGGCTTGTTAAAGTCGGATCGATAGAAATGGTCTCATTTGAAATTCGTTAGCAATTTCGACAAAGAATATTATCAGCATGATAACCTTGACATATTACCCAAAGAAAACCAAACTTTTTGATAATGGGGGCATCCAGGGAGCGCTGCAGTCTTAATGTGGTGCGAACATGAGACGGCAAACATTAACGACATGCGTGGCATCAACAGGCATGCGTATCGGGTGACGCCAGTGTCGTGCAAAATGCAAGTCAGGACCGGTGCTGGCAAATTTACTTTTTTTACCGTAGATCTACCGTTTTGAGCTTTCGGCTACAGTTTTACCGTTTTTTATGGTTTGTTATCGCTCAAGTTTCGATCATGTACGATCCTAAACGCCCAGGTCTACCGTTTGATCAATAAAATGGAGCATATTGTTGTATCTTCAGATCCAACTGTTATTTCTGGCATCTACCCGTTTTTTAACGCGATATCTACTATTTTTAGCATTTTTCACCTGACAACGCTAGTCAACGCGCGTTACGTCAATTCAACTTTGGTGTCTCTGTGGTTAAAAGTGTACGTTTCGCGACAAATGTTTCAGATATAGACTGCTTCTAGTGGTATATCAATATAGTACTGACACAATGTCCTGTGCATTCCGAGTTGACATTAACCTTTGAGGGAATGGCACACGTTATCGCTATTTTCAATAATTTGATTACTGAATGATATTAATGATAATAGTCTAATCATATTAGACAAAAATACCACTGGTTTGGGAAATAATTGTAAAATCTGGTTTTATTGCTAAAAGTTGTTCAAGGGGGTATTCAAAACATGGACGCATAGAAAGGGTAGGTACACCAGTTTTTGTGGGGATGAGAAAACGTGTTTTTTGGGATTCAATCGAAAGTGTTGGCAGGAACGGAAAAACTCTTCATATAAGATTTTTAGGTATTTATGAGACCTACAAAATGAGACCACACGTTAAAAGATCTGACTAATAGCAAAAAGTTATGGTGGAAAACCGAGGCAAACTGCAGGTTTTGGCACCACAACAAAATTGGAGTATATTGGTTAAGTAGTTTTTGAGAATTTCTAATTGTTTATCTCAAAACACCTGTTTTCTGGCCATCAACTATTAGTTTATTGAACAATATACAGGGTTAGTTCAAAGGGCATTTTATAGCTACATCCGCTAGTTTACCTTGCCGATATGAATCGCAAACCATTCCGGAAGAAAATGTTATTTTTTTTCAAAAAATGATAGCTTACATTTTTTTCTTCTAAACAAATTCAAACATTTCGTATTTGTGAGTAATTTTCAACAAAAGATGATAGAAACATCCGCTTTGTTTTGAAATGTGTATAGTAACGTATGTTTTTCCAATATCATAGCGCATGTGTTCAATTACTCACAAAATACGAAATGTTTGAATTTGTTTAGAAGAAAAAAAACGTAACCTTTGTTTTTCAATTAGAAATTCTCAAAAAAACACTTGACCAATATACTCCAATTTAGTTGTTCTAATTTAGAAGTATGAATCCTATAGATTTGAGGTACTCGCGTGAAACTATCATCGCATTATCAACAAGTGCCACAACCTGCATTTCTTATACCTTTCCAAAAAAAAAAAAAAACGTTATTACTAATTGATTTTATATTGACTATGTATATGATAAAAAATGAGTTTTCTTTGGGTGATGATTACAAAGTTAATCTCCAATCTGCAATTTTAACAATGTACCTGTATGCCTAATTCGAGTTTCTACAGCAAGCTATCCCGGGGTCCTCAACTCCCTCTGGGCAGATGTATTGAGAATCTCAAATCACAAGAACCTACTGTACAGAATCATAACGGTTCTGTGATGGTGTCTAGTAGAACCTGAATGGCCTGAAGTGGAAGAATTTGTTCTGTCCATTTCAAGATACAAGTCATATTATTGTTACATCTATTGGTTCATGAATTTTTGTAACAAATTATTTTCAAAAATGTCTTCAAGATAGCCAGAATCCATCCAATTCATCTATTCGATGTTCATTCTTCCTAAATATTATTATTCTATTCACTACTGCTGTAGTTTTAGTAAAACGCAAATATTTTGTTTTGAATACTTACAAAAATGTGTTTTACTGTACTGAGATTACATAAGTTGGCAAGGTTCTATATAAATCCATATATTTACGAAGAATATTGACGACTTCTCAATTATATTAAGAGAAGTGTAATACTGTTATGTAGCCAGTGATTTAACAATTAATAAATATCACCCTTTTCTATGCTGTGATTCAAACGCATTAACAACTAACATCCTAAACATTAGGTGGTTAAAAAGCTGATTTTTTATTTATATGGATTTAGCGAATATATGAAAAATCTACTTGTAATTTGGAGTTATAATCCATATAGATAAAAATCACAGCTATTCCTTTTTGCTCATAAAATAGAATACGTAATCCGATAACATTGAATTACTGATCATACATTTTATTGATAAAATATAGAATGTGAGCTCACCCGTCCTATGAGTAACAGTTGGGCTTAGAATCTGGAAATTTTTATAAGATGTTAATATACTTGTGAAATTGCAGGGCATTGAAAAATTAAACTTGTAGTTTAAAGCTTAACGTTTTAAGTTGTACATTGCAAAATAGAAATATATAATTGTCAGGGAATTACGATGCTGCTAGTGTGCGGTATATGACTATAAATGAACTTTGTGTTTAAAAGCTTTATGGTCATATACTGAACGCCTTTCAATTCGCCCTGTTAGGCATTTGTAATTTCAAAGATATGTGAATCAATGGAAGCAACGGCTGCTACCTTTCAGGTCGCCGTTTTCGTAGAAACATGCTAAAAACCATTTATAAAAAAATACAGCTTTCAAACACAACCATTATTGACAGGCTGTGTGATCTCTCGCTCTAGTATGTGATAAGCACCAGTTTGCCGTTTCTGAAAAATCCTAAGATCAAAAAAAATGAAAAATGAACAGTGTTTACTGAGCTCTGACTTTTAACTCGGCTGGTACTGTGCTAACACCTTATGAAAAAAATATTTTTGGTTATTCTGTATACCAACTCATCACAAGTTGCTGTTCCACACTTTTTTATGATGAGAATATATTGATATTCGGATTTTTCAATTATAGTGCGCAAACAGGCCTTAGCCTTATGAAATGTGATTATGCAAAGTAGGTCGAAGATGGGGTAATTTTGTGTGATAACAAAGAACAATCTAGAGATGAATGAAACTCCTCGATATTTATAGAGGACAAAATATGCGATTTTAAAAATAAAATTAAACTTAAATTGAACAATGAAAAAGCAATTTTAGTACTAGTTTTTCAGTAAGAGTCGACTGATAATTTCATTTGAAACATTCCTTTCATATTGATTCAGAAAAAGTCATTGTGTATTTCCACGTTTCAGAAAGAAATATATGTATGACTATCTTCTTATAGGGTATCTTTTATTACATTTTGTATTACATCATATACATCACAATAATCAGTATACGTAGAGTAACTTGGCTTAAGTTCATCCAACATACTGTATATATGAAACAAACTGTGTCATCTCTAGATACCATACGATCGCGATTTCCGTATATGGGAGGCTAAGGAAATATAAGATACTATATTTTTTATTTTATCTCTAGGTTATTAGTATTTCCTGTTAAGGTACGAATATATATTCTTTCTTAGCTTCCCATTCCGTCTTTTTGTAAAAAGTTGCTCAAATGTATCATTTTGCCATTTGTCTTTTATAAAATAGTATAGTTGCATCATTATTCTACTAAGTTTGCATGCAGTTCTTAAGCAAAATTTTTGCTCAAACCAAATATATTAGTGACTATTAGCAAATATATTTACAGGGACAAAAATTACGAAAAATTGAACTTTGGTTGATATTTGTGTTTTTAATTTTTTTATGATGACTCTGTAGAGCTAAATCAATGGTTCATTTCAATATAAGGTTTTATTGCCTATGATGGTGGTTGTTGTATCCAATTCTACTTAATAAACTTAGAACTGTAAGGGTGGATCACCCTTTAGTTGCGTATACGTATATCAGTTTGTAAAGCATTTTGGGTGTATTTGAACCTTTTTTTAGCTCTACCAAATAATACAAACTTTTTCTTGTTAATGTTTATTTCTGAATATTTTTATAACTCCTAACAAAATAATTTATGGAGTGTTACGAAGGGCTTTTTGAACGTTAGGACCGATTGTTCAATGAAAGTCATCAAGTTGGGCTGTCATTTTCTTAATGCTGCTATTGAGCAAATCTTCCGTGTTTGGTTCTCCAAACATTTATTACATAAACATGCGGGGGTAGTAGTTGATATACATAGTTTGCTACACATCCCTGGACAAGCAGCACCGAGCGTTGCATTTAGATTATGATGAGTGGTGGTAACATACTGTATGTTAAATTACAGTCGGTCTTTTCGAGTATCAACAGCTCTTTTACAATCTTTATAAAAGTATGTTCAAATAGTCCCTGACTGATTGAAAGGCTGTTGGTAAAGCTCAGTGGATGTATTAAAATATTTTTGATAATCACTTTCCTAATTGAATCTATGTAATTTAATCGCATTGAAAATATTTTGATACGTCTGTTTGTACATAGGCAGACCTACATTTCTGAATGTTGTTCAGAAAGTGGGTTCAGCAAATTGCATAAAAAATGTGCCTTTATTTCGTATTTATAATGTAGTAAGTACTATTTTACTATTTATTGTATACTTATTTATAAATTTTATAGGTATTAAAGTGATTTCAATTAGCCATTGGAGTTTCACTACGATCATATCATATCGGTATACTGTTGCTGGTGTCCTTTCTCGAAGTAAGGAAATTTCGAATCAAAATTAACAAAGTACTGTCAACAACACAGCCTATTAGAACCGGTGTTCCTCAGGGTTCAGTCTTTGGACCAATCCTTTATTCTTTGTTCGTTCATGATGTCCCAAACCCCAGTAACTGTGAATTCTTTTTTACTCTGGTGACACTGCATTAGTGGCCCAGTCCGGTTCTAGTAACCTGGTCCATGATTGACTACAATGTGCGGTGGAAGAATTGTTAGAGTGGGCATATCGGTGGCTGATCAAAATTAACAATTTAAAAACGCAGTCCATCTGTTGTACCAAAAAGCGGCGCGGCGCCTCGTCAGCGATTTCTCCGAGAATGGAACTCTGATACCGTGGGAAAATTCCGTGAAATATCTTGGAGATACACTTGACAAGGGTATGATCTGGCGAAAACATTACAGAAACGCTTAAAACAAAATTTCTAATTACTTTCCGACAGCTTCATTCCTTAAGTAGATCTTCAAAATTCAACTTGGTTAACAAAATTCGACTTTACAAAATGATCATCAAACCCAACATTACATACGCATGTGCAGCTCGGTGCTTTCTAGCGAAGACGCACGTGCGACCTTTGTCTGCAGGTCCTACAAAACAGGACCCTACGAACCATCACCAATGCCCCCTGATATCTCTCAAACAAAACCCTAAACAGAGATCGCGACATCCCTCATTTAGAGGATTACATTAAACATTGCAACCCTTTGTTGCGCCAGTCAGTAGACTACACAGTGAAGCAAGTTCACAAACATTCCAGGCCAAGGCTCCGCACTGTGAACATAATTAAACCGGACAATTTCGTGTAATTTCGTTTTAACAAAAATTCAACCAAATTCTTTTTCGGCATCCAAAAATGCTCAGACGCCTAACAGTTGTATTTCTTACTCTTTGCTATCTCCCCTTTTTCATTATTTTTTCTGTCTGCTTTCTATTAATCATGTCTGGTTTCTGGGTGACCAGGCCGACAGAATAACAAACTGACTGACGTACTTTGACGCAAAGCCAAAGGTCTCACGGACCTCCTTGACAGACAATGACGAATAGACCGTTGCTGGTTAAAAACAATCTTTGAAGATGTATACGCCTTAATAAAATTAGTAAAAAATAGTCAGTTATGGGGAAATATGGGTATAGCTACGGACAAAAAGACAATTTTATTTTAACCATATATTCATACATAATAGTTATAGAAATCAACACATTTCTTTTAAAGTTAAATCACAATCCATGGAAAGGAGGGGGTATAGTTCAGATATACACCCAGGAGTAGCATGTCAATTTTGTTAGTTGCACACAAAAGACATGCACTAATACAACTGAAAATTGACCAAGCAAGATACATTGATAAGTACATGTACGTAAATTAGTCATTTCAAATTCGGAAGCATTTACAACCTGTAAAAAAACCTTCTAAACTCTTGACAGACATTTGAAAGGACCCATTTACCGGTTAAGAAGTAAAAATACTCATGTAAGAAAAGTTAAGGAGTTATCGACCAGTTAACCATTTGTTAGTAACATTCATGACTCAAGTTAGTCTAGGCTATTATTCAAAAACTTTTAACCAAACCGTGCATTTAACTCAACCACACAACTGAAGCAATCATCACAGTATGGATTTTTTGTTACACTGCCGGTAAAACAAAACCCTAACCCTAACAAAAATACTAACCCCAATAATTAATTAACAAATTCTACCTGAAAATAGCCAACCTAGTACTATGTTCTTATCCGAAATAAAAGCGTCCTCTATGACAATTCCTCCTAGCTATGTTTCTCCTCTCCACACTAATTAGAAATCTACTTACAAAAAGATTAGTGTCTCGTAGATGGCCCTGTAGCCAGATATATTTGCTATAAACTAATAAAGTTGGCTTGAAAGTAGATTTCTAATTAGTGCGGAGAGGTGAAACAAGCTGTGATAAATTCTGTTGGATGACGCTAAAGTATCTCATTTCATCTCGGATAATTCTTTGGACGGGGAAGTATAGTTTTAGGATGGCTATCTTCATATAGGATATGTTAATCAATGCAATACACAGCAATTCAAGACACTGTTGATGTTTCATTTCATTCACCAGATCTTTAATATATATGTTATATATCAAAAATTCCTAGCTAGCCCAATACCAAAATCGCTAAAGTATCTTAGATGAATTTTTAAAGATCTATCAAACATAATTGTTATATTCCAAATGTGTTCCATACGTGATACATTTTCCTGTTCCATTAGAACACAAAGACAAAAACATTGTGAATATTTATTATAGACAAAGCAGTAAACACATTATTTGTTTGACACTGCATAATGAAATGAACTCCCAAACTGATTTAGACGTTTAGTTTGGCTCAACATGAGAAATGGAACAAAATGTTCATCAGAGGCACATTTGAAAATGCAATCGGCTAAAATGAATATAGTGTGATGTCCAATGCATAGCAGTACCCAAATAGGAAAAGTGTTAAAATGACTGATGGTTCACATGGTCTCGAAAAACACTGATTGCTACCGAAGGATATTCTGCCAAATATTTCACTGAGTAATAATTCAAACATCAACATTTAGTGACAAATAGGAAAAGGGTCTTTGGGAATTCCAGTTATTTGTGTTTATTTCCTTATATGATAGTTAACAGTTATGTATGTTTGGATACCATTATTCATTTCCTTAGAAGTTTAAATATGAAAAAACTCAAACGATTTGACTAGCATGATGATACCATTTGAAGAACATTTGATTGTGAAATATGACTTCTCTTACAACCCCTATTACCATAGACTGAAAACCTAGAAAAAATATATACACATTTTCTTCGTAAGTAAAAAAAAATCGCAGGATCTTTAACGCGGGTCTTTTGACATCACCCTGAACGTAACAAGAATGTGGTGCAAATCTTATTCATGTACATGGTAGCTCGACTTTAGAAAATTCCAAATGCTTCAGTCCGCTAGAATATCTGGCTATCCTCCAAAAACTTCAAGAGAAAAATAGTTACTTGCAAAGCGTGCTGTGCGGGTATATACTGAAAGTGTCAAAACTGCAAAAATTGAACAATTTTCCGAAGGACATTTACCATATTGAGAATTATTTATCATATAATTTAATGGAAAAATCAGAAATGTCCACAAATAACTGGAAGATTAACATTAGATCTAGAGCAGCACAAATTTGATAAATTGTGCGTTATATCCAGGATAGATCGCTTGACAGTCAGGACTCCACAAATTTGAAGATCAAAGAATCATCAGAACTGTATTTATTTTGCTTTCTAGAACAGATTACCTAACCTTTGACAATATGTCACAATAAATGCTATGCATTCATGTTTACGTGCAATATTTATTTTTCAAACACACTGCATATTATGATTTGAATGATATATTTTTTTTGAAATGACTTGATACAATAAATTTATGGGGTGCTGCTGGGCATCCTGAATGTCTCGGAGAAAATTAGTAGAAGTATCCAACAAAATAATTTTATTCCGAAAAGTATATAAATTCTTAAATAAAACTAATAATTTTTTATACACGTTTTCGAGTCATTTACGTATATATGTCACTCCCGTCCATCGAAAATGTGTAGAAAAATCGAACCGGTTTCAAGATACAGGTTATTTGAAAATAAAAAACAGTCATTCTATCATTAGTGGAATACTGAGAACTGGGAACAATAATTTAACCACTCTTGAACAACAATATTGCCACCTGACCTAGATAGAAGTAAATGAAGTGGCGTGTTTCATGTGTTACATATGATCCAAAATTCCTACCCACAATGCAGTGCCAGGTCGGGTTGTATTTCTTGTCAAATTCCTTCTTTATGTAAGCGGCAATGTCCTGTAATAAAAAAATTGTTAAATAAAAAATCTTATTTTATTATGTATACTAAGTGACATATAAATCCGAACACCCAGGTGGTTTTATTTTAATAAAATTTTGTATAAGTACTTAATGAAGCATAATAAGTAAATGATAAAAATTTCAAAATGATTGCACTGCTTTAAAGCCCTTTGACCTTTAATAATGTGTGGATGCACCCTGATGTGCTACGCATTCTCCAACGCGCCTAGGCATGCTTCTGATCAAGTGGTCAATGTCCTCCTGTGGTATCTCATTCCAGGCAACCACCAACTCCTCTCGAAGTGCTTCTAGAGTCTGAGGAGGACGTTGCAAATTGAGCGATTTCCTACCCATCATATCCCACACGTGCTCAATTGGGGATAAGTCGGGAGATCTTGGTGGCCATGGTAACAATGTGACATCATTATGTTGAAAGAAGTCTATTGTGACTCTTGCAACATGTGGTCGGGCATTATCTTGTTGGAAAGTTGGATCTGCCAGGGTGTCAAGATAGGGTAAAAGATGGGGTTCTAGAACTTCGTGGATATAACGCTGCGCGTTCATGTTACCTCTGATGAAGATTAAAGGTGACCTGGAACCATAAGTCCCCAAACCATAACTCCAACAGTGTGATGAACATGTCTTTCAACAAAAAACTGTGGATTCCTCCTTTCACCACGTCGCCTTCTAACCCTGGCACGACCATCGTGCATGCCTAAACAAAATCGAGACTCGTCACTAAAGACAATACTGTTCCATTCCTGATCCCAGAGTGACCGTTGTCTGCACCACTCAAGGCGATTACGTCGGTGTTCTCGAGTTAAAGGGAGGACCCAGTGTGGCCGGTATGAAAACAAGCCAAAACTTGTCATTCGTCGGTAAACACTTCGCATGCCAATATGTCTTCCATGTTCTGCAAACCATTCATTTGCAATGGACCTGGTAGTGGAGAAACGGTCCCTTAAGGCCAATAATCTTAGGCGGCGATCTTCACGGTCTGTTGTTCTACGGCGGCGTCCAGTGCCCCTTGCTCTTTGCGTACGGCCTTCTCGAAGCCATGCCTGACAACACCTAACCACAGTGTCTACACTTCTTTGCACTCTAACTGCAATTGCCCGAAAAGAAAGTCCGGCTTCCCGAAGTCCCACTATACGGCCCCTATCAAACTCACTAAGTTGACGAAATCGTACAGGTCTCCGTACTCTAGGCATCATAACCGAACGTGGAGGATGTCAAGAACCAAAATCCGCCAACGTTGATTCTTTACTGCGGCTGAAATATTCATTTTTAGAACGTTAGTGAATTAAAAAAAAGCAGTATAAAAACCGGAATGTCCAACTGATAAGGCTGAAAATTTTTTCACTTGTTATTTACAGTAAGATAAATACATTCACCAACTTTTATTAAAATAAAACCATTTAAACTGGGTGTTCGGATTTATATGTCACTTAGTATATTTAGTAATTCCTAAGAAGTCGTCAGTGTCACCGTCCATAAAAGTTCTGTTAAGGGCTCAAGGGCGGATTCAACCTTTAAGTGAGAGGGGAGTCACATAGTTACAGTCGCGGATGCGGTGGTCGGAGGATTTATGTTCAGATGTCCCTTTCGATAGGGGTAGAGATATCGGCAATTGTAAACTGAAAAGTGCGAGAGCAGTCAAAAACGTACTGGGTGTTTCAAAATCGACTCTCACTATCGGGGTCTGGGAAATGCTTGAAGATGCGAAGTCGGTTGAAATGGTTGCAAGTTGCGCATTCAGATACCTAACTAAGAAAATAGCAGGGAAAAACAATTTTCTCCTGTCTTTGAGGTGGGATTTCAAAATAAATTGCACGGCAAGATTGTCACATTTTCTTCCATTTCTTATCCTCAACATTCAATTCATTTTTTGTCAGGGACGCCATATTGAATTTTGGCGCAGATGAAGAGTTTTCAATTCTGATTCCAAAAATGTGTATGTCATACAATGAAATTGTCAAACCTAATTTATTTCAAAGAAACTAATATTCCATTAGTTGACAGTTCATCACATATTTATCCTAATCACAATTGCTTCAGTTCTGATAAGCAGGTTTAAGAGACATTCAGAACTATATTTTTATTTATTGAAAGAGAATTATTCGAGCACTCTATAAGACACCTCAGCCACAAATTAATATAATTTGAATGCAAGATGTGTGCATTGGTTTAGATATGCCAGATATGAAATATGTTTATTAAGATTACTTTTTTATTTTTAGGCATAGGAAGATTACTTTTTCATTTTTAGGCATTTGAAGTTTTATATCATTTTATGTCATGACATGATCAATATCACACCATTAAAATCGGAAATAGGCATCCTTCAACAATGACTAGTTCATAAAAACTGGAAGAATGCTTGGCTGATTTTATTATGAAACAAATTGCTATTTGATAATTGCAAGGCCTACTTAAATTTCCATTTTCGTCAGTCTGCATGTTACAAGGTTACTACTATGACAAGGACAAACAAATTTGTAGATTTTGAAAATCGGTTCAGTGGAGGGGGAGAAAAAGGCCAAAAATGAAAAAAAAATCGCGCACTTGTTTTTTGATGAAAGTACAGTAACTACCCTCTATCCAAGATATTAGATCCATGGCACTGTCTTGTTTTGATAGGGTCAAACTTGTGCTGAACATAATACTTTATGAACTGATGACAGCATTATGTGGAAAGTGTAGTCAACCTACTAGACATCATTTATTTAAATTACTAAGGTATAGCAATGTCAATGCATGGAATTACAAATTTTTGGAATAAAAATTTATAAATCCATTTAACTGTGCAAATAGCATATGGCGTCAATAAGAAAAATAAAGTTGATCAGCAAGGACAAGAGACAAAACGCGATATTGAAATTCTAATTATGCCAGCCGTTGAAAAATAAAAACGATTTTGGAAAAATTCTGTTTTTTCTTTGAAAACACTTGAAGCTGTCCAAGTCCTATTTTCTTACTTAACCAAATGTGCAACTTTGCCTTGTATAATGAACTTCGCATCTCTTGCTGATTCCTAGGTCCCTATTCTGTCTTACCAGCTTACATTTCATAAAAAGTATAGCATACTTTTTTATATAAGGAAAAACGTATTGGGCTCCGAGGTTTTGAAGAGTACTTGAGCCCTAAAGACCCCCTTGAATATACAGATTGATTCAAGACTCATTCATATTGACCACTCAGCCAAATTTAGTTCTTGGTTACACAACTAGTTCCCCATGCATGGGGTCATACTAACTACGAAACCCATTTCATCTGAAAGAAAACCATAATCCAGCAAATATGTCTAAAAACAACAGTCAGTTTGTGGATATGGTAGAAATTACATTTATATTTTTTTTCTTTCATGCAGGAACTCTTTTATGTTGGCTAAATTATATTAACAGCCCATAATTGAGTGCCTCAAGCTTCTTGCATTTCTTTTAGAACAATGTTATTTCTATGGCTAAAGCCACCTTGCAAAGAAACGATAATCTTTTCATGCTTCATTATGGTTTAATTTCATCAAAAATGGAAATAGATGAAGTTCTCAACCCAGATGACCAGCGAAGGATTGTATTATTTTATTAGCAACACAGAAAAAAATTACTTCATCACCTTTGACAGAATAAAACCATAATGAACAGAAGGAAAGAATTATCGCTTACTCTATATCTCAATTTTTTCACTTCCTTTTTTTGCGCCAATGAGCTCCACAAGCACTTCTTACACTGAAAAATGGGACCTTATGATCAAATAAGTTTCATTTTCCCCAAATCTAGTATTCTGGCTTCTACAGATACTTTTTTATACTAATGGTTACCCCATTATTAATGTGTTAACACATATTTTATATTATAAACTAAATTTTACATACATAGGCATCTATATTTAGATTATATTTTATACTGTGTCATTGTAACATCTCATATCATTACATTCAAGCTTCAAGTAAATAATGACCAACTCCTCTGCTGATAAAGGTAGATGAAAAGTAACATTATGTGCTTTTGTCTTGTTAGAGAAACATGGAGTTCTTCCAGCTTGAAAGCCCTGGATACTAAGTTTGAGATGTTACAATTCAGTTAGATCTTTTGATATGAAATAGCTAATTGGAAAAAGTTAAAATTCACTGACTACAACATTTCTAAAATGGGCAATTGTAAGGCTGAAAATTCAAAAAGAGTAGTGGTATGATATCAGTAGACTATCAATGTTGATGGCATTAGAACTACAGAACTTACCTTTTCAATGTTATATTTTTCGATAGCTTGCGTCGCACAGTCCACAGCATCTTGCTGCATGTCTTCGCTCATATCAGCATTTTTAATAACTGCTTTGCGGTCAGTCATCTTCGGTTGTTTTTGGTTTGCTGAGTTAGACCTACAGCAAAGAAAGTTATTTTAGAAAGCCGGCTTACCGATAATGGATCTGGAACGGGTCAAAAAACCTTTTTCTGCCAGAGTTCACGTTCCTTATTCTAACCATAGCATGGGCCCGTAACTCACCCATAACTAATAACTGGTACAACGAAGAACCATGCTGTTATATCAATATCGAATTCATAAAAATATCTATCATGCAATATCAAAGAAAATTGATCTGAACCTGTTATCACTTAGGGAAATGTGGAGGTGTATGCAGTGAGAATAACGTGTAAAAAATACTTACGTGAATTTTTAAAGGCTCACCAAGGGGGATCAAATTTTTTTTTTGATTTATGACTTTTCACGTTCTTTCAATTTTTATTATTTTGTTGAATAAAGCGATATTCAATTTTTTGATACCTTCCGTCTGGCGCGGAGCAGGCAACTGCCAAAAATGTTAGTGTGAACGTGTTTATTGGTTAGCCGTAGAGGCATCTGGCAGAGGCATCTGGCAAGCGCCCGCCTATTGGCTACGGTACATTGGCGTACCGTTGCGTCAGGGTCAATTCCATTCAAAATTGATTTAATTTCTGGAATAATCTTATGTCTGTGTATTTAAAGATTTACTGCATACAAAATTACGGATTTGTTCATTCTATTTGGATTATTTAATTTGTCAAACCACCATTGATTTCAAAACGTAATAAATTCCTGCTTTAAAACACTGAAACCTATATAAGAAACTACTAACCTTACCTAAAAAATGGTAAACCCTTTCAAAGTGTAGGAGGTATGTAAAGTATTGATATTTATTATCATTTACGTCATTTCTGCATCATTTAATTCGACTTTCACACGTTGAATTTAAGGCGTCTATCAGAAATACTTCATTCAAATGACAAATACAAATGACAAAACAAAATATAGGTGCCGTTCAAATCAAATGTGGATAATAATGCGATATGTAATTATAGGTACGCTTCGATTAAAGGTAGGTATATATATTTCTTAAGACGAAATGGGGGCGTCGATATGAGAGTTTGATAACCATGATATACCTACATACTTATCAGTCATAAATTAGGTGAAATTGGACATCTGCTATGCTTCAACGTTATGCAAAATTCGATGAACAGATCCCATATGGGTGCATGTCTATAGATGACATAATATTCTAAGCGTTAAATCCCTATTTCTGGGAGTCCATTTTCAATAAAAACACAGCTATCAGCTGTAGATATCTACAAGTTTAAAACAGTTAGTATCAACTTTTATTGATAGCTTTATCCCCCAAAAATGATTCTCAGGGTAGAGATATTAGTGACCTAGTATGGCGAGAGAGATATAATTACATGCACACCAAGGTGTACAGCTAGCCTCGATAAATGTCAGACGATGCTGGCTACTGAATAGGTAATGAACAGAAACCGAAAATGTAAAATATATAGAGAAGTCTAGAGAAGCACTCAATCTGAAGGTTCTCACCGATAACTGATGTAAACTGAACAGTCCCATCTAAGAGTGAAAATGGATTATATCCGATGCCTCATGAGCTGGGAGGAAACCTAGACAGCCCTTCTAGGCGTTTTTGCTTTCTGTATTGTCTAAAGGGACAATCGAGATATTCGGATACTCAACACGACTCCCTGCCCTTTATTAGGAGAGCAGGAAAGTTCGAAGTAGTGAATAAACGCACATATATTATAGAGTAGAGTGTTGATTGCTTCGCCTACCCACATCTACTATTCCAGGACTATTATAGCTATTGAGAAATTGAGATGCTACCCCAAACGCAAGTCCATGGGGGTCAAATCTATTTAGTGATCGCGGTGGTCCTGAAATGTGATAGGCGAATAACCATTTTCATTGGAAAATGAGGGGAGCTGCAACGCTATATTTATAGTGGGGATTAATATCGGCAAATGATAGATAGGTATCCAATAATTTCATGTCACAACACAGAAAATCATTCAATGTACAGTTTACTAGCGTACTCTGTTTTAGCAGAAAGGGACCGTCAGTGCAAAGGCCGCAATATGTGACAATGGGACAACCAATGATTTTTTCCTTTAAAGATAACTGATGAACGTCAACATTTACATCAATACTTCGATGAATACAGTTGAAAGAGATGTGCATTTCCCTAAAATGCATTACTTTTTTTTCAATTTAATTTGCATATTCCAAATTTTCTCTGCTACATCCTGTATATACCTATACAGCCAGTAGGTATTACGTGAATGTTAGATGAAAATGTTCTTTTTAAGCAGGTGTGCGTGTGTGTGCATCCTTATTTTTTATTGGATTTTCTAGTATATAAGACGAGAATAAGAGGACTTTCACCGCCTACACATAAACAGCTTAAAATCAATGCCCTAGCAGCTAGAATATTATGCACAACTTTGTGCACCAGGGGCGTATCTTAAAGCATTTGATAGAGGGCTTGATTAAGCCGCAGGTGTACCAATAAGCATGAGACAAAGTTCATCCAGAATCTAGAAAATGGCTGTTATTTAAGAGAAGTGAAATTTTCGGAAATCCCACAATTAAAAAAAATATATGTGTATATATATGTATATTCTTTGCTAGCATCACAATTGTGTTTTCAGAATCCTGATGAAGGCTCCATATAGAGAATGCCAAACGCTTGATTTTATCGTCAAAAGAGTCAAGTTAAGCCTAAAAATTTGCCAATTTCCCAATTAACAATTAATTGTATTTTGTGCCCAACTGGTCGTTGGCTTTGCAATGACTACTGCTCACATATATGTATATATATTAGGTTCAAACACCGATTTCGGCCAATGGTCGAAAAAAACGACCAGAACGCGTTCTGGCCACCAGCATATTGCCAATGTCCAAAAAATCGCTTTCTGGCCGTTTAGTATAGATCAAAGTGCGTTCTGGCTATCGTCATATTGCCAGAACGCGTCGAGCATACAAACAAAACGTCCAAAACCCGATTTTCTACGAGTCTAAGCTTGTATCGAATCTAAACCACCCTACTGTCTACTACTCGCAGTAAATGATCATCGAATAGTCGATGTACGTCGCGTCGGTTAACCTGTTCGTTAAGCCGTCTACTAGTGCCATGGATAGGTTCGTGTAAAAATAAGTAGATATAGGTATGCCGATACCCCTAAAGCACAAGTTATTATATAGTAAATGTTTTCTGTTTCTGTTAAAACTGAAGTTATTTATTTATTTTTTATTTTGAAACTCGTTATATAAGCAATCAAATATATTTTTTTATATTAAATTGGCCTTTGGACGTTTTGTTTGTATGTTTGACGCGTTCTGGCAATATGACGATAGCCAGAACGCATTTTGATCTATACTAAACGGCCAGAAAGCGATTTTTCGGACATTGGCAATATGCTGGTGGCCAGAACGCGTTCTGGTCGTTTGTTTCGACCATTGGCCGAAATCGGTGTTTAATCCTTATATATATATATATATATCAGTGGTGAGTATCGAAAGATGGAAATATTGTGGTAGGTACATACAGATAGCTGGAGTCGACCCTTTGAATGAATTCCGAGGACAGCAACAAATACAAAACGTTTGATTCTTACAATCAGTTAATGATGTTAACTTCAACTTCTCAGTTCAGTTGATACAAAATTCCACGATTCAGCTAAAAACCGATAGGCGAGAGTAAATTATAACGAAAAACTAGGTCATGCTTTTACGTCGGTCTACCTGTTTTCGGTTGTCTTTGGACATACTTTATAAGCTGGGTGGAAGCTTTGGACGTAGTTGAAATTTTGACAGTAGGGTTGAAGTAGCTCATAAGAAACGAAGCAAGCTGAAATATATTGATAACCATGCAAACGATCATGCAATAAACATCGATAGTAAAAATTGTCATAAAGAGAAATTGAATTCTACAAAAATGCCAATAGATTAACTGAAGTTTAATTTAATATTCAAACGTAAAGCATTCAGGTGTTTCTCTAATATGACTTTTTTACTTCATATTTTGATGAAAACAACAAAAGTATTGCAAACATTATTTACCAACGTATACTTAATTGTATGTTCTCAGAAAAGGATGCTTTAATTCTGCTCATTAGATCATGACTGTTGAAGGATCTAAAAGCAAATTTTAGCAATAAGCAACAGCACATATTATATAGGTATTAGCATTGATTAACGTATTTTCTGCCTGGTAGTGATTACCCATCAAATTCATAAAGGTTTTGTGAAAAATAACCAATCAGAACATAAACATCTAGCACTCTTTTAGATTAAAACGGCTAATATTTTAGTTATCACGTAATTTGCATCCACAGATACATTAATTTCTGTGATTATATGGAAAAATATCGAAAATACTTAAAATAAGTACCATGCATCAAGACAAAACTGCCAAAAATCTCAACGTGTTTCATTCCCATATCGAGAGCCTGTTCATATCAAACAATTCATTTTTACGATTTACCTGAATTGACTATTAATTAACTGATCTTGTAATCATAGAACTGATCACAATTTCAATGCATTTGGACCCGCATAACCAAGAAACAGCCAGTCAATGAAAGAGCCAAGACTACTGAGAAAAATCAATAGCATCTCTCCGATGTTGCAGAGCCGCACTAGGCTACATGATGCAAGTGTTTAAATGCGGAAAACTATTGGTGAACTTTTTGTTTCCAATAGAATTCACTGTAATTTTCGGTTGTCTGCATTACTTCACAGCTACCAACAAATTCAGACTAGGTAGAAGGAGCAAGTATGCGATTTGATTTGATCCACAGTGTCGTAGTCAGGATGCAAGTGCAAACTACAAGTCGATCAGGCTTCAGCTTCCAGTTTGACAATTGTCGACCTTGCATTAAATTCGTATTTTTCTGTAAAAACGTATAAGGGCGTGCATTGGTTTTCATGCAGTTTCAGCGTTCCAGAAAGTTGCCGAAAATGGTGAATGTCTTTGTGGATTGCAAAAAACAATTTACGCTAAATATAAACCAATCTTTTATATCAGTTAGTAGTCATCGACGTTGCGAAAGGGCATGTACATTGGGCTTTTAACTGGGTTGTTTGTAGTTTTCTTCAGTCCAATTATTTTGCTAAATCCTAATCGAAGAGCCGTATCGTCACTCGTTCCTACAATTGTAGGACACCTTTTCGGCCTCCTTGATTTTCATAGTATTTTCTCTCCTTCAGAAAGTCTGTGGTATTGCTAGATTTCTGTTTCCGTGTCAGCGTCAGCGCACTTCTCATTATTTTTTCTTTTTGAATTGAAGGAGAATTCAGGCTGATAAAACAGATGATAAAAATATAAAGGGTGAATAATTTGATGCAAACAGATATTTGCAACATAACCTCAAAATAGAGCGCCTTTCTGAAGGTCATGAAAAACTATGAAAATCAAGGAGGTCATAAAGGCGTCCTACAATTATTGTAGGAACGACTGACGATACGGCCCTGCGTGTAGCTAACAAAGTTTCATACCTAGTACAAAACTGAAATGCAAAACATTTTAAACAAACCAGAAACTAATATGTATACCGAAAACGACTAACTGGCAACCTTTTAACGAGTAGCCATTTACTGGGCTTGGGACAACTTCATAATAACCAGTTATCACTATATGACAATTATAACTGCTGTATTATTACGATCTGAATAGTAACTACATAGATAAGAGTTAAATGAAAAGTAGCCATTCCTTAATATGGCTTAAAATAACTCTTAAAACTAAAACGCAAAGTGACCTCTGTAAACAGTTGAATAAACATAAAATGACATTTCTGTGAGTAATGTACCCTTATTTGTGGTTGCAGGTTGTAGAGGAAAATAATATCAATACGTCAATAATTCGTAAATAATATGATAAACATGGAGAATAATCAAGATAAAGAAAAACCTGAGCGTCAAGGTGATAAAGCTGATACAAGCATGGATACCTATATAGAAATAAACAACAGGCAAATTATGTACAGTCAAAAGTTACGAGAGATGAATTACGAAATCATGTTGATGGAGACTAAATTGATTGCAGCTTATTGCAAGTACGCTGAAGCAGTTAACACTTTGAAGAAAACCGATAATGTTTTGAACCTATAAAAGCGGATATGTTGGCAGACTTGTCAAAATCCATCTCTTTGCAAGTTGATTGTTTTGTAGTTGTTGTTGGGATGATAAATAGATCTTAAATATTGAAATAATATGTATTTTATTCCATATAATGAACAAAAAATAAGGGGTTGTGCAATAACAGTGTGCTAGTTTGTGAAAGTGAATATTTGGGGATGGCCGAGATAACCGCATTAAGGGCTCCAGTGGAAAGAAAAATATTTGTTTGAGAGTACATATGATATAACATCGCCTTATCACTTTTTTGACCAAAGCTAGAGCTGACAGCAGGCTAATGGAACGGTAATCTTGAGACAATAGCGATCCCACCTTCTTTGGAATCGTTGATAATATCAGCAGTCTTCCGCGCTACAGGGAAGTACAGGGTTCTTAGCATGGCATTGATTATTGCCACAAGATAAGTTAAGGACTTCCGCGAAAGTAGCTTCAGCGCTATATTAGTGATTTGATCTTCTCCAGGTGCTTTGCGCAGCACGAGGTATTTAATATTACCTTGAAGCTCTCCTGGTGTACAATGCGGAATGTCGAGAGATTTCGATGATGTGCTGTGCAGATCTTAAGCTAAATAATCTCCAGAAGAAGAATCGCTAATTGAAATACAATACCACTCACACTCAATGTGTTGCTTCACGTCAAGACCATTATCAAGATCATATAGTTGGGCGAGATCTTTCTTTCCATGAAATCAGAGAAAATGTTTGCCCTGAAGACTATGCTTTCCAAACCGTGATTGTGTGGAAGTTGTTCTCGTTTTCCGCTAGGAAGTCATTCCAGTGCTCACTGCTGAATTCGTAAAGAGCATATCTCATTTCGTGGACAAGGTTCGTCGCACATAACACGTACTTTATAAAAGAAAGTTAAATGAGTTACTTCTTATATAGTTAGTACGGAGTACAACCACAGAGTGGCGCTAATGCTGGATTTTCCCGTCGTTTTTTTTGACAGTCCATTGTTTTGACGTTGATATAATCGTAATTTTGAATTGAAAGCTGAATTTTGTGCGGCGCCGGCATTTTTATTAGTATTGTGAGGGTGATACGGATATCTATTGAGGGTTAAGCTGAATTTAAATTTACATGCTTAATCTTTGTAAGGGAGGCTTATCGAAAAAGGGTATTTAAAAAGAGCATGGTGCCTGGTTGTACTGATACAATCAGTAAAAGGCATACATTTCCAAAATATGATGACGCTCTTTTTAACAAATGTATCGAGCAAGTGCGGAATTCAGTTTGGACAATAAAAGTCCGAACAAATTTGTATTACTGACTTACAATTTTTGGAAAGTGATTAAGTGCCTGGAACCAAGAAGAGGTCTGAAAATAACAGCCTCTCCTACATTACATCTTCCTGAACTTCAATCTTCAAGTAAGTAACAACTTTGATTACATATATAAACCAGGTACATGCAATGTGCAAACTCATGAAATGAGTAGAGACTAGAGACATTGCTAATTGTAAATTTCCATGGTACATCGATAATATCGATCATTTTTAGATTACTAACAACTTGCATAACTGTTATTTTTATGTATTGTATAAAAACCAAATTTTAAAAATAAAATCAGGTTGAGCCTCATTTTACTTAAAATACCTTGTATATAATTTGAATATTTAATTCAAATTTAGCTCCACGGTGTAACAGAGAAGTCCAAAGATGGCGCTAGGTATTCTATATTTTTAAAGGGTTCTATAACAGTCCGTATATGTTCAATAAAAGGTTCGGAGTATATCCCAGCGATGGCGCTACAAACTTAATGACAAACCTTAGCATTACAGATTCCCTTATATGGTTCGTCGCTCTGCGAATGTCATTAGGATTTTGTCAAACATCTTCTGAAGAATGTCTACAGGAAGTTCAGACGCACGCAGTAGAGCTTTCTGAACGAAGCTTGTTCACTCCGCTTGCGCTGCATCTATACCATTCTCGTCGTCGATCAGGATATTGAAAAACCTCTAACGAGCAACTTGTTCAGGGTGGCCAACTAAAAATGCGAGATTCTGTATCTGGGAACCTATCCATCGTAGACTTGCGACAAAAAAATTCTGACCAAAAAAAAAACTGATCCTTAAATTCGATGAAAATCTAAACCTTTTTGGTTTGGCAATTTCTGCTGTATCTCTAAAAATAAAGTGATGGGTGGTATTCAAAGGTTTTGCGAAACGGCTCAGACGCTTTTAACAAACTTAGACTAGTTGAAAAGAGCTATTCTTGGGCTACAAATATTATAATATTTGAAGAGGAAGTCTGTCTCCATGAACTTCGTGATCACCAGACTTAACTTTTCTTGATTTATATTTATGGGGACGGTTATCGTACATCGTGTTTCAGACTCAAGCTACAACCAGAGAACATATGAAAAACCGGATTCGTAATGCAATACGTAACATACCTAGAGCCGAAATTGAATCTGCAGTTTTGTCTACCCATGAGAGGCTTCAGGAATGCATAAAGCGTGATGGTCAGCATTTCGAGCATCTACGAGAGCATGAAAGACATTCATTCTAAAGAAATTCCAGAAAAAAATAAAAATTTAAGGGATTTCCGTATAAATTTTAGGTTAGGAACACGATACAGTACCTAGCATTGTTACTTGGCCACCCTGTATAGCTTCCAATCAATGCGTTCCCTTGGAAAAGTTTCATCTTCCAAGTTCCAAGGTTTGCTCATTACCCACTTCCAGTACGCCAATACGACAGATGCTAGCTCCAGATGTCAGACATGATTCGAGAAGCTATACTGTAACTACAGTTTCTGGATATCGCAAAGCAATGACATCTTGTGCCGAAAGATGAATGAGTGATGGGTGGTGCAGGGGCTCCTCAGTACTCTGAGTGGATGAGGCACTATTTTCATATCACATGGCTGTACAGCCGAACTACATAAGTTGAGTTCACCCTCGAATGCCATGCTCGGTGTTTGCAGTTGAAGTCCCTGCCACAATAAGTGGACCTGAGCAATCCAAAAGGACTTCCAGATCCACATCTTGCAGCCCAGCACAAGACCTGACATACACCGATGTGTTCTTCAATGTCATATTAACCACCACAGGCTCTACTGCGATACTCCACATCTTAACGTTTGTGCTTCTGTGGTAGTCAATACCGCATTTGACTAGCGACGCTAAGCCGCCGCCCCGCTCAGTCTACCTGTCAGCACGGATAACATCATAATTCGGGAGAACTAAGTGGACTTTCGGATTAAGCAAGTAGAGCTACATCTATAGATCCATGAAGAAAATTCCCGTTTTTTTGGGGAATGACAGAGCTAAGCAATTCCAAAGATGAATTTCGATACATGTAAACTGTCTAGCCATTTAATTGATGCGTAAAGATCGCCTGCAATGCCTGGGAGGCACTAATCAGTAAGCTAATGATTTTTTGTGAGGACTAGAGCGCGGTTGCTAGGCCCCCACTTTGCGCGTTTTAGGAGGGTTGAACAGAGGGGGTAGCACCCACAGATGTTGGGTTAGCTACTTCCGCGTATGGTTAATGACTCCTTTCCAGACATCCTGTGTTGGCCAATGAGTCAACTGTACGGCACGGGTATATGTAAAAAACCTGTAAAACGACAAAAAAAAACAACAAAATATCTTGCAAAACTAGGTAGTTTTTACAGTGCAAATAGTTCATTCCACGTTATGACCGCTGTGAGCCTCTATCTATGGAGGAATGATTCAACTACACGCATTGTTGGTTGCATATGTTTTGTGAAGCCGAGCAGTCTGTAGTTTTCATCTCTGAGAAGATGTGAAAGCATAGCAAGATCGGATCTGGATGATTTTGTGTATTGGTCTGGATGTGTATAAAATCAGTTTTATTTCCTGCTTTTTTGTGTTTTCCAAAATTTCTAGAACACCCCACCGCGCCCCCGTTATGTGCAATTTTTTATCTCTCTCATTTTTGAAATTCAGCAAATCTGCATATTATATAATTTCCAGAATGAATAAGAAAAAGCGGATGCGCAACTAATTTCTAGCTTTGAATCTCAAGTAAGTGTATTTGAGACAAGAATCCGATGAAGTTATCAACTCATATTAGTACACAAATCCTCACTATGCACCTATTCATTGCCGTTTCCTTCTAGCTATAGTATGCAACTTACAGCTTAGACCTCCAATAACGCCATCTCTGAAGCAGATTTTACATCACATCAGAGTCAAACATTGATAACTGAAGCATCATGACGTCTAGACAACACGTACAACTACAAAACGAGTTCACATGCGTCCGTCTGCTAGTGCTAACATCTTGTAGAAAAACCTATATAAAGTCACAAAAAACAATACAATGTCAAAATAACATCGACATAATGTAACTTTTCAAGATACGTAACACCCGTGCAGAACAACATCTGTCAGCAACACGCAATCAATATCTAAACAGTGAATTAGAAATCAAAAAAACTACGTAATTATGCAATATATTTTTTATCAAAATATCTTCCAGTAAGCAAAGTACATAATATACTAATAATTGTATTTATAAAAGCGGTAAAATGTACATAACAATTCATTGATTTAAAAAATATCACATAAAATCATTAAAACGAAATAATCTATAGTATATACAACCTACGGATATTTTAATACATTAATGAGATTTTATTGCATGTTAAATACTATACAAATACTTATTTTATCACAGTATGATTAGTATTTAAAATACAGATGCAACGTCTTGGACATTGCAGTTTAAAACCATATAAAATATACGTTCCACCTGATAATGTTTATCGGTACTATAAAATTCCAACGCTAAAATGCTTCTAGGCAGCATTAATATTTCGACATAAAGATTCAACCAAAATACATCGCTCTTATTTCATATTAAATTTTTATTATCATAGTTATTTTGTTAGACCGTATGTTATAAAACGTATATAAAGCAACACGCTTCAGCGCGATGCCATATATGGCGTCATGCCATTGAAGGTTGGTTCACACCTGGGCCGCTGTCCAGTGCTTTTGAATTAAGAGTTGTAAGCACCCGGAGTGTGATGCTCTCGAACTGCTCTAGCAAATGTGCACGGGAACGCGACGATAAAAACATAACCTGTTTTTTAATGTTTTGCTTTGACGTTGACAATTTGTATCACATTGCCAAAGTATCCAATTATGCCAGATAATGCTTCTGGATAAATGTCTCGAATTTATATTTTAGTGTAGACATTCAAAATTATTTTCAAAGTGTCTAGTTAAAGATGAAGCCAACTACAAGCCACCAGCAACTTGCCTTCTTGCGCTCTCTTGTGATATTTATTATTCAGGAACATACGTTGTGACTCTGGGTCATAACATTATGTGTTTTACCATCCTCCATTGTCTGGTATTGGTTTAATGTGAGTTTAAGGGAAAAAACGATGCAAAAACATAACGTAACAATCTTGACACATTGTCATTTTCGTTATTCCCACTATTTCGGAACGTATAACACCAAATAAAAAGTTAGTGCATGAGGTGACAGGGGATTTCAAAAATGAGTAGCTCGGATGCATGACACTAGAGCAGTGGAATGGTATTGACAGGAGGTGGGCAGCACCGAGCTATTCCAAGTAACACAAATGAGGCACTGGAAAGCGGCTCCGATTAGCATTCAATTAGCTGACCTGTGACGTTTCTGTTTTTGCATGCCTATACACCAAGAGAACCGGCGAAATGAGCAAAAAACGACCCCAAAACTTGACTGAGGGCACAGTGATCGAAGCGAGTTCCAGCTACTACGCATGCGCAAGGTGTCTGAAACTCTCCTGTGAAGGTCAAAAACGGCAGCCATTTCGGCGGAGAAAGTCGAATGTAAATGCTCCCAGGGCAACGGTGAAAGAGTTTTTAGTGCTCAGCAGCAGTCGGTACACTATATCATATCGAAATATTATCATTTTAAGATTGCAAAGAACATCTGCGGCCGCTGGCATGATACGAGGAGACACCGACTGCTGCTGAGGACTAAAACCTCTTTCGTCGTTGCACTGGGGGAATTTACATTCGACAGGAGAGTTTCATAGCTGATTGTTATCTAAGCTGGGGTTATAGTACGAGTCCGGCCACTTGAATCTGCAGGTAGCTATTTTTTTATAAAACTGCTGTATTCTAATCTATTATTGTTTATCATTCATATAAATCAAGTTTCATAAACATGCAGATACCTGCACATTCAGCAGGCCGGATAAATTCAAAGCACAGCGTTGCCAAATGGCTCGGACAGGATTTCCCCAGGACAAGCACAACAAATACTCAGAATGCTACTTTTTCAACAAAAAATCCCCCAATCACAGTTGATTAATGGAAACAGGTTGGTTTGGCTCAAAGAGCGGGTCGATGCTTTCTGTCCGCGATACGTGTGATTTACCTCAGAAAATTATATCAACAAGCAAAAAAACACAATTTTGGCGGAAAATCTCCTAACATGGCAACCCTGTCAAACTACCACCGGTACTCATGGGGCTTGATTCTAAATGAGTTTCCACCGTTGAAATTGATTTCGATGGCGCCTTGTGTCGATATACTTGATTAGCTATGATAATTTTGACACTGCCATGATAATTTGAATATAGAGGATCAATATAATCACATGTCAAAATTATCATAGAGAATCAAGTATATCGTCACAAGACGCCATCGAAATTGATTTCAACGGTCGAAACTCATTTAGAATCAATCCCCAGGTGTAAAGTTTTGGGGTCGTTTTTACAGCACTGCCGTAATTTCTCCTGGTATATAGGCTCCATGTTTCTATGAATCGGTCACGGAAACAGCATAGCATTTTATAACTCCATTATCTACTGGTTACACATATATTTAAACTGATACAAAAAAGCCTGCTTGGAGCAGTTATAGCTTTGTAAGCCGAACATGTATATGAGTAGAAAAACCCCAATAGTACGTCGATTGTCAGAACGTTGACTGTCATATCTATTTCCAGATATATTTTACCGCTCTTCACAATAGTGAAAAACATCCATTTTTATTTTTAAAAATAGGCGAAGAAAAGGCAAAGCTCAGAGCCATGGTTACAATCAGGTTGAACTAATAATGATCCGTACTTTCAAGTGCAACCTATAGTTACGATCACTAACTTTTTGTGATTTTTTGAAAAGGATTATTCAAAAGTCGTCGATTAAAAATAAGTCCCCACTTTGGAGACTTTAACTTTTCTGGCAAGTGAACAACGTCTTTGTTCAACTTTAGGAAACAGCTGTTACATATCACCTCAAATGTTATTAGTGGATTAGAAAGATGGGCCACTGAGCCATTTTTTCTTCAGCAAAACGGTACATATTGCTGTACCTTGCTAGACCTGAACCGTGCAGGAGTGCGCTCCCCGTTCTCCAATTGCGGTACGGACACCCTAAGACATGCAGTCGATACTCAATCCTATTATAAATGATACCGAGACGTGATAGACATTTATAGATATCACAGAGCCGTGTATTCTTCAGGAGGACTTCGACTTCTGGTTCTGTTGAACAAATTTACCTTAGGCGTGCCATAAACTTTCAAAGAACTCCGACCAAAAGTCTTACGACTCCCAAAATCTAATGACCCTTTTTTATTCAAACTGTCCACCATATTCTTTACTACACTGCTAGAACCAGGAGTGGCACCAAACGGTTTTCTATGAGAGCTAGGTTCAAAATTCAAGAACCCCGTCCTTCGCTGCAAGATTGGCGTGAGTCTAGTCAAGATAGATGATTTTTCCGAGTCGTATTTTGGTTTAGGTTTCGTAGCAGGACTTTTTAAAGTTAATGTAAGTTCTGGATCATCTTTTACAGTATCTTTTTTAAAATAATCTCTCGAATCCGTACTGCAGTGCCCTCCTTCCTCTATATAAGGCGGACTTTCATCTATCTTAGAAAAAGTTCTCCTCTGTAAAAGCGGAGTTCTCCGCAAACATGGCGAATTGTCCGCATCTTTCGTATACCTTCTAGAATTTGAAGATGACGATTCAAATGTTCTAGAGCTAGATTCATCAAAGCTACAAGCTGGTTTACGTGCAAAAGTCACTAGATCTGGTGAGTTGCCGACACTGCTGAAAGATCTATTATAACTTGCTTGAGGTATAGTGTTACTGCTGTTGATATTCTTAGTACTTTTAACATACTTTTCAGTTACTTGAGATGGTAAAGTTGAAGTTTTGAGACCTATACTATCGAGATTTAAATTTGAGTTTTTACTAGGATTATTAGGCAATTTCCTTACATCAAATGCTTTACTTTTACCTAAGAATTTTAGTTTGTCTCTGACTGAAGTATTTTCTTCTTTAGTTTCATTCACTTCTTTAGGAAACTGGTTACGCGTGAAGTTTTTAGGAACCTTCCTTAATTTTATATCAAAGTTATTTTCCCTGAGATTATTTTCTTTATTGGCTAAGTTTTTAGGCGCATTATTAGATTTTGCTATACCGCTTTCATCCAGTCTTTTTATCGCAATAGTTTTCTGTGCATCACCCACAAAAGCCGCATCGTTTTTCAGAAAATCTATGTTTTCATAGTTTGGATATTCCTTTTCAACAATTTCTAAGTCAGGATGCTTCAAAACATTATTTAATACGTCCTCTGTCGTCTTGGAAAGAACGGGTTTGTTATTGAGACACTTCTCCACTATGGCATCGTTGCTGGAAACTTTGATGATAGGCTTGACAGGACTCTTGAGTAAGTTTTCGGAGGACGGCACCTTAGGCACGGATTTCAGACTTTCGTTACTCTTATATACCTTCTCATTGCTCTTATAGATCTTCCCTTCACTTATAGGTTCCAGAGCGGGACTACGATGCCCAGAAATGACGCCTTCGGGAGTGGTGCTTCCCGAGGAACTTGGACTAAGTCCTCGGTAGTGCTGGATGTCGAATATGAGGTCTGGAGGTAGATGCATGCCTACAGATAAGTGCATGGACAGGGATTCTAACCAGACTTCCATCACTTCAAAAGGCGGCCTAAAACAAAGTTTTATTACCAACTAATCGTTACCCGCAACTAGGTACAGGCGAAATTATAATATCAGGGTGGCCGATATGTAACTGACTGGTTTGTATCTTGAATATTTGTGGAATGTAATTAAATACGTCAATTTTTTTCATCTTAATCTTTTATTGAAACATAGAAATTATGTATGAAAAATAATATCAGATAAATGTCCGCCTCTAGAAGCCGCGCAAACCTGAGCCCTCTTGATTACATTTTCCATCACTTTTTGGTGGGTTTCGGGAAGAATATTTTCAATCGCTTCCGTAATATTGTTCTTCAGCTATTCATAAACCCCCATAAAAAGAGCCATGAGCTGTTAAATCCGGCAATTTTGGTGGCCAGTTGACATCCCCAAATCGAGAAATTAAACGTCCCGGAAATATTGTTCGCAAAAGATTCATTGTTTCCCTAGCTGTGTGACAAGTTACTTCAACCTACTGGAACCATATGTTTTGCAGGTTAAATTGTTGGATTTGAGGAGCCAGAAAGTTTTGCACCATATAACGGTAGCGCTCGCCAGTGACAGTAAGAGAATTTACCTGCAGTGTCTTCAAAGAAGTAAGGTGAAATTACACCTCCATACCAAACACCGCACCAAACTGTGACTCGACGAGGATTTAGTGGTCGTTGATGGATGAGACGAGGGTTCTCTAATGCCCAGATACGACAATTCTGCTTATTAACAAATCCGGAGTACGAACAGTTCGAACACGGCCCGACCTTCGCAAGTCTTCAACTTTACCTCTTTGTTTAAATTTCCGTACCAACTGACGAATGATGTTAACACTGGGCACATTATTTCGACCAAGTCCTCGTCGTAACTTCTGAATCGTTGCAACAATCTACTCATTATGTAAGAAAAACGTTTCAACAATACGGACGCGTTGTGGGATCGCGATGAAATGGACATATGTGCTTCAAACAACTACTACGGCGCCATGTACTGAAATGCGTGTATCAAAAATGGCGCGCAATTTAAATCAGTCAGTTATATATCGGTCACCCTGTATAATAAATCATTGTATTATTGCTAAAACTCCGATCACGTTTTGTGATTTTGGTGACATTAGTAAATAGACACTCAACTTGAGTCTTGGTAAATTTGGTTATTTTATTAATGACGCCACTTATCGTTGAGCGGGTAAAACTGCGAGGAAAAGTTATCAAGTATGGAAGCTACAAAAATTTTGAAAGTAAATTTTTAAATTAAAGCAAATTTTGCATTGTAAAAGCTACCGCTTTGCAAATTTCGGAACACTATATAAACTAAACTTAAAAAAAAATGATGATGTTCCCCAACCCTCTCCTAGCCCATTTTAAGGAAATAATTTCTGGAGCTGTTTTTTAATAATTATTTTGAAGATAAAATTAAAAAAGATACTTCTACTTGTAGGCTGGCTTAATTTGAAATCTTATACCGACCTTAGGAATGGAATTTCAAAAATTCCTTTCTACATAGCCGTTTACATTGTATCAAAGAACAAACATATGAGACTCATATTTGTATCCCTACTTTAGAAAATTGAAGTTTCTCCATGGTAGCTTTTATTTCCCAGTTCAACCCCTTCAAGTTTAATTTTCGCAACAACACAGCCTATGTCTGTGTCCAAGGTATAATCTATAATTACGCTAAAACTCATCAAAATTGGTTAAGCCGTTTTGGAGTGAGAACGTAATATACATACAGACATACTCACTTCCACATTTATAATGTTAGTGACATACGACATTCAAATTATTTAATAGTAATCAGTTTGGATTTAGAAAAGGCATGTCAACCAAAAATGCCGTACTTCGTTTCCTAGATGATTTATATCCCAAGATGGATAAAGGAGAAAAATGCATAGGTATATTTCTTGATTTAAGCAAAGCTTTTGACTTGGTTGACCATGGTATTCTGCTAGATAAAATGGATAGATATGGAATCAGAGGGAAGCCATTTGACTGGTTCCATAGCTATCTGTCGGATAGAATCATGTCGAGGTACAAAATGCACAGTCCAGCCAACATTTCTACCATACTGGTGTTCTACAGGGTTCCATACTTGGTCCTCTCTTATACATAATGTACGTCAATGACTTCCCCTCCGATTGCTCGGTAATGTATGCTGATGACACTTTATTACTTGTTAATGGTAAAAACCTAGAATCTGTTGTAGGACTTGCCAATTCAAGCTTGACTGGTGCAGGTAAGTGGTTCAGCAATAATGGGCTCATCTTAAATAATCAGAATTCTGTTTTCTTTAGATTTAACCTTTCCACCTCACCGATGGATCACACTTTATTAATAAAATCGTTTGGCAAATCAATAAAACAAGTAGATGCGACTAAATTTTTAGGGATATATATATCTTAAAATTGTAGATGGGATACGCATATTGAGAAAAGTAGCCAAAAGATCGCCCCACTCTGTTACTGTCTGTACCAGTTCAGTTTTGTTGTGGAGAAGTGGATATTACTGATATTTTACCATGCACATATCCATTCAGTCCTAATTTATGGAATAGAAGCATAGGGAGCATCGTCCCAGCTGCAAAGACTTTTTGTGTTGCAAAAAAAAGGCTGTTCGAGTAATAGCTAAAATTGGAAGGCTCACTAGCTGCAAGGATTCATTTAGAACATTAAAGATTTTAACCTTATCATCTGTATATATATACTCAATATACTTATCCTTGCTAAAACACAATTGAGCAAGTTCAATTCTGTAAGCACTGGTGCTTACTTTACAAGGAACAGTCAAGTATTGGAGGTGCAGTCGCATAGATTGGCGAGAACGGAGGAGAGCCCTAGATACATGGCTGTTAAGTTTTTCAACAGACTCCCCAACAATTTGAAATCACAACCACTGAACACTTTTAAAAGAACAGTGAAACAGTTTTTACTGTAGAAAGCTTTTTACTCTATTGAGGAATTTTTAATGTGTGAATGTCTTGTTTGATTTTGTTCATTGTTGTTTGAATGTCACTTAATGGTTTGTCCTTTATTTCGCTTTTTTATATATACATATATGTTTTATATTTATAAATTTTATCAATAAGCTAATTTGATTTATCTGTATCCATATTTGGAATATGCCATATGTGGTACGAATATGATTTGTTATTAGCTTTTGTAGTGCTCTGACTGACTTATCCTATATCACTTCTGTGATCATACAGGACTAATAAATTATTATTATTATTATTATAACACAATGCATGAAGATACAATTTTTTTTACCAAAAGTTCGGGTCTTACCTCCTGTCAGGGTTCAAATCCGTGCACAAAAAGGCTATCTGAAAAAAAGGCTCAGGGCAGGAGCCACAGAATTTTTCTTTGAAAACTACTTGATTTAAGCCAAAGTCATTGGATCTAGGAAGAAAATCTGGATCTGCTTCGACTCTTCCAATGATCTAAAACCAAAAACGTTCAGTTTTATCCGTATAATTTTTGTTTCAATGTTTCATAGCACCTCACAAATGACTATTCCAAAACTGAAAATGTCCACTTTTTCATCGTATTTGTTTCCTTTCATCATCTCTGGTGCCATCCAATAAGGATTTCCTACAACTGTATAACGCTTCTTCCTTTCCTGCTTCCTTCCGCCTGTAGGGTTGCTTGGAGATACCTTTCGGGTACTGTTTGTGGATTGTGATACTATCCTCGCTAAACCGAAATCTGCTACAATCACAGTTTTGTCGTCTCGTACCAGGCAGTTATGTGAATTCAGATCTACAAAAAGATATGAAAACAATATGAAAGGCTGTTTCAAATGTAAATTAGAATGTTTCACAACTAAATAAGACCCTGTGCTTTCGAGAAAACAAGGGTGCTGGCGGCCTAAAGCATGCAGAAACAAGTAACAATTTAAAAAAAAAAGTAGTGCAAAGAAAGTGAGAAATAGTGAATTTATTCATAAAAAAATTAATTTTTTGAGAAATTGAATATCACAATGCCAATTTTCAACGGATCATATAAATAAGAATGTGTGAAAAAAACTAGAATAACTTATATAAGGTCTTTGTTACTGTCTTATTGACGTGAGCAAAAATAATTATTCATATGTATGCATAATTAAAGATCAAATGCACATGATGCATAAAAGAAACAAATATAATAAATAAATTCATGTAAATGCGGGAGACGTACTTGTATCTACCAAATATTCTTGCCCAATTGATTGAAATTACATTTTAGCGAACTAATGTTAAAAATTTGAAATTTGATATAGTTATTATATATGAGTATTCTTTACACAATAGTTGACAAAATTAATCACAACAACAAACAATATGTACAACGAGTGCGAAAATAGAGAAAAAAGTGAGGTGGGTCGAAAAAAGTGAATCACCAGCATCCGTAAGAAAATATTGGGGCAGCCGAAGTTTATTTTCGAAATTGACTTCATATTATTAGGTCAGTCTGTCTCAAAGCACCCTAATAGAAGTAGGGGGTTGTTTTGAAAACAGCAAGAAAAATAACAGTGACTCCATACCTCTGTGAATGATGTTCATGGAATGTAAATAGGCCATCCCAGATGCAATATCTTTAGCAAAAGACACCCTTTGTTCCCAAGGCAGTGGCTGTGCAACATCATGTAGTAATTCAGTTAAGGTACCACCTGAAATGTACTCTGTAACCAGATGCAGTCTCCTCTCCTTGTATAGTACCCCTATGAAACGCAGCACATTGTTGTGATGTAAACTCCTCAGTACTGCCACCTTCAAAAAATAGATTGATTTGTACCAGTTAAGATAAAATTTATAGAGCACATTCTAAGAGTATACTGAGGAATGTTTACCTCTTTAAGGAAGTTTTTCTGAGCTTCCTCATCTACTCTATAGAGCTCTTTTAGCACCATAACCTCCTCTGTATCTCTGGTAGTAACTTTGTATACCTGCCCAAAAAATCCCTGGCCCAGCAGTTCCCCTTTGACCAAATCTGAAGCTCTGAACACTCTCTGTTGAGGTTTAGGCTCTAAGAATGAGTGGGCTCTTGATAGTTCCATGCATCTTTTAGAGTTTGGAGTACTGAAATTAATAAAGTTTGATTCCATTTGTATAGTTTATTTAAAGTATTGATGATCTCAATGATTCTATTGCCATTATCACAAATGTGATTTGTGCGCTGGTTTGGATTATTTTGGTTTTTCACGATTTTTGGAATGCGATTCAAAGGGTTCTCTTGTCGCTCGACATCATCACAGCTTCTGGTCCGGACTTGATTCCTGCCATTGTAGTGAGGAGGTGTGCAGCGGAGCTTGCTCCAGTTCTTTCGCGTCTCTTCCAGATATCTATGAATCCGGTACTTTCCCACAAAAAAAGGATCTAACACCGACCCTTACAACTACAGGCCTATAGCTCTGCTTTCTGTTATAAGTAAGGTGATGGAGCATATATGGTGAGCTTCTGGACTACCTCAAACGTCACGACTTGATTAGCGACAGGCAGTATCGTTTCCAGCACCAGCAATCTACAAGGGCCCTCCTAGCTTACGTCGCGTAATTGTGAAGTAAACTCATCCAGTCTTATGACGAGGCTCATATCGTTGCTCTTGATATCACGAAAGCGTTCGATCAGCTGTGGCACGCTGCCCTCTTATGCAAAATTCCATCCTATGGCCTCCCAGAGAAGCTTTGCAGAGATGGGTGGCTGACTTTCTCTTTGGCAGCAAGATATCCTTCATCCCATACCGTCGACGCGGGTGTTCCCCAGGGAGCGGTGTTGTCTCCGATACTGTTCCTCTTACATATCAACGACCTCCTTTCTTGCACGATCGCTGCTGACAGCACTCTACATGCAGAAATTCAGAGTGGCAAGCCGATCTCTGCCACTGAGCTGGAAAAAAGAAGACTAGCGACGACTGCCTCTCTGACGAGAGACCTAGAGGCTATCACTTCTTGGGGCCGCAACAATCTTGTACAGTTTAATGCTTCCAAAACACAGTACTGCATCTTGACGAACAAAATGCGTCCTAGCACTCATCCGATTTCGATGGATGGCCGAGTTCTGCTAAAGAGCCGTTCATTTCGATTGGTCGGAGTCCAGATCACCGAGGACTTGGTCTGGCACGAATAGCGTCAATAGCGGCAGCTTCGTACATCCAGAACTGACCGATACGACTGCTCCTTTGTCCCGAGGATGTCGAGATTGTGGAACAATCTACAAGAGGAAGCTTTTCTCAGTTCTACTAACCTTACGCAGTTCAAAAATCGGATCAACAAAATTTCTTTGGGATCCTCATAGTAGCTGCGGTGTTCCGGCATTTAGGGTTCTGCCTGCGCGGCTGCTTCGGTATACGAATATAAAAAAATAAAGCTTCGTATATTAGGTAATACAGGAAGCTACTGATGGAAATCGGTCTTCACTAAATAACTTTTGAACAATACTGTATAACTCAATGAAACCAACCCTAACCAGTTGATGCTTCATATGATGGAGCCCATGAAAAGCAATAAGCTAATAGCCAGGGACGGACTACCGCCAACGGAATTTTCTTTGCGCCCTCTATAATAATGGCTCCATGATATTTTTGAAACCCTATCCTTTTAGCTTAAAAACGCATAATTGTTTGAATCCGATAAAATAACAAAATGAGTAATTTTTGAGAAAATCACTCTTGTTTCAGTGCTGTTTTACAGATTATGATAGCGATTGCGATCTGATAATGATTCCGTTATTGTGAAAATATAGAATTATTTTAATAAGAGATGCGTAATTAACGACATAAAAAAACATGTATATATAAATTTTTAGATCACTTAGCCAGATGCTGTAATGAAGAGGTATTTCAAAAATTATCAAACGACAAAACAGCCTTCAATAGTCTAAAGTCCAATGTTTTGGAAATACCCTGTAGAGTGGAAGGCAACAAGCAACAATCTTCTTGATCATCAAATGGAAAGTACAGTGTAGCGCATACACTTGCAGAAAGTCATTTTACTCACTCATCCAAAAGCCTACTCATCGAACTGCTTCTCTCCTTATCCAGCACTTGCCTATCTTCATTCAAATGATGCTTCCTCCTGAGCTGTCTGGACCTGGTCCCACTCATGTACCCCTCATCCTTCCTTTTGAACAATCTCTCCTTCTCACCTCTGCCACCCTTGGTAGCAGTCTTTCCCCCCTCTCCAGTTTGGCTTTCCCTGCCCTTAGATGCTTGCAGGTTTGAAGCAGATCCACCATGCATGGATTCATTTGAACCAAAGTCTGGCTCTTGTGGAATGATTTTTGTTGATGGAATGTTTGTATCACTGGCTGTGGTAGTCAGAGGATTACTGGAATGTGGTTGATTCGCGAAACTTGGAACATTCTTCAATACTGTATCTGGGTCATGTTCTATGGTCAACTGTAAATAGAAAACATGACATGAGATAACAAATTGCCATTTAGTAAGCATTAGGTACCTGTAATACTGTATCAGAGCACCTAAGAAGATTTTCTACATTTTCTAAAGGTGTATCTTTCACTGGCATTCCATTAATTTCCAAAATTTTATCACCGATATGTAATGACATCAGGTCATTATTAACTTCTAACCTACAAGAAAATCACACCATTAAGCAATTCCAGCCTATGAACCAGATCTAAATGTACCTTATGTTGATTATTTTCTCAAGACAAACATATTAAATAAAAAATACTGCCAAATATTTCTCGTAAATGAGAATTCTTATTAGAAAAATAGTATGAAATGTGTTATTTCGTTATTTCCATGCAAAATGTTACATACACCTACCTATAAGGAGGTATAAAATAACAGCATATATTATAAGCAGATGTTAGAAATGCAAAAGCCACCTGAAGCAGTTTTCCTCGAAGTTTCCTGACAGACCTAAATCCAAAAGGTGATAATTATATGCAGAAATTGTAAAATGTGGAATATGTATATTTAGTGAAGTAGTAGAAAGTGTGACAGCAAAATGCTCATCCATATTAGTGATGCAACCTAAGAAATACATATCTTGTTGTGTTATTTATCTTACTCTGATATGGTGAAACACTGGCTATCACTGGTATGACCCAAATCTTTGGACAACTTGATCCCTTTTTGACCTCCTGGAATTTCAACCAATCTGATTGAATGAGGTTTCCTAATGAAGGGAAATCTTGCTGTTTTTTGTAAAGGTTGCATTTGACGTTTATAACACTGCCCACTAAAAGGAAAAAATGAATGAGTATAAAAGATGAAATAAATGCAGCAAGGACCATACCAATAGAGTTTAGATCTCTCAACAAGGGCATATGAGTCTCCATCTCCAATAAAGGCACTACAAGAGCAACAGCAGAAGCACTCTGGATGGAATTTGTGCTCTCCAGCAACCATAACTGGACCTGTGATAATCTAAAATAACAATAAATTGCTAATTTCAACAACTTCTTCAAATTTATTCAAAACTGGTTGGATAAAACACATAAAACGGAGCAGGATGAAAAACTACAGCAAAAGGCAATCTTTATAGTGCAAACAACCATTCTACTCCTCTTTCATCACAACAATTATAATAAATAAATGAACATCTCCTTCCATGCTCACAGTTACACTTGAATGTAATCTTTGCTATCTGTAATAATCTGTTTAATACTGGCAGTACTACACAGTAGAACTCAATATCTTAACCATTGCTGTACAGATATTATACCTGACTACACTGTTGACATGCTTCCCCATATCTGGCCCAATAATCATCTTTACAGAAAAGTAGGCCATCTTTCTCAAAATACCAGTTTGAAAGAGAAGCATCACATGCTGAACACCTAAAATAAGTTAATAAAAAAGGAAATTATCATCAAAAAGATTTAAAAACAGCGGCACAGCTGAGTTTTCTCGAAATGCGATTTTTTGAAATCGCATGAAGCATAACTCGAACAAATATCATTTTTGATAAGTTCAGTTCAAGTTAAAATCACCTACTTATTTCCTTAGCTGTAAACATGAACAATAAGTTGTTTTTTTCTTTGTGCCTCTCGAAAATGGCTGTGTTGCCGATATTTTTGAATCTTTTGTTTATCAACAATATACAACTCTAGAATGAGAGTTCTAATATTAAAATAGTGCTAGTGAACTATGTAAAAATCCTGACACTGATTGTTTGGACATATTGAAGGTTGCAGACTGCTACTTATTAAATGAACAAGGAATTAGTCCACTTATTAAACATGAGGCATAGTTATAGTTACAAATTAGGAACAATATTTTTTTTATTACCAAAAACATTAGACATGAAGCCAAGGTCAGCACTTTCTTGATAGTATTGTTAGACATGTTAGTTAGTATGATGAAAACAATATTGTCAGCTAACTTCAAACACAAGATAACCACTATTCTAACTTTTTGAGTTGTGTATATTTTCACATGGACAAATCCATTTAGTTTACGTTAAATTATATTATAATTGGAATATAATTTTCACTCCACTGTGCCCCAAGTCCTAATGTCATTATGCAAGTATTGTCAAACAAGTGAATTCCAATTACTAAAACTTCCTTTTGGGAATTATCTGGGTTTTGCAGTATCCCAAGTATATGTATCATAGTGATTTCTATATACTGTACAAGTTACAATTTGTTGACAATCCATTCAGAGAATAAAGCATCCTCAGGAACTTATATTGTATGAAATAATGCCTTTTTTTTAATGCTGCTACAGTTTAAACACACTTTGGGCATGATCAAGGTAGGTAGTGCAGTTCCCTTAGAGCCTTACCTGTCAGTGACCATATCCAAGATACACCACACAAATTCTATTCATGCTGCTACGTTACATATCTTGTGGCCATATCCTGGACACAGTCACCAACAGGTTACCAACTACTGTAAGAACAAATCTATGGTGATATTGCCAGCATCCATGATCCATAACTATACTACTAAAATATACAGCACCTCAAAATTGATATTTCAATAGATTAGTTTAGCTATAGATGTTGCTGCACATCACCATGGTGTCCTAGTGATGGAGGGCTCTACATCCCAATGATAAGTTTATGCTGATGAATTTCTGTTAGTTTTACCTGAAACAATCTATGTGCCATTCTTGTCCAAGTGCAGATATAAACTCTTCTTCTTCAATTACATTCAAACAACCAGAGCAGTTATTTACTGCTGGTGGAGATGCAGAATTTTCATCATTCACTGAAATCATAGTGCTCTCAAGTGAAGGCAATATCAAGTGTACTTAGATAATGGTGAAATATAGACTAGACCAGATATAAAATCAATACACTATTAAATGTGGATCATACCACCCACCCAATTTGGTCTCATATAAATATGATAACAATTTGTATGCAATATTATCTACTTCCTTGCATCTGGGGACTAGAAGTATACATACAATAAAGTAAAAATGTAAACAGACTTCAGATAGAATCTAAAAATATATCAATGAGAATGGTAAAGGGAAACAATATTTTCTCTTGTAAGGGAAAGCATGGCCAAGCGATTTATACAATAGAAAGCCATGCGAGAGAGAATTTGAGAAAATAAGGAACATGTTTTATTCAGCTTTGGTGACCAATTCGCCCACGCAGTAGGAAAATAAAACAATGCATAGGGTACTAGTAAATGCTGTAATTTCTAAAGATAAAGTAACTGCACATTGGTCTTACCATTTTCAAGCTGCTCTTGCATATTTAACATTCAAAAATAAATACAATAAAAACAAAAACTCATTTATGCTATAAACAAATCTACAAGATGTAAAAACATGAAAAAAGTACTTTCAAGTTTCAAAGTCATAACAGAGACTTGAAAACAAGAAGAAGTAGCATTACGACACAAATCTATTTGTATGTAGCATGCATCACGGATATTTACGCCCAACCGTCATTTGAACCAATCATTTCTGTAGTAGCTGGATGAACAGCCAATCGAGATGCAAGTAAGACTACATCCCCGTCCACGTGCTATAGAATGGTATCATGTGAAAACGAGTCTATTAATGTTTTGCCTCCTCATATTCCCAATCAATGAATTGACATTTGTCAAAATCAAGAATGCAACCAGTATTACTCATTAAGCTGTACAGTGGCGTAACATGAGGACAATGTTTGCGTTTTTTTAGTGTAGCTTCGATTTTATGAAGATGTTCAATATTTCGTGGTCTTGCTCATCAAAGTATAAAAAGAGTACGACTTCTGAACCACCTAAAAATAAATCTTTGTTTATACTCTTGTTTATCTGTCCAATGAAGCCACATTTACTTGGAATTCTTCTTTAATGTAGCATACGTTTCGGTCACAACGGTGATCTTCTTCAGTACATGACACTTTTACCATATTTTATTTATCTGTCTTCCAGACGACACTTCGTTTGTTTTTTCACATTTTCAGATTTCTACTACAATAGTCTGAAAGGATGAAATAGTCGAGATTCGTTTATTCCACATTGTAAGATGGCGCCACGCAAAACCAGCATAGGCGAGGATCGCCTGAGGTAAGCATTCCTGCTCCCGTCTAGCTTCCCAAAAACGAAAAGTAGGAAAAAGGAAAAGCAGCTCTATGCTGGTTTTGCATGGTGCAATCTTAAAACTTGGAATGATGGCTTATTCGCGAATCCTTGGCATGTTATGGACCTTTAAGACTAATATAGTAACACACTGTAAAGGAATTTGAAAATTATAAGAGAAAATAAACGAAGTGTCAACTGAAATACAGTGAAATCCATAAACCACTGAAAGAGAAGCGCGAGAAGCGTGCAATGCCTTTGTTGGAAAGATATAGAAGAGCATCGTTGCCTAGCAGCGCGAGTGCTTCTCTCGTACTCATTACGACGTCAGCCAAATTCGAACCTCATCGTATAAATAAAGTATTGTCAAAAGTGTCATGTACTGAAGAAGGTCACCGTTGGGACCGAAACGTATACTACGTTAAAGAAGAATTATTATCAATTATTTGTGGTTTCATTTGGTAGATAAATATGGGAGATTATCGACATGGATACGTTTCAGATTTTACTTCATGGTTTTCCGATTTGCTGAATTACCTGTATGAAGAAAAAAAGGTCCAAATCGATTATTTTTCCGGCAGTGAAGATTTTTCGTTTTTGAACAACTTTCAGTAGAAACACTAGATCCTTCCTCAAGCCAGTAGGATAACATCGCCACTCCAAATTGTATACGTTTTTACTGAGGTTTTGCAACTGAAAAGTTATTATTTTTATCTCGTGGTGAAGATATAATAAAAGCGTAATAAGAATATCCTAGTCACCTCCACAGACAACGTCTGGCAACAGTATGTAAATAAAAACATCTCCCCTAGCGATGCAATCAAGAAGCAGGAGACATAAATGTAATCAACCAAAGTGTTTATCTACAAAAAGAAATAGTTAAAATGCAACTTAGGTGTCTTGTCAAAGAGTTAAGTATTTACCAAAGGAACTATTGACAGCAAAGAGCAAAAGAGAAATACTGCGCTACCGTATTGTATGAGAAGTTGGACGTTGTATAGATTTTCAATCATGTTCATCGCCCTAAAAAATAAAAATACACCATCAACACATGTGTACATCAGGGTGTCCCAGTCTATGAGGGCAAACACATTTTTGTTCGAATGGACAAGTTTACAATTTTTGTTGTTATAAGCTCAAATAAAATTTTAGGAAAAATAAAATAAGATGGTGAAAAAATTATTAATTTATCTCTAAAAACAAAAAAGTCGCAACCTACCAAGTTGCGCTCCGCGAGAATATTTTTATTCCGCCTGAACGCGTCGCGTGACATCACACTTCGCTATCCAGTTGCGGCGGCCGTGGTCACACATACGTACGCATACAGCGGGAAAACGTGGTAGGCTAACCGTCTTCCGCCCAATTTGTTTAATTAGGTGACTACATATACAATCGGTTATGAGCGAAATAACAAAAAAAGTTGTCATAAATTAATTCTGTATCGTTCCAAAAATGTTCCAAAATGTACGAGCACAACGATTACAACCGCTAATAAACATTTTTTCTACGTACCCTCACAAGAAAATATCAGGAAAAATAGTGCAAACTTATGAAAAAGTACAACATATGTCTGTGAAGACCACCTTGATATATGTATATCACTTTACTACTTATTTATGATTATTAGATAATTATTATTATATGATTTCCAAGCTCATTTCACTGTACACGCGAATTTGGGGGGGGAAGGGGAGGCGGGGATGTTTATCAACTAATATTACGGATCACTTATTTCAACTCAGCGAGAATAGCTGTGAGCTACTATATCTATATATATATATATATATATATATAGTGTCACTTACCCCCTAAAAAAGGCGTCAAGTAGGTTGACTCTGTACTGCATCATGTACAATGTTATCACGTATATATTTTAATGGGACTTTAGAAAAGTAACACCTTTATCAAATTAGGTTACTTTAAATGATACTGAAAATCTGATAAAATAGAAACTAGTCTGTAGAAGATTGAAGCTGAAAGTTAGAGTAAGCCCTCATAAGTTTAACTGCCAAAAAGGTGTAAATTAAGCCATTACGTCGATATTATTAAGTTTTCTTCGTTTACATTTGTTAATTAGTCTATCGAAGGAGTTAAAAGATCCTCTACTACGTCTAAATTTGGAGAACTTCCACTTTCGTTATTGAAATCTTCGGCTTTAATAAACTTAATAGCTTAATACTCGTACTACTGACAACTTTAGATAGCGCTGGATTCATGCAATAAGACTCTACTGAAGTACTTGCAGATTCGCTTCTCTTCAAAAGCCAGATCGTTATTGTATGTTTACATCCACCAAGCCTAGCAGCACAATAAATGACACACAACAGTTTCAATTTTTTTCCTCACTTTCGTTACAGTGGTAAGACGTAATCTTCACTTGATGCTCAGGTGTAACTCTGCATTCTACAATGCATTTTGTACCTTCACGTTTCAAAAGAACATAACTAATAGCATCTTCACGATACGAATCTCTACCTGCCCTGGAAAATATTGTGTCGTATTCTCAAATATGTACTCATATTAGGCATCAACACCAATTTGTTTGAAACCTCAGTAGGGTATCGCACATTTTACAGCTAGCTGTGATAGTGTCACGTGCCAAAATCACGTAACCTTTCTTTTTACTATTTTGATCGCTTATGAGTAATTTGAATTTCTCTTTATTAATAGTAGATTACCGATTAATAGACCAAGCCCTTGTTAATGATTTTCTTCTGTCAAATTTCATAGTTTATTGATTGTAGAATTTCACACTGTGATTCTCAGCGACTCAATATTGTAATGAAATCCTTCTTCTATCTGAGAAATTTTTTCCTCATAAAATATTGTTGGTCCCTGGTAGACAATTTGTTTCTGCCTACAATCTGCCCACCTGCAACCAGCGCCCATCTTATGATGTGTATACATACTAGCCATATATGAATGTTTGCCTTCCTACCAAGATACCTTCTTTAACGGCTTTTATCCGTTAATTTTGATGTTAAGTCGAACGTGCCTTCTTCAGGGCCACTTATTCAACCTTCTTTTAGGGGCTTGCTTGCTCAGACGGTCCAGCGCCATTTTACCTTCTGCTGTAGTTTTGGTTCTGTTCGGGCGTTTTTTTTTCGTTTACTTCCAGATTTTGGGATATTAACGCCTCAAGCACCAGTTTATGGAGTAGTACCCTTTTATTTTGTACCGTACGTTTAGTTGTGTTGGTTAGGGTACTACCCCGTCCATTTTGTAATGGGATTTTAACCAGCGGTAAGTTCTCTTTTGTATACCACCGGACTACGTCCTTTAATACTTGTCCTGAAGAAGATTGTTCAATATCTGATTCCTCTTAGTGGAAAGCCTTTGCGGAGAACCACCATTCACACTCCTCCAGCTTTGTTTTGTAGCTGCCTTGTAGCTGTTTCGCAGCCGATTTTGTTGGAAGCTATCTCTTCCCCTTTATAAAAACCCTGATGAACAGGCAACATATCATTTTAATTGGGTATTTTATTTGATATATTGATTGTTGCTGACTGAAATTCTTAGTGTGTTCTTGATTTGGTGCTGTTGCGTCTTGTAGAACTTCCGATTTCACTGTTTTTTCTCTTAAAACTTTTAGAGGGTAGTCTGATAGATTATTTAGAAACAAAAAAAAGTGTGGATGAAGCACACTTTTCATGAAAAAAAATTCCCAAAACATTGTATTTTTAGCTGTTCTTTCCATCATTATTTCCACCGCCATCTATCTGCCATATGACGTAGACGTCTGTGCATGTCATATATGAGAGACGCTTGCCTGCGGTGATGTCGGATTGGGCTCCGCATTTAGGGAAAAATATGAAAAGTTGAAAATTTATATACATCTGTATATTAATTAATGAATCACAAAAACGAAAAACTGAAACAAACAACAGTAACAAAATAAAAGGCAATTCCTGATAAGTGATAAAAAAAAAATAACAAACAGCAGTAAAATAAAAAGCAATTCTAAGTGATTATAAAAAACAAAAAATAAAAATAGCAGTAAAACAAAAAAAAAATCCATGTTGAATAAAAAGCAATTCTAAGTGACAACACAAAACAAAAAGTAAAAACAGTAGTAAAGCGAAGAACACTTTAATTACATCCAAATTGCTTTTTATTTTACTGTTTGTTATTTTTTGTTTCTTATAGTTAAATGGAATTGTTTTTTTTGTTTTACTACTGTTTTAATTTTTTGTTTTGTATAAACACTTAGAATTGCTTTTTATTTTACTGCTGTTTGTTATGTTTTGTTTTATACTTAGTAAGAATCACTTTTAATTTTACTACTGTTGTTTGTATCAGTTATTTGTTTTTGTGTTTCATTAATATAAATTTATATAAATCTTCCATTTTTCATAGTTTTCCCTAAATACGCAGCCCAATCCGGCAACACCGCAGGCAAGCGCCTATCATATATGACATATCCACAGACGTCAATCTCATATGGTAGATGGCGGTGGAAATAATGAGGGAAATAACTGTTATAAAATAGTGTTTTGGGAAAAAAATTTCATGAAAAAAGAGTGCTTCATCCACACTTTTCTTGTTTTAAAATAATGTATGAGACTATCTTCTATAAGTTTCAAGTGGGAAAACAGTGAAATCAGAAGTTCTACAAGACGCAACAGTACCCTTGATTTTGTTTGGCATTTTACGAATTCAAATATAGGGTAGTGCTTACATGTCACTGTCTTTTGGCCTTATTACATTACATTAATCATGATTTTGAATTTTGAGCTGCCATAACTTATTTTAGAACAAGTGATAACTTTCTGAGGGTATATCACTTTTGGTAAATTTTTATATTTTCTTGCCCTTGCAGAAAGAAAAGTAGTTTTCTTGTAGATTCTTAAACAGTCTTTTTCTCTCTCTAGGGTTTTTTGTATACCATAAATTTTGAGAACGAGTCAAGCAGCCTTTACCTTGTGATGTTCCTTACATTACTGCTCACTACTGGCCACTGGTTTTTGATCTGAGTTTTTGAGAGCTGAGAACATCACAGCTACGCCTAGAGCTGTAACTGGAAGAAGACCATTATCCAGATAAGTTTAGGTTCAGGCGTTGAAATATTTGTAAAGCCTTCGTACGTATACCATGGTAAACGTTTTGCAGGGTTAGTTATTACGTCTATTAATTTTATTCAGGTAGTTTTTAATAACATCTTTTCTTTTAACTTGCACTCCAGTGACGGAGCATATGTGCTGCGTGTTTTGGCAATATATTGTGATTCGTTTTTAGATATATTGTTTTATTTGGCTCTCTGTATACAATTAATTAGGTTTCATCATTACTGTTCGATTCTTTTCTTTGTGTGGTGGTCAAGCAGAACAAGTTTCGACTAACATCTCGGGGGTTTGTGACTTAATCCGTCTTGCGTCACTGGCGCTCTTAACCCCCCCTACTCTCCGATTTATTAAGCTAGGGCCTAAATTTGCACGCCACTTGACAGCTATTTTGCTTTGACAGACCCTTAGATTTCATTCATAGTAATTTACTAATTAAAACAAGGAAAGAGGAATCACCCCACCATTTCCTCGGATTTATAAAAAAAAGGCGTGACAATAGTATAGCAGTAGGCATAAATCCTTACTTCCAAAGTTTCACACATTTTATTTCCACGCTTGTATACGATGGATTTGAAGAAATAAATTCCATCACTGCATAAATGTCAAGTATAGGCAAAATTTTCACTTAACCCTTTTACAAATCCGGCTTCCATAATGGTATGAACTTACGCAGTACTCAATAGTTATCAACTGGAAACCACGTGGCCGAGCGCACAGGTATGTCTTATGAATTGTCTATAGACTAATTACTAAACGCACAGACGCTGTCGGTACGCTCGGCATTAACGAAGTGAGACGTCAGACGCGAGGTTACGGCAGCAGTGATTTCGCGCTATAGTGCGCCAAATTTTAGTATTAATTTCTGTCATTTATTGACCGTTTTCAATAATTTTTTCTCTGGTTCATTATATTTCATCTATATTTTGCTAATATGTCATTACTTATGCGATTCTGAACATCACGAAACTTCTCCATTGAGATACGCATACACTCTATTTTTTTCAATTTGACTCTAACAACTCAAAAAATAAATATTATCGCGATCGGGGTAACTTTGAATTTAAAGTCAATAGGGAAACCACGTATGTATTTCAAAACCTAGTTCTTATTCGACAAATAAAACACTGCTTACATTTCTTAGATACGTATCAGTAAAACAACATTATTTACTACATTTCTTTTTTAAGTTTTCTTTTACAGTCAGAATGTACCCAACGTAGTAAAAATTGTTTTTGCTCCTCATCAACAGTGATTAAGCCAAGAAAGTCTTTCATTATCTTGACTGACTCTGACTAGCCGAAATGAACGGCTCTTCAGTAAAACTCGGCGGCCATCCATCGAGACCGAATAAGTGCCAGGGCGCTTCTTGTTAATCAAAGTACAGTACTGTTTCTGAAACTTAAACTGTAGCAGATTATTGAGTCCCTAAGCAGTGATAACCTTGAATGTTTTTGTCGGACCCGTCGTTGCTAGTGGCCTTTTCTCCAGCTCAGCGCACTCGCAGAGATCAGCTTTTCACTCTGAATTCCTACATGTAGAGTGCTGCGATCAGCAAAGCTATGGATCGGAGGGATCGTACAGGGAGAGGAACAATGTCAGTGCCAAGACGGATCTCTGGGGTACGCCGGCGTTGACATTATGATGAAGAGGAGAATCCGTCAATTAATTGATAGATATCTTGCGGTCAGAAAGGAAGTCAGCCACCCATCTGCTTCTCTGGGAGGCCATGGGATACAAATTTGCATAAGCCTGTAGATTGCCACAGATGATTGAGCGCGTTCGCGGTATCAAGAGCATGAGCATGAGCCTCATCATAAGACTTGATGAGTTATTAGGATGCTACTAGTATGCCGAATTTATGACTCTCAAAATTTACAATCATATAACAACAATGAATGACCAGAATCTATTCACGAGAAAAAAATAGTTACGAGCATAGTATAATAGAAAAATTAAACCGCTCAGGTCAGTCAAAGAGGCCCATGCAATTAGTCCATAGACATGATGAGCGAAATAGTATGGCTAATAGGTGCATACAATTTACCGGGTCCCTCTTATTTTTTTTTAAATGACGGATCAAAAAATGAAGTTTGAGCGATTTTATTTTTTGTTTTTGGCGTTCTTTTCCACCGCCACTGGGCCGTTTTCGGAAAACTACAAAGCATAGTATTAACCTTGTGTAGAAATTTCACCCGAATCCGAGCAGTACTTGACAAGTTATAGACGGGCGGACAGACAGACAGACCGACGGAAACATGGTGACATGGTTTTTCGTGATGTATATGTCCAAAAGACATGATATCTCATTTTCGAAATTTTTCGTGATCACAAGACATCCTCGGTCCAGGGAAGAAAAAATATACAGCTTCAGCAACTTAAACGTCGTCGCGTATTTCTGGAAGCTGAGAAATGCGAAAGACTGTCAAAAATCGAAACCACACCTGAAACCATCGAAAAGGTCCAAGATCGTGTTGGTCGATAGGATAGCTAGCTGAGGCCGTAAGTAAGGGTGCGAAACATCTTGCACAAAAAGCTGGAGAAGGGAGGGCTCTGAGCAGGGTTGATGCGTATTTTTGCTCAACGCTGATCAAAAGCGGATACGCTGCAGAAACATGACAACAGTCAAAGTAGAGGCTGGAAGTTGGTAGTTCAGCGCCAAAGGATATAAGTCAATTGGATTTGCCGGAGAGGCTATGGCTACTGTGTTTTGGGATGCGAAAGGGATTCTGTCAACTGATTACATCGAAAAGCGTACAATAATTACGGGTGAATACTATTCCAACTTCCTTGATCAACTGGTTTGAAGAAGAAAAAGTTCTTTTTTCTGTTGCGTCTGTTTCCAGATTGGAAGAATTGCTTTCTGGATATTATAGAAACGCTGAAGTGTGTTGGAGTCGAAGATGATGCGTAAAAATGAATTCATTTTTTAACTAAAAATCGCGGTCTTTCATTGTCAGGTCAAGAACTTTGCACCCTAACCTCGTACCGAAGCCTTTCAAAACGTAAGGACGGGCTTGTAGGTATTTGATTCCCTTGCCGGTGGATATATACTACTTCATACTATAATCATATCATAAGCTGTTTTTATTACACACCTGTATATATTCTGCAGTTCGTTGATGCATTTCACAATTCTGATTTCCCTTATCTTTATTTTATTTCGCTCAGGTTGATTAGCATCTATATTTCTGTCGACATATTGGAAGGCCTTACCTACTACGACAATCTGACTTATAAGATGAATTATAGATATCGTTACGATCGTATCAACAGCTGAAAAAAATATGAGGGTTACACCGTTTCTTTTATAAATTATACAGTGGTTCTAGTTTAAGTAATGTATGCCACGGTAAATTCACATGTTTTTAATAATTTTCAATTATTGAATTATAACTTCATGTGTGATCTTTTATACAGGTGTTTCAGAAAACAGTAGCAACACCGTATTTAAAACACAGTCTAGATAAAAATAACAGAAAAAGTCACTACAAATATATTTGGTGTAGAAAATTATTCTTTTAAACTCTTTTGTATACCTATATCTATTTTGTATTATACAGTTTCCTGTTATAACATTGCCGACGTCCTATAAAGAGAATGTTGAAAACACTTACTTTACATATATACTAAGTGACATATAAATCCGAACACCCAGTTTAAATGGTTTTATTTTAATAAAATTTTGTATAAGTACTTAATGAAGCATAATAAGTAAATGATAAAAATTTCAAAATGATTGCACTGCTTTAAAGCCCTTTGACCTTTAATAATGTGTGGATGCACCCTGATGTGCTACGCATTCTCCAACGCGCCTAGGCATGCTTCTGATCAGGTGGTCAATGTCCTCCTGTGGTATCTCATTCCAGGCAACCACCAACTCCTCTCGAAGTGCTTCTAGAGTCTGAGGAGGACGTTGCAAATTGAGCAATCTCCTACCCATCATATCCCACACGTGCTCAATTGGGGATAAGTCGGGAGATCTTAGTGGCCATGGTAACAATGTGACATCATTATGTTGAAAGAAGTCTATTGTGACTCTTGCAACATGTGGTCGGGCATTATCTTGTTGGAAAGTTGGATCTGCCAGGGTGTCAAGATAGGGTAAAAGATGGGGTTCTAGAACTTCGTGGATATAACGCTGCGCGTTCATGTTACCTCTGATGAAGATTAAAGGTGACCTGGAACCATAAGCTATAGCACCCCAAACCATAACTCCAACAGTGTGATGAACATGTCTTTCAACAAAAAACTGTGGATTCCTCCTTTCACCACGTCGCCTTCTAACCCTGGCACGACCATCGTGCATGCCTAAACAAAATCGAGACTCGTCACTAAATACAATACTGTTCCATTCCTGATCCCAGAGTGACCGTTGTCTGCACCACTCAAGGCGATTACGTCGGTATTCTCGAGTTAAAGGGAGGACCCAGTGTGGCCGGTATGAAAACAAGCCAAAACTTCTCATTCGTCGGTAAACACTTCGCATGCCAATAGGTCTTCCGTGTTCTGCAAACCATTCATTTGCAATGGACCTGGTAGTGGAGAAACGGTCCCTTAAGGCCAATAATCTTAGGCGGCGATCTTCACGGTCTGTTGTTCTACAGCGGCGTCCAGTGCCCCTTGCTCTTTGCGTACGGCCTTCTCGAAGCCATGCCTGACAACACCTAACCACAGTGTCTACACTTCTTTGCACTCTAACTGCAATTGCCCGAAAAGAAAGTCCAGCTTCCCGAAGTCCCACTATATGGCCCCTATCAAACTCACTAGGTTGACGAAATCGTACAGGTCTCCGTACTCTAGGCATCGTAACCGATCGTAAAGGATGTCAAGAACCAAAATCCGCCAACGTTGATTCTTTACTGCGGCTGAAATATTCATTTTTAGAGCGTTAGTGAATTAAAAAAAAGCAGTATAAAAACCGGAATGTCCAACTGATAAGGCTGAAAATTTTTTCACTTGTTATTTACAGTAAGATAAATACATTCACCAACTTTTATTAAAATAAAACCATTTAAACTGGGTGTTCGGATTTATATGTCACTTAGTATACATTAATAAACAATTTTGATAACTTTTACTTCGATTTTATTATTTAAATTGTTTATGAATGTATAGGTAAAGTTAGTGTCTTAAACTATTTTTTTGTAGAGCTCTGAAGAAGGAAACACATTTTTCCGAACATTGGCAACTTTGTAACAGGAAACTGTGTTTCTTCAGACCGCAGATTCAATTAATTACAAGAAATCTATCATTCGGTATATTGCACACCTATCAACTCGCAGGTGATTAGCAGCGTCGTAATCGTCTGCCAATTATATTTTTCTGCATGTTAATAATCCCAGCTTTACACTTCAAGTTTAATATTTGATTTTTTTGCAATTTCGAAATTATACAAAATTATGAAACCGTGCTAACATGCTATAAATTAACTCTAAAAAAATGTGTAGCTTTTAAAACACAATCGTTACTCACAGAGGGTACGTGAGCTCACGGTCTAGAATGAAGCTTATTATATATACATTTTACAGTCAAAACCCGTTCTTAGTAACAACTAGTTTTCACTAAATCATTTTGTTACAACAAGAATGACCTGCTGCTTAAAAATTAATATCAGTGAAAACTAGTTTTAAATAGAGAACATGGCGTTTTGTCAAAGTGATTCGGTTAAAACTGTTTCAGCCGAGTTAAAAAGTCGCCTTGCCTCTGATTGGTTGGTATTTTAATAAACAATACCCATATTTTCGACAAGTTCCACTAATTCCAACTTCAACTAGTTTTAACCGTAACATATACCTACTCGTATATAAATCACGAGATTCAAATGTGTCATATATCACTGGAATACTTACGCAAATACAAATACAAGCTGCCCAAATAGGAATATTGTTCATAAGCCACTGCAAGCCAATAGTAACCATCCGATAATGATACGTCAAAGGGAAAATACAATAGGAAGGCCAAGTCTCTGTACTGTGATATATCGTTTATTCTCCCATTGAAAGAAGGATATGGTTTAGATAGGAGAATGTCTTTCAAATTGAATAGTATATTCGTAAAAAGGCAAGCGACACCTATCATAAGGTACAATAAGAAAGAACGTCTTCTGGTTTTGAACATCGTTTCTTCTCGAATATCGTCGAGACACTTACTAGAAACAGAATGTGCGGTAAGATAGACCCTATGATTCCAAAAAGTCTCACAACTTGAACAGTAATTCTTAATCAGCTAACGAGTATAGCATTAGCTCTTCGAAAATTTAATACCATGACAACATGTTACAAAATAAATATAACCAATAATTAACGTATAATGGCCGAATATATTGATCATTGATATAACTCACTTTTTAGAGATCACTAAATTAGCATTTTTCCAATAAGATCTGCAATCATTGATATAATTATTCTTAGGTATTTCACTGATTATTTTCACCACCCTAAAGCATTCGAACGTGAAAGTTTTCCTGTTCACTACATTTATCATCTTGTTTAAATCGTTTCTGGTAAAGAACCAAAAAATAATTCTGATACACATGATCGTATGAAGTAGATTATTGCTGAAGCTGAACCTTTTTCTCTTAAAATCCACTTTGTAGATGAAAAATCCAGCCCACCTGCAATCCTTATGATAGTAAATGTACTAGTGCGTAACATCCACAATGATCGAAAATAGGATCGAATCACATGTATGTACGTCTTAATGGCTCACATCTCAATGATGTTATTTTTAAAAACTAAAATGCTCATGTGTCATCTTTATTAAAAATATATATTATCTCTCCTACGTTTGTTCATATGATTTTTTAAAATGCGCTCAACTTAATGGCCTATCCTGTTCTTTTAAAAGAGAGGGTTTGGTTTTGCTGCTGTCTAATAGACGGCGTTAGAATTTTCAATCCATTTTTGGCGCCTCCATAATGCCTATTTTAATTGGGTATATTCAGATGGGATGTATCACTCAATCCCTGAAGATATTCTATTAAAATTAGAGAGGCGCCAAAAAAATTATTGAAGATCCTAGCGCTATCTATGAGACAGCAGCTGAACAAAACACTCTGACTCTTTCCAAATTCATCTTTATGTTGTGATGTCTGATAGATGGCGCTAGGATCGTTCAGATCCGTTTTTCTGGCATCGGAACCCACTACTTGGGTGGCTGACTTCTATTTTCAGGTAGAAAACGTTAATCAATGCATGTGTCACTTTTTATACTAGGTATTTATTTAAATAGCTAGTCCGTATATGTTAAGCGTGAAATAAATCAAAAAGGTGGTCGGCATAAAGTGTAAAACTATTTTCTTGCATTTCCTTAAAATTCCCAGTGAAAACGCCTACAAAAGTGGTTGGTGGTAAAAAACCTACGACATATATATTATGGTTTATCAAGTTTTTATGGCACAGCCACAGCACCGGTGATTCTGCAATATTGCACAATCTATAGTGGCTCAAACCGCGAACAACAAAAGTATTAAAATTCAACAATTCAGTCGGCCAATGACGTAACGGCAAAGCAAATAATCAGTTTGTTAAATTACGCCGTTTAAACCACAGTCACAGGCGATATTGAAGTAGTATCACCGACGCTAGTTGTATTTGTACTAATATTATGCTTTTGAATAACATCGACCACCTTGTTCTTCAGACAAATTATCTATACAACATTTACATAGCTTTTATGATAAATTTGATATTTTCCATAATATTTATAGACATGTTTAGATAACCGATCATTTGAAACTCGAAGGGCATTAAAGACGTTACTGATCAAACATTTTAAAATACTTCACCGTTTCGTTTTTGGAATATTTGGCCCGACAATTCCGTGGTTTCTGTCATATAATAAGTCTTTTGACATTATTCCACATTACAAAAAATAGTCGTAGAGACATCTAAAAGATGATTATTGAATACTAGGTACTTCGGAACTGGAAGGTAACCTATTTAGCCTTTGAAATATTTGAGTAGAAAACAGACAAATCTAAAGTTTCTTTAACTGTACCGAATCAAAGTATAGTTCAATATCATTGTTGCGAAGTATGTTGTGTGCCCGGCTATTTGCAAAAGAATGTATTTCAAATTATCACGATAGTTCTACCGTAAACTTTGCTCCTCGCAGATATGAAAAACGTATACGGAAATTACATACAGTGCACACTTACATACCCTAAAGCGAAGAACAGCATGGTACACATGAATAAATGAGGTAACGCTAAACACAAATATATCACTTTTTGAGGATACTTTTTTGGGGGATCTAGTCCATTTAGTCGAAAAATCCAACGCATCCATGCAAAGAAATCCAGAGGAATACACTTTTGCAATGATGACTTGTAAGACATGACTTATCAAAATTCACTGCTGTATAGACTTATAAGCTTTTCAAGCTAAAATTGATAGTGGAGACTTCCTTGTTACAGAATTCAACTCCATTCATTAAATAACAATTTTTGTCTCCATATCTAGATATAGTCTACAATTAAAATCAGAACACGCGAACAAAAAAATATAAAATATTCATAATCATTAATGGGATAGAATGTTGTACGGCACAGGTTTTACAGACACGTGGCAACTAGAAATTCATAAGAAATGACTGAATCATGGCCCAACGAGACATTTAATTACGCTTGGTTTTATGTCAACATTTTTTTTAATCTTGCCATCCTTCTTAGTATAAAAGCCTGTTCCCACTTGTGACTGTATTAATTAGCCAGTTCTTGCTAACAATAAAATCCTGACTAACTGAGCTGATCTGATCCACTATAAATGACCGTTTGAGACTATCAGAAATTAATTGTTGGAAATACCCGAATTTCAAAAATTAATCATTCTGAAATACGCACTAGACGTTTTTAAAACGTGGGGAAAACATCCGAAGGGTGATTCTTTGGACTAACCTAGCGTTACGTTTGTTCTATGGGGATATTCAAAGTACCGCACATACGAAGCTTATTTATACACAAAACCTGTTCAAAATGACTGTACATCGATGTAGGATAATGATATTACAATCCAGTGGTGGATTTAGGGGGAAATATATATGTGAAATATGCCTAAACGGACCGAAGAATTACTAGGGTTAGAGGTTTATACATATACTACCGCAAAAAATTGGAATAGAGGAAAGGAACCAAATTTGAGACAAGCGCCTAATTTGAGACAGTGGTGTAACTTTGTAGCACGATCTTCTAATAATACCAAAAAGTTGTGAACTAAGACGCAGTAGTATCCTACATGTGTTTAGTTTACACGGTTTGCTGTGACATCACAACTTGTTACTTCTTTAGAGTTAAAAATATTTTTAATAGTGCGAAAAAAGTGATTACTAAAATTAAGGTAAGTTATTTAGAACAATTGTCTGATATGAATTTAGTAGTTTAAAAATACCGTATTTATTTTCTTTTACAATATTGTGATTTTATTAGGTATATAACCTAAATATGCTTGTGTAAACTTTTTAACGGAAAATTCCTAATTTGAGATACCCAAGTTTTCCTAATTTGAGACTATCTCAAATTAGGGCCCTGCCCAGCGGAAGCATTAAGTTGGATCATTCATCTTCAGACGAAAGCAACATGAAAGCGATGTTTATTTTGTACCGGTCGGTTTTCCGAAGATAAGAAGGGTGAAAATGGGCAAGACACAGCCATTGTAGTAGATGGGCACATAAAGATTGTGAAGAGATTACCAATAAAAATTTTATTTGCACTATCTGCAAAAGAAAGGGATTTTCTGAATAGTATCTCAAATTCTGTGCTGTAAATTCACAAAAATATTTACTTTTTTTAAAATACACTTTTTGTCTGTAAAAAATACTTTTAATATTATTTTTTTATTTTAGAGTATGCTAGGAGCATCAAATCGCAAGTTTATTTAAAAATATATGCTCGTTTAAAACAACAAGTACTTTATTTTTCCTTTTAAAAAAAAATATCCCAAATTTGGTTTCTTTCCTCTATACAATCCCCTTACCCCCTACAACCTCCCATCCCGCAGTTGTTTACCCCCCAAATAATGTTAAGAAACGATCAGGAGTCTCTGCAACGAAGTTTGAGCGATTTTTGTATATTTTCCGTTTCTTGCCTTTAGGTCCGCCACTACTAGACCAGTTTTCAAAAACTATAAAGCTCTTTCATCCTTGATATAGTTGTAGTCTTGCGTGAAAGTTCCATCAAAATCAGAGTGGCCCTTGCCAAGTTATAGACGGACCAAGATTGAGCGGACAGACAGACCGACGGAAATGGGTGACATGGTTTTTGCTGATGTATAACATCCAAAAAAGATATCTCATTTTCGAATTTTTTTGCGTGTAAAATACTTCCTCGTTAATAGCGCGAGAAGAAAAATTATAGGTTTGGGCGTCCAAGTTCTGCCATAATCTCCCCACAGACTGTCGAACTCATTCAAATGCACCAGGATTTTTCCTTAACGAATTATACCCAGTAATTTTTACTCGATTTTTCAATGGAGTTGTGTAAGTTAGACAACCCCATAGGAAATAACCTATAGTTTAAATCCGCAGATAGAGCAGGTCATAAGCTAGTTTTTCTTCGAAATATCCAACGATCTCCGAATATTTCTGTTAAAAGTTAAAAAATCACATTGACGTTGCTTGATGTATCTCAATAAAAAATGACCCTGGTGTATATGTAATAGTTTGGCAACTTATGATGAGAAGATATTGTAGTTTGACGAAATATTAGTTATTCTTAGAATTAATACACATGTAAAGTAAATTTTACTAATAAGAAATGTTTCAAAACTCCGTGTTTTTCTAGACAAATAAGACCACATATATAGGAATAACTCATCGCTAACGTTTCGGCCACCTCGGTGGCCGTTTTCCAGGTACAAATAAAAATGACTTTGATAATATAATTTATATTGATCTGTTTACCGGGTGTCAAATCATTTGTTTTACTTCCCACGCCTACTCGCGAAAAGTTTCAAAAGTGAGATATTATGTTTTTTGGATGTCATAACTTTGAACCGCCGATAAAGTACTGCTCAGAGTTAGATTAAATTTCCACACAAGGCTATTACTATTCCTAGAACAAAAAAGCTTTTCAGTTTTTGAAATTCGGTCCAGTGGTGGCGGAGCTAGGGACAAAAACACGAAAATAAGAAAAACCGCGACAATTTCGTTTTTTATGTTACTTCTGATCATTTACAGAAAAAAAAGTTTAGGGTTTGAAAATTGGGGTTGGAGCTATAGGGGATAGGGGAAGGTTTATCGCATTTTTTGGCAGCAGTATATTTATACGCTTCGAACTTCATTAAATTTATACACCTATCAATATAGATTTGCCAGTAAATTTGTCCCTAAAGCTTAGATAAATATTTTTAGACACGACACGTGGTCGCCGTTAGCCGCTACGCAACCTGTCTGCGTCTGATTGACTGTATATCGAGTTACTATACTATTGTGGCACTCTTGCCAGATGGTCGATATTTAGAGCAGGGAAGACACTAGCGTTAGCGGTATCAAATAGGTGGGGACTATGGAGTGTGGTCTAACTGCATGGGCCTGTTTGGTTGACTTGGTCCATTTAATTTTTCTTGTTATACATGTTGCACCAGATTCAGAGATATACTAACTTATGCCGAACATAATCGTTTATGAATTGATGACAACGTTACCTGGGAAGTGTAGATTCTACTTGACGCCATTTTTTATATTGTGTTGGTGCCGTGCAAACTCAGCAAAGTCCAGGCCTGTTAGGGAGGTCGGATCGTTAGTAAAGAGTCATGACTTTATTTGTGGTTTCACTTGGTCAAAAAAAATATGGGAGTTTTATCAGCATGTACAATACAGGATAAAGGTCACATTATACATTAAGAAATGTTTTTTCACGATTTATGTTCGCCATATCTAAACGACGCGGTATTTCGAAAGTATCGGACAAAAGATCCTTACAATAGTCCAAAGAATTACTTATCGAATGTTTACCTCATGATCAGCAACCATCCTGCATGTTGACTGAGAAGACGTCGACAGTCTCGGTGAACTGCACTAATATGAATAGTCTCATAAACTAGAACCACTATTCATGAAAAATTAAAGATGGCAAAATCCTCCGTACTCACGTAAAAAACAGAAAAGGTTCCCTAAGGTTGTGTAATGCACGTACACCAACGTGAGCCAAAAATGTCCATCAGAGACAGAAGTGTCAAATGGAAAATAAAGCGATGAGGTCATATCTTTATACACAGACGATTTGTTCAATCTATCGTTGAAGGCAACATGTGGTTGAGAAAATATCGCTTCTTGCACAAACAGTAACAAATTAGCGAATATGCACATCATGGATACTCCTATGTATAAGCAGAAGCATATAAACCTTGCAGATTTCATGGTTTCTTCCTTGAAGCGATCGAAGTCTAAACTGGAAAATAGGATTATAGATTTTATATTAAAAATAAAATTTACCATATAATTTTTCTCGATTTACTGCTCGCGAATGCATCCTTTTTCAGTTTTTCTTAAACAGTAGTAAACTATAAGACTTAGATCGGTCTTCTATACCGATAGCCCAATGAGATATCCACCAAGGGCGTACCCAGCTCAAAACGGAAAGAGGGGTAGCTTCATAAAATTTTCGGATGTAAGTTCCACAAGTCATATTTACATAACTATGCTTGATATCTGTCTTTCTATTTGCATTTCATTTATATAGAATCTTCCACGGCGATTTGGCAATTCATATGGATATGGAAAACTACTATAAGGGATTACTTCTTACACTCAGCAAATATTCAGCGAGATGCTTGTCTAACTTCTAATATAATCTAGTCGTTTGCAATACTTGAAATCAGATACTAATTAATCATTGGTCATTCTCCAACTTGGAAAGTTTAACTTTTATTTTTTAGTTATCCCCTATTATTGGTGCTAAGCTGTTGGACAATAAAGGCTTATTAGTATTATAAATAGTGGGAGAAAAAGTACGGGAATACCGTCGATGTTCATCAGTCTCATGTTTCATTAGACGAAGTGATGAATCATTTAATGAGATGAAAAACTTAGGACTAGCATTTTGTTAATAATGTATGCATTCACAAACCTATACCCTATTTCACGAGTATCCATTACGGTAGAATGACAGCTGATTATCTAGTAATATCTCAAAATTCCCCATATCGGCACAGCACACATAATTCTGACGGATCCGTCAACATCAGGTAGCCAGAGCCGTATTTTGTTTGTTTTTCTATACGCTACAGATTCATTTTGTACTTGCTAGCAACTCTTCTATTTGTTATTTAGAAAATTTCATTTGCACACAAAAAATAAAACGCCACAAATTCTTACTATATTTATACCCGATTCATTATTACCAACGTCGCAGCAAAGCACAAAAAGGTCACTTGCTGATCAGCTGTTCACCTCAGTAGAAGTCAAAGCGTGATGTACACTCGTGAAATAGGATATATTTTTATAACGTGAAAGGGTGTCAGAATAAACCTTGCCTAACAGAACTACGCCCACTTTATTAGGTAGTATTATACTTACTCCCTGGATTTTAAGAAACCTTCCCTAGTTCTAGTAAATGTAGTAAGATCTAATCAGGATTTTTTCAATTTCTTCTTTTTATATCAGTATCCGCTCCTCCCAGTATTTACGTGCGGCACTCGCGGCTGCTCCAGTACAAAAAGCAAATAAATGGCATCACATTGAGAACTTACTTGTTAGAAAAAACTAGTCGCACATTCCTCCAATACATTTTACACTCTTCATATGTCAAAAAAACATTTTCCAGGATCCTCTTCTCAATTTTTACTATTTTAAAGCATTCAAACTCAAACGACTTTCTCCCCACAAGGGCTAAAATATCATTCAAATCATTTTTAGTGAAATACCAAACCAGCACTCTGAAGCAAATGATCGTATTCAGTATATGACTGCTCAAACTAAACATAACTCTTTTCAGATCACTCAAGTCATGGGAAAAACCGATCCATTCAAGAGTGATCAGCAAAATTGTACAACAGAACAAGTGAGGTACTGCGATCAAGAGGTAAATAAGTTTCATGGGGTACTTTTTCGGAGGGTTTAGGCCATTGCACCGGAATATAATTTTCATCCAGATAAAAAAATCTTGAGGAGCACGTCTCTTTAAGCGTTCCATGATGCATATGTGAGATTAAGATGGAAGAAAACTATTTATAAAGTGTTCAAGGTCAAAGTGGGCGAGTAAATCGTGAACTGATCGAGCATTACCCACAGGCCGCATTAATTGAATTCCAGTCGACAATTTTTATGAATTGCTATGTTATTATTTGAAATTATCTTCCACTTCTAAATGATTATTCTTTAAAAGAGGTCATTAGTTCAGTGTGACTATGTAGGGAAGGGCTGATCCACGCCTCAAGTTAGGGGGGTCACTTAGTTCCATTCACTCAGGATGAACCCCAATGCGATTGAATTCATAAATCTAATCTAAAAAGAAACATTCTGTTGTAAATCGAAAAATATGCAAAAATTCAAGTTTTAGGAAATACCAACAATAAATAGACGTGGGCTTGGTAACCATCTTTTCAGCGTTATGACGCGGTACTCAATGTACTTCCTTATGGAAGGCTCTCTACCTTGCATCTCTCTAGCCATTTGGCATAACATAAACAAAGCATATACCTTCAATGCATCCAAATATCCTTGCCATAATCATTAATATTTGTTACCTCATGATATGCGAAGGTGTCGTAACAATTTCATAGTTGAATACCAAAATCAGATCTTGTGAAACGATTTATCACTTCTACATTGAAATGAAATTTTTTTTGAACCTGAATAAGTGCCAGTCCAGTTAGGTCTCAAAAAAAATACACAGATAGGTAATCTGCCAAAGACACTCAATCATACTTTGTCATTTTTTTCTTTAAGCCATCCACTTTCACTGGGCTGAAGCCTTGAAAGTGTAGTGCTCACTGCTTGCTTAATAAATGAGCTACAATCTGTAATGTCACTGTGCAATTATCTTCAACCTGCTGGGCAGATGAAATTTTTATGTTTAAATGGTAGCAACTTTTTTATTTCTGCAAAACTGCTAGTTACTGGGGAAATAGGTTTATTCAAAATTGAATGGAAATATCAGCAATGATTTATTAAAAAGAATTGTAAAATTTTTATACAGAAAAAACTGCATTGATTCAGGTATACATTGAGAAATAAATTACTTAAAATCTACATAAAAAATAAGCAACTAGAAAACAAAGACACTACTGTATAAGTGGTAATAATCATAATAAATTGTGATCAAGAACCCACTGGTAGAGTAATTTTAAAACAGTTGATAAATCCGTAGCATGAAGGGAACTGCAATTTTGGACAGACAGAAACATTGATTAAAATATTCCACCAGCTGAAATATAAAGCTGACCAGTTTTAAAAATTCCTAACCTGTGTAATTATTACCAATACTCCTTGCAAAGTATTAACACATACTTTTTGAAATTATTGCGAGTCTTAAATATACCAAGAATACTAAGAACATTTTTGATTTAACTCAAATATGAGGCGTGTCGCAGCAAAAGGGCCTATATCCATTTTTGGTAAAAAGTGAGTAAAAGGCGGTTATGATATCTGTATCGATAGCCGCATCAACTGGTCAAGAATTCATATGTCAAAGGTGTCTTTATCCCATATAAAACTACGATGAAATATAGGGTGTCGCGGCAAAAGGTTCTATATTTACGATCATCAACGCGTCAAACAGGCCTATATCCAACAAGCCAATCAAACCACTAGAATTCTGTCATGCGGCTTCGAGTTTCATCAAGGCCGTGGGTTTTACGTTTATTAGAGTTTAGTATCGAAAGGAGATTGTTGTTTGTATTGTGAAGTATAGGATTGTAATAAAACTTCTTTAGTTTGTTGACTATGAACGAGAGTATTACCCCATCGGAACCGGGAAAAGCTAGGCGGAGTACTGGAGATCCTAGTAAATGGAAAAGGAACGTTGCAAAATCTAAAAGGTAGGTACCTTATCCTTGTCATGACAGATATAGCGAATCAGCAAGTAAAAAAGTTGTGTAATTAATTTTTTTTTCGTTTTCAATATTTTGAGAAGTACCTTTTTCACCATTTAATGTCGAGTGCCCTTGCCTTTTGGTCTCCAGACCACGCCTAACAATATTGCATACTTTCTATTGCGAGCTATCAAGTTAATTTTTTGTAGATATGATCCTCCAGGACCACCAGAATATCCTTGTTGCGGCCACCTTAACAAGTCCTTCAAGTGCAGAAAGTTAACAATGAGAGACATCAAAGAATTCCATGAGAATTTTTACTCTACGCGCGCAAAGAACTCCCAAGATGCGTTTATCATTAAACATGTGAAGGTAACAAGTGCAAAAAGACCACGTCCAAAAAAGAAACTTACCTCTACGAATAAGGTTAGTACAAATTACTACATTAGAGTGTCCGGTACAGAAAAGTTTTGTATACGTGTTTGTCAACAAACCTTCGTCAACGTCCTTCAAGTATCACGTAAGAGAATTCAGAATTTAGCTAGGAAATTTCTGAACACGGGAAGAATGCCGGTTGACAAGAGAGGTGGGGCGAGGCCAAATCCTCTTTATGACAAGAAAAAGGTCGCTATTAAAACATTCATAGAAAAATTAAAATGTTGTGAAAGCCACTATTCTCGAGGTAAGTCCGTGCATCGACGATACTTGCCAGGAAACTTAAGTATAAACAAATTATATCGTATGTACAACAATGAACAGAGTGATGAATCACTGAAATCAAAGAAAACGTTTATCCAAAAAAATTTTACCACGCAGTACAACATTGGGTTTGGCACGCCTATCACCGATGCCTGCTCTCTGTGTATCGAACTAAAACCTAAAATAAAAAATGAGGCCAGTCCGCAGAATAAAAGTAAAATAATGAGTGAACTTACATTTCACAGAATGCGATACAAAGTGTTTTTCAGAAAACTGCAAGGAAAAAGAGAAGATCTCTTAACACTGAGTTTTGACTGCCAGAAGAATCTGGTTCTACCTTATGTTAAGGATAAGACCGTCTACTATAGCAGGCAAATGTATATATACAATTTCTCGATCGTAAAAGGAAGCTCAAAAGACTCTTTAAATACGGAAAATGTATACTGTTATACATGGATGGAACATGAACATAGAAAGGGTGCTAATGAAATTGCCTCAGCAGTTTTCCATCAATTGTCACTCCTTGACTTGACATCTTACTCAGTCATTAGATTATGCGCCGATGGATCCGGTGGGCAAAACCGCAACTCAGTTATGATTGGGATGCTGAGCTACTTAGCACGAGTCGCACCTCTAAACATTCAGGAAATACACATGATTTTCCCTATCACTGGACACTCGTTTTTGCCAGCAGATCGTGTGTTTGCTTCCATAGAGAAAAAACTGCGTAAGTTACCAGTAATAATACAACCATCAGAATATGAAACAGTTTTTTCAGAGCATTCCACAATTTTTAAGCTTGGCACTGACTTGAAGGTTTACGACTCTAAAACTTTAGTAGGGACTTACTATAAAAAAACTACATCGTGGCACTTCAAGTTTAACGAAGCAAAGCGTTTCATCCTCACTAAATCCAAACAACAAAATATATTGGTTAGGGGTGAAGTATCTTACAGCAGTGATTTAACCAATGGCAAATTAGTTGTTAAAAATGGTGTCAAAATAAAATCAATCCCATTGCCTGATGAAATACCAATGGGAGTTGCATTGAAAGCAGCTAAGGTCCAAGATGTTAAAAACCTTTTGAAAAAGCACTTCGGCGAGACCTGGGACACCATGGAAGAATGCTCCTTCTACAAAAATGTGTTGGGAATCACGGCCGATGTGACAGCTAGCCATACAGCAGCAACAAACGAAACTGATGAAGACCTCGAAGAAGAAGTTAATGAGTTCTGTGAAGGACATCAACATGAACATCTCGTTGAGCGGGTGTAATACTTATTATATTTTCTCAAAATGCATTGAGTTGATCTTAAAGAATCTTAGTTTTGATTTCTTGTAGACATATGTATTTTTTTTTTAAGGGAAATAAATGTTTGCTTGTTTATTCCATCTATGTGCTGGATCTACCTCCATGTAATAAGCTCATTCCTAAAATAAATTCTAAGTTGAAAATTGTCTCAACAATATATATTATGGGGATTATTCCAGGAAAGTTTATAGCGAGGCGGTAGAATCGTCCATAAGTGTGTTATTGCGTCAAAACAGCCTATACCCTTATACAGCTGGGGCAAAAGTTCCTTTATCCATTTTGTTACAGCAAATGGTTCTATATCCAAACTCTATAGCTAAATTACATCCGCTTTACTCACTCCATTATTATTTTTATTATTTTTGTTGCTTGTATTTGTTTTATAACCCAATAGGAACAGTTCAAAACAAAATTATAGCCGTTACAACTTTTAACTTAGAACAGTTTTTCGCCAATTGTGGAAAATTAGTGGAAGGGGATATAGGCCCTTTTGCAGTGAGACGCCTCATATCAGGAACCAATCACTTTATATAAGACAGTCTGCTGCTGTTCAATAATAAATGGATCAATTCAACATGATCAAATGCTTAACAATGAATGCAATAAAACACTGAGTTTGATCAATGATTGTCTGGAAGCTTTCCAAACATCAGTCTTAAAAACATATTCTTTATATCTGTACTTTTTGAAATACAGAAAGTACAAAAATGCTAATTCAGGCATCAGGTGTCATTCTCAATTTCCATATTACTGATTGACCATTTCTACAGTTCCAACTGCAAAGATATTGTGGTCAATACCATGATAATCAATGCTTATGTAAGGTCAAAATTTAAGCTATGCAAAATATCTAACTCTAAATTAAATTTTTTGGTTTTGTCTAACACTGATTAAATACATTGAATGGTTCAAGCTATGTCAGCACCAACTGGCAGTGTGATTCCTTACACTACTTAGATCTTAAGTAACAGAAGAAAGTTTCAGCATTAGGCAGAAAATAAAAGAACAAAATCTGTTCTCTCTGTAGTATCACATCAACAGGCCAACCATGGGTGATGCCTAAGAGACTCCTTAGACCTATCTCCATAATCATAGAGCAGCTCATCACCTTTCTGAATGTTAGTTTTTGCTATTAGTGCCAGCCTAGGGATGCTTTCAACAATTATAGTTCGGGTTAGCAGGTTTCCAGTTCGAGAATGGTTTATTAGTCTTCCTTTTTTTTCTGTTTCTTCAGTAGCATCAACACTGGAAATAATGAAGACATGTATTGATATGATCAGTGTAGTGTGGAATATGTGGTGCTCCCAAGAGGTTTTTTTCATGAAAATTGCCTTTCTTATATTCAAATAGCAGTTCTTGTTTTGAAAATAATATAATACCTAAGTGTTATGTTGAAAAGTATACTACTAATAGCTTACCAATAATGATGGCCATCATATTTGAAATAATACATGTAGCAACCTGTATTTTCATCCATGCCATATTTCTTTTCTCTTCTATAGGCTTCACTGATATCAATCAATTCTCCACTATATTCAACAACAAATTCTCCTTTCAAGAAATCTCTGGTTGTGAATACACCTCGTCCCTTGTTTTCGATGCATTTTACCTACAAAATATTTTGTTCAACTATGCTTTAATCATTTAAAATTAAGTACCTACCTCTAACCCATCCTCCACACCTTTACGTAAAGCGTACTCTAATAACTTTTTGCGCTCTTCTTGAACCTCTCTTTTCGTTCTTCTGTCTGATTTTCTTATTTGATAGTAGTCTGTTAATTTATGATTTTGTTCTAAGAGGTTGTGAATATTTGCACCCAGCCTTTCCTTTTTTTGTTTGGTGGCTAGAATAAAAATATACATCAGGCTTTGTGGATATCGAAAATAGGCGAAATGTCAGAGCTTACCTTTCACCATGGCTCTTTTATGTGAAGCGGAATATATAAAACACTGGTTAAGGGAATTTACATTAAAAGTTTTGTTTTCTTGAAAATTACTTAAGCATTTCAAAATTATTTTGTTTATGATGCCATTTTGTTGACTCTTGAGTCTTGAATGTTGCATGACACTAATCACAAAACACATAAGACTGAAGAACACAAAACATATACACTGAAGGTTTAGTCACGTGCTATCCATAGGGCAACACGATCGACCTATGTTAGTGTCAATCGCCATTTTTTTCTGGATGCCACATAGTCGTCAGATTGTGCACGAACGCCGCGTGCGATGTTGCCGGCTCTTTGCATAAATCTGAGACTCTTGTACAATTCTATATTGGGCATTTACTAATGATATATGGAAGATTGTATTATATGATCATTAATAGGAGAAGTACGATTTTCATTTTCTCCACTATTTAGTAGGGGAATATGGTTTTTTAATGACTGCATTCGCACTTGGGCGAGGAAAACCCTAGAAACCCTCAATCGTCATTGCTAAGATTAATTGTATCAGTTGAAGAAAAATCAAGTCGTTCCACAATTCCGGCTTCATTTGTACAATCGAAAATCGCCAGCATGCCACAGTTATTAACCTATAAAATAATAGCATTGAAGTAACGGTTTATCCGAGGGTCATTTTTTAAGTAAGAATCGTTTTGTGAACTAGTCAGAGAAATTTTATTTATGAATGTAAATTGTATCACAAACTAAAATATCAACATTTTTTTATTTTTCAGCATAGCCACCACATTCAAACGCAAGTCAAGCCGTGGCACCAGTTTATGTGTTAATGTAGCATCTGAAACTCATCTTGCGGTTTTCATGACGACTATTTCCCTCGTCTTAATTTCTACCAATTACAAACGCAGATTTTTGAATTACAAATGGTTTCTAGATGAAAAAATCGTATGACAGTACCTGTCAGCATTTTTTTCTAACTTACCCGCAGCAAAACTTGTCAGCTGTTGTCACCAAAAATTACAATACCTTTGATAACAAGTAATTATGGGCTCCTAGGTCAGCAGAAAACGCCACCAAGCTAAATTTTGTTATATTGTTTTTAAATAGTGCTAGTCAGCTTATGTAGCGAAAATGATTCGCTTTGGAAGTAATTCTTTGACTAATATTAATCTGGCGATTGAGATATATGACTAATCTCTCAGTGTATGCAATTTATTACGAAAAGACATAGGATATTAACCCTAACACACGACTAGATGATTATGCAAGGGTCACCTCGTTTGTTGCGCAGATATCCTGTGTTTCCCTCAGAAGAGTTAGAGGTATACGTCACAACACAAAAACACCTAAGCAATACTGAGAGACAATCGAGAACCCTATAGTGAACACCACTACTGAAAAAAAGTAGCTAGACATTCCGCTGCGCCGACGGTTGAGGAGAGACTGAAGCATGTGAGTGCTATACCGCGCCGCGGCGATACGGTACGCGTGATTTCTAAACCTGCTACACTTGTGAATAAGACCTGTCTGATTGGTTGAGTGTCGTCATTGTGATATAAATTGTTCCTTACATTGCCTAACTTTCTTTATGGCACCCTTCTTTAAAAGATCGACTAAACAATACGGCTGGGTAGTACAGCCACGCCTCTTTCCAGCTCCCCCTCCGCGCGTCTGCTACCGGTCAACGTAAACATCTAGCCGCTTCGGGAGCAGACCCGCGGAATGGGAGCTGGAAAGGGGCGTGGCTGTACTACCCGGCTGTACCGTATCGCCACGGCGAGGTACAGCACTGGCACGTTTCAGTCTCTCGGCAACCATCGGCGCAGCGGAATATCTACGCGTTCATAGCTCCGTATAAAGCTCTATTCGGTTTAGCTACTTTTTTCAGTAGTGGTGTACACCCTAGGGTTCTCGATTGTCTCTCAATGGTGCCTTGGTGTTTTGACGTGGGTGTCAAGTGTTTCCAAAGTGGAAATTAGGTCTACTTCCAACTCGTCTGAGGGAAACAGGATACCTGTGCAGGAAACTATAGGTGAGCCTTGCATACTCATCTACTTGTGTGTTAGGGTTGACATCCTATGTTTTTTTTTAAATAAATTGCGCACATTGCATACACTGAGAAATCAGTTATATACTGAGTTATTTGGGAAAAACTAAAATTTGGCCAAATCGTTTTTAATTTTGTCTGACTTTATGCTAAGAAGTGTCAAAAAACTAATGGCACTACGTCGCCAAGTTTTGATGAGAAAGTCGCCAATCCTTAAAGTGAAAATTCACTAGGAGTCTAACCATAAAACTCCAGGTTAGGGATTGGAATAGATTTGTCGCCCGGGGAGGTGGTGTAGTGACTGGCCTAAGCGGCTAAGTAGCCTGCCTGTTGACGATAACTGAAGTTGAGGGCATAATAATACTCCAAGATTTCATTGAAGAGCAGGGGGTGACGATGGGGGTTGTTAGACACAAATAATATTAACGAAACTATAAGTTCGTTCACAGGGGGCGGCTCCATAGGGACATTTTGAGGTGGCGGGACGAATATTTTTGTGATATTGTGACAACGGGAAAACGGGGAGAAGAGTTACCGACTATTGAAAATTTAAAAGCGGGGAGACAATAATTTTCTGCGTATTTACCTTTTCCCAGTGACCTCTTTTTGGAGGGGTGAGGTGGCTATCTCTCTCTTTTCCCGGTTACCGTACAAAAATTGTAATAATCGTTCATCAAGCAACACTGTGTCAAAAGTGTTAGGATGGGATATCGTTGAATTGCTCGGGACACGACACCTTGACGTGACATTTGACCAAAAGCGTCATTGTGCTTAGAGAACAGAACTTCCGCTAGTCCTCGTATCATGTTTCATTAACCTCCACTGAAAACCCAATTAGTCTGACGGCTTGAGTTCAATGTGTTCGAGAGAGAAGTGTTTATAGACACATATGTTAGAAAGAGATCGAAACCGGTTGGATAGCGTAGCTCATCACCGAACTGCCTATCAACGCTGTCGCGACAATCTGCCTCATTGCCATTATGTTACACCAGTTCCTTGTATTAAGGTGCATGTTGAAAACGTGTGTTATTTTACTCTCTACGCCCAAATAATGGTTTTATTTTGAGCATACACATTTTTTAATTGTGAATTGTGTCGAATCTGTTTAGGATCGATTCCAGATCGGCCCTAATGGCGCTGCATTTTAGATCGGAATGAACCTTTCAGGATCGTCATAAATCCTGCAACATTGCATCATTGGTTCGGTTGATAACACCGGATCTTGCGCATTCCAAGGCAAGGTTTCCACCTCCATGATCATAGACGAGCTATATTGGTCAGTACCTATCTATCTCTTTCTAACATGTGTTGATACACACTTCTCGCTCGTGCACATTGAACTCAAAGCCATCAGACAAATTTGTTTTCCCCTGTATACACATATCAGCAAAAATTGATTACAATTTAATTGCCGTCAGAAATCGCCAGATACCGCCAGTTTGCTGGTTACTGGGCGCCATGAAAGTAGCCAATCGCCAAGCTATCGATTTGAAGCCGTCAAATCGGTACTTTGGCGAAAAATTGCTACGCCTGACAACCCTGAATCCTAAAAAACAGCACATCACGGGATGCCGGTAATACACTTACCTCGATTTTGCCTGGAGAGGATGACCTTGGTGTCGCCAGTACGCCCATAAGACGTTTCACCCTCCCTGACACTAGTGACGTATTGTAGATTGATAGAGGAAAGCAATCTCCAGCGTTCCTCTACCCACAAAACATAAACACGCCTACTTATGGATTTAAGTTGTAGATGGGAAGTTGCCCAAAAATTCCATATTCCGAAAGCAAGCGCAAAGGGATTGTTAAACGTTACAAAATGAATTTACAGTTGTATAAGAATTGTAGAAATGTAGAATTTATTAATTTTCTTATTTCTAAAAACTGATGCTTGTCTATCATGTTTAGATAAAGTCAAATAGAATGGACAGTTAAATGTAGGGTCGAAAATGGCGCAGAGTAAGACTCATCTTCTGCTATACTTTGTGCACCACCACCACAATTCACAGTTGTCAACGTTGTCAAGTGATTGTCAACTTGACAATAGCGGCTATTTATTTATGTTGTGGTTGCCATCAGAAGTAATGTTGTTAACTAAAAAATAGGGGATAATCGCAATTAATGACAAAGTAATGGTTGAATAGTTATTAGCTCCATTTATATGTATTATAATATATATGTCTAAGTATAAAAAGCCTAAAATAATGGAACAAGTTGTGGAAGAATTAGAAAATAAGGTAACATCCTGTTTTGTCTCCATGTAGTAGTTTTCACAAACGAGCTAAAAAATGATAGTTTTTTGTGTATTTAGTGTCATATGTATATAAACAACTACTACTGCAAAATATCACTGGTACTGGTTAGTATGAAAATATTTCAGGCTAAACAAACTGATGAAAGAATGGATACACTTGCTACACAAGTACGAAACATAGAAAGTGAAATCTTTGCTGATGGTCAAGAAATTGAAGTAGGAAATTTACTAAGATCAGTAGGTGAGGTAAAATCAAACTACCAAAACTTGAGGAAAGACCTTATGGAAGTACAAGACTTACAGAAGCAGCTAAGCACATCTTTGCATGTGCAACTGAGGTTGATGCAAGCACAATTCAACACATTAAAAGAAAAGCTCAATCAGGCATCACCTTCAAAAGTTGACCAAGGGTCAAGTAAGAATAATGATGGATAAATTTTTGTTTATTTTTTGCTGCTGATACTTCACATTGGCGAAAACAACAAACTTCAGGCCAATATGCTGCAGACAAGCTTTCTGTATGAATAGAAAAAGTGCTTTAATAGCTGATTCCAGACTGACATATCATCCATAATCTACATCTATATCCTTATTTTTAAATGGATTCAAAACAATTCATGATGCTTGGTGTGTAAACGCATGTTGCTTGAGCATTTTAAATTAATTTGTAATTAGTGAACTTATGCTCAATTTAAAGTGGATTTGCTTTTATACACTTGTTAAGGGTTACAGAGTTTTATTGTTGATTTTTGAGAAAAATGATTAGGTTTAGGATTTTTTATGTTTATATTCAACATACTGTACCTCATTACAAAATGGGACCAGAAGGATGTTGTTCATTTCTCAGAGTTTTTTTTCCTTATTAAGCATTGTAACCATATATAGAACTGAAAAAACCAAGTAGATATTGATTTTTTTACTAAATGATTTAGTTTTTTGTTAACTACCATTGACATATTTTTACTGATCCTGTTAGGTATTCCTCCATGGTATGAGAGAGTTTTTAGTGCTACAAAAATAACGAACCATTAAGTCTTCTGTTACATTATTTTTTAGAACAATAGCAAATAAGGATGGTTGAAAAGAGTTTTTATGACCACTTATGTGACTCAAGGAATTTTGATGGTACTGACCACTGATGGAACATGTTGCTTATTTTTTTTTTTCTATATAAATTTGAAGCTAATCCTAAAATTTCAATACTTGGTTATATTCTTTCAGAGAGCAGTTTTGGTAATATTTGTGTCCAAACTGGACAAGAAAAGGTTTTGAATCATAGAACCACTGAACATTAGGAACCTTACCAAATTAGCTCCTCCTTATTCTCAGTATCTGGAAGAGCTTACTTATTCAATATTGAAGAATGAAGGATTGTCTCTCTACTAAGCAAAATCGAAATAACAAAGATCATAATGAAGCAGCAAAACAAGAGCACTAAAAGTTCTCTATTAATTTACATTTCATATTTTTAAGAACATTTTCATATAACCCCATAACTTCATTGATTCATACACTTACACACTATTTAGTTGGTATTTGAGGTTGCATGCTGATAGGAAATTTTGAATGCACTTTTAGAAACATATTTTTCAATTGTTTTGTTTGGGTGCTATTTGTACTTCATCTGAGTACTCATTACATAGTCCTAATAGGCTTTATTTAAATGCAAATTTCTGCCCAATGTTTGCTATTACAGAACACTATCACTGTATTAGTTTAATTATTTCATTACCCAAATACTTATGTTGTAATGTAATGTCCATATGTGACTGGGACACAACAGAACTCATACACTTTTCGTTTCTCTGAATTTATTTGGTGCAAATAGATAAAGATGTGATATTTAGATGTTAATGTGATTATAATAATAATATGGGTAGGTTGATTGTGTGTTCTGTTAAACTTTAACCTACATCTTATGGCTTAGAACAGTGCAATTGCAACTTTGAAACATATTTTACCTCTGGTTAGGAATACAGAGATGAAACCCTATCCAGAGCCAAGAGTGGATGTAAACACACTTAGGCCAAGAAAGGAATATTTTGTATAAGGAAATCCTACAATTTTGGATACAGTAAGTTTTTTGGTTGTATCATTAGATTATTGGTTCCTAATGATAAGTTCAAATTGGCGACATTTGCTGCCATTTGATAAACGCGTTTGACCTACTAGAAAGAATTTTGCAGGAAATTTAATTATTCATCATTTTGCTTTTATAAAAAATTATCGTTAGTCAACAGATTACGAGAAATTAAAGAGTACATGTAATATTTCCGCTTATAATAGCTAAACTAAGAATCTAAAAGTAAAGAAGTAGAGAATAAAATTTGCTACAGAAAATGTTATTTACGTTTTTCGATGCCTTTATGGTTCTTAGAGTATAAGGAGGTAGAGTCGTATCAAAACGCGACATACTTTACACGCTACGTCGACGTTATCTGCATACCACATTGTTTTACGTGTAGATAAGCTCATAATCATTAACTATGATCAAGAATACCATTTTAAAGTGAATCAGTCTTTTTACTGCTACGTAAAAGTATGGAAAATGCAATATTTTTTGTCTGTCTATTGGCAATTTTGACCCCGAGTAATTTCAGTAACCATTGCAGCAATTTTAGCGGAAGAGGAGATTTAGTTGCTTATGACGTCACGTCCTTTCTATTAAAATCATTGCAACGGTTGCTGAAGATACGAAATGACAAAATTGCCATTTGACAGATCAATGAAAGTGAACATCTTACCATTTCCCATGCTTAAGTATGGCAGTAAAAAATGGTTTTACTTTAAAATTGCATTTTTGATTATAGCTAATGACTTATGGAGTTATCTCCACATTTATGTATGCTGACACGTACGTAGAGTGCGGAGTATTCCGCGCGACTGTTTCCATACGAATTTTCAACTTTTGCTTCTTATACTTGAAGAACCATTAAGGTGTCTTTGAACCGCCGATAACTTGGAAAGTACTGCTCAGATTTGGATGAAATTTCCACACAAGGTTACTACTATGCCAAGGACGAAAAAGCTTTACAGTAGTTTTGAAATTCGGTCTAGTGGTGGCGAAGGTAGATGCAAAAACTTAAAAAAATTTATACCGCTCAAACTTCGTTTTTTGATGTTTTAGAGGTTCCTGATCATTTTCACATTATTACTAATAACTATTGCTTACTCATTTAAATACAAAGTTTATTTTGTAACTTAAATTATTGCTATTTATTGTATTTATTCATGCCATCATTTTGATAGCTTGGAAGTCAGAGCTATCTTGTAAATTGGAGTATATATGAAAGTGAATGTGAAACGAATGGTGTGGGCTTTATCTTGTAGCCTTGGCATCCCTCACGTACGTATCTTTTTGTCGGACATTTTGTGGGCTTTATTTGAACAATATGGCCCTACGTTCAGAAAATCTTTATACTATATACTAGATTTCAAAACCTAATCAAACTAAATGTGGCAAGATATCATAGGTAGCAGTGAAAAAAATTCTTCTAATTATTGTTTCTCGCACATTATATTCCTCGGCGCTATGCGCCTCAGGATATGAAAGCGCCCGGCCACTAATTGGATACTTCACCAAGGTATGTAATGTACTAATGTGTATTTGCATGGGATTTGAGAATGCATGTATTTTCAGTTGATGTGTGCTATCCTGATTTGAGCAAGAAATGATGCTTTATGATACTGTGACTATTGTATATGTAGGTACATAGATTTTTTTGTATTTTGATTTGTGCTTTTAATAACGCGACCGACGTCCTTATTCAGAATGCAACATCATTGATTCAAATAGTTTTTCCATTCATGCTACGAAACGTTACCAAATTGAAAATCATATGGGCTTTTCTTATATTAGACAATAAAACTACAAAGCCATGGGTATTTTCAATCATTTTGATTGCAACCGATTATCAGTAGTTTGCCTACAAAAAGTATAGCCTGAGTATTCTCATTTTTTTCTATGAACTAGGAGAAGTTCAGATGTAAAATTTAGTGGGAAGTAGACGTAATGCGTTCTAGCGTGAGGTAATCCATTTTTACACGCCCTGTTCTAAGAATGTGACACAAGCTTTTCCTTTGAGATAGGCTTTCACCGAATGTGAGGAAAATAGCCTAATTTATTCAATGAAGAAAGAGACAGCCCTATATCAAGCATTGTCGAGTGACATTGTCGCCAATGAGCGTTTAACTTCCAGTTTGACACGAATTGTATGTTCACGTTCTACCAGTACCCTGGATGAAAACCAAATATATTGGCTCTATTTCAATGAGCCAATATTAAACGCGATTTTGTTTCCAATATTCGAGCGAAAAAACGATAAACTGTCGCATATTTGAAAATAAACTACTTGATTTATTAAAAGTGCAATTTTATCCATGTAGAGAATACCCCATTGTTTAACAAAGGGTCCTTAAATGCACTCACATATTCGATGTGTGATACTGATAACAATTAACTATATTTTTTGTTTAAATATAACGACCCTGGTAGCTCAATTCCACTCGAAATTCGCAAATAAATCTGATTCAATATTTAGACAATATAATGCAAATGATGAATCGCCTTGAAATTAGTACCATAAACAAACATCATATGCAGTAGACAAAGTGATAACAATTAGATACTTATCTAGTCTGCCTAGAATAAATTGTCTATAGAGAACGATTTTTCATCAAAACTTTTTTTTGAAGTATATGGCCGGAATTTGTCTGTTCTATTAGAACTTCGACAATGCCTCAAAAGTACAGCAGTAACTTTACCTATCCAATACAATGACACACTTTTTTCGATAAAGTTCATGTAAGCTTGCATATCTTAAAAAATTACCTCCAGATTTAAATGTTCCACCACCAAACAAAAAAATATGTATGACTATTTTGCATGACTATATTGACATGTCAATTGATGTATAAGACTATTGTACCTTAGAATGTAGGCACGGTAATAATTTAGTAATAAACGTTATTATATACAACTCAAATCTGAAGGCAATAACTGCTTTGCAGATATACATACAAACATACATATATTCATAGTATTCTTGTACCTGCTGTATATAATAATACCCTAGATCTGAACACTATCAAAAGATCACATCCAAATTTTTTTCGGTTTGAATGAATTTGATGATGATTGATCAGATACTCAACAAGTCTCGCAATTCTGAGTGCATATTCTAAAAATATTTCTATTATTTTATTATCAAAAATTTAGCGTTTCTGTTGGATCTATACAGAAAAGTATATTAAATATACTGAGTGATAAAAAAAGGTAAACACCTACTTATGTTTATCCGATTTTAATAATTTTTGGCATATATGTTCAGTGTCCCTTACTAGTAAAATGATTAAATTTTAACCTTGATTCGTCAACTGACTGCTGGTTCAATAATGTGTTGAGGATCCACGATTTCTGATACACTCATTGACACGCCTGGTCATCGTGCTGATAAGGCGGTCGATATCCTGTTGGGGTATCTCATTCCAGGCTACTGCAATTTCGTTAGTAAGAGCTGTTAAAGTCAGTGTCAGCTTCTACACGCGGCCACCATAAAAACTTAACAGAAAAACCTGACCTGATAAGGTGGTCGATATCCTGTTGGGGTATCTCATTCCAGGCTACTGCAATTTCATGAGTAAGAGCTGTTAAAGTCAGCGTCAGCTTCTACACGCGGCCACCACAAAAACTTAACAGAAAAACCTGACCGTTTGATCACCTGTTGTTCATGGCAAGATAAATCGATAAATAAAAAATTGAATTCCAATAAAAATACGTACCTAGGTGTTTACCTTTTTTTGTCACTCAGTATAAGTCGATATCACCATGTTCAGTCTGCTTATTTTCGTAGATTATTTCTTCTCAATTTTTATCTGACGCATTTTCGATCACAATTTAATATGGTTCTTTTGTGCAAAAATACAGTTGTTAAAATTTTTTGGTACACATTCACAAAATGTGTTAGTGATATTTGAATTATACTTGGATTTGCACAGAACCCTTTTAACATTAAATTTAATGAACATTCTAGTCCCTAGAATTCATACTCCTGTTTGCTCAATATTAGGCATAATTTTTACATACATGCATCTATATATCTATATTATACACTTAATATACACATACATCTATAAATACGTTTACTTTTACCCATTTTAGCGAGTACTTAATTTGTTATTTCCAGGATTCTGCACATAATTTTGTTAAATGTTGATGTTTTATACATTTGTTGAATAATTTAATAAAGGAAGATATATTTGATTCCTGTCGATTTATTGGCCCTGTCGTGAAGAACGCAATTTGAATGGAAAGTATTTTTGTATAACATGTGAAGGTGCTTAAATGCAGTTCTAAATGAACGCTTATAGTAAATGTAGTTAAAAATCTTATACATAATATTTATGACCATTACGAAATTATTCTTTTGCCTCATTACCTTGATATCGGAGATTTACGGTCGCATCACTACGATTATTTGCCCTGGGAATTCTGTAAGTGCGGAAGAATAAAAAAATATTTGCATGTATTCAAATTTTTGTGAATCTGGTTACAAAAATTTGATTTATTTGAAAACCACCGAATTGAATGAAATTTGTCACAGATGTTGAATAGTGACGTAGCAACCACGCAATGTATGGCGTTTGTGTGTATCTGCTGTTATTATTCTAGATTTTATTGTGGTTTATGTTTCCCTAGAAGACGCCTTTTAAAAATAGCTGATCTGAAAATTTCGAGAGCAGGGTGCTATTACATTAAAAACTACCTCAGAGTCTATCAATAGACTGTGCGGAAAACCAAAATGATTGAAATACAATAACAACCTCAGAAACTGCAGCAGCATCAATAAGGCAGAATCCACAGGCTTTTTGCAGACTGAAATTTTTACGTCGAATCGCGGCAGATATTTCGAGCATTTACTTTAAATAAACTGTACTTATTAGTCGAATAAATACTAAATATATAGCTTCCTAGATGTATTATGAATCCATCCTACTTACGGCCAATTTTAAATGCACACTGGAATATAACCTCACTGTATACCACATTCATGTGCGTATTCCCGAGTCAAAACTATTTTTGTAAATCCTCACAAACAATCTGAACTCTTTTTTCACAACAGGTTTTTTTAAATTACTGTTGCGGCTGACGTTCCTGTTTAATGGTTAAGCCATAATTGCGGTTTTTGAGGTTGTTAGTTCAATCACTTCGTTTTTTCAAGTGTTTTCTGCTGAGGAGTTTTTAACGTAATAGGACAAACTCTGTTCACTAAATTTTTGGCGGCTATTTTTGAAAGGCGAGTCTTGTTTTAGGGACAATAAATAAACCACAATGATCAATTGCAGAAAATAAACACAAATACCCTATATTGCATGGTTATATTATGGCTATATCACGATTGGACATCTCTGTCAAATTTCATTCGATTCGGTGCTATAGTTTTCACACATACCTCGTAGACTATCGATTTTAGAGGCATAGTCGTTCAAGCTAAATGAATTCTTGTGAACTCTTTGTACAAAAAAAAAATGGATCACTATAACCCTGTAAACAGGGTGGCCCATCCTTGTGTGGACGGAATATTACTCATAAACAAATACATTTTGGGAAAATCTATTTATGGCATGTTATACATGATATTTGAGGGCACATTTCTAAAATATTGGCAATTATACAGAGTGTTCCAATTTTGTCCTACATATCAAAGTTGTGATTTGTTAAATGGAATGCCTCAAATTTTATTGCATATTTAAATAAATCAATTCAAAAGAAGAAGATTGATATAACATACTATGGGGTTTTGGTAATTAGGTACTGAGATGTAAGGTGTTTTGTCCACAAAAAACGTCCACTTCGGCAACCCCTCAATCCGCCATTTTGAAATTTGGAGTGCTGAATTTTGTATCAAAGAAAACTTACATACCTCAGCTTTTATCCTATTTGTTATTTTTTCGAATTTTCATTTTTGCTCATACAGGGTGGTCAAAAACGCGAATTGTAGTTTTTTCATTTCATATGCATCACCCTGTATATTTGTGCAAGTTTGGATTCAATTTTTTATAAGCTTTTTTGGTATTAGGTTTGATTTGGATAAAATCACTAGATTTTGAGTTATTAAGCTTTCAATAGAACAACACCTAAATTAAGGAAAAAATCACATCATCCATGAAAACAAAAGACAAACAGCGGGCTAGTTCCATATTGCCACTAAGAGTACAGATTTGACATAAAAACTAGTAACAATCAGAACAGTATAAATCAACTTCAAGCGTAATAGAGAAAAACAACTATAACAACAACATAAACAAACAACTATCACTACTCAAGACCTAATCTACAAAAACTGCTCGAAAATATCTCCACCATGTTGAATAACAGCAGTAGTCTTTGGATAAATGACCGTTGCACATCCCTCAACATGTGTTCTCATATGTTCAAAAAATCATCCTTAATCCTTTCCTTCATATTTTCCGGGGAGATGTGGATATCTATAAGCCCCATAGAAAGAAATCCATCAGTGTCATATCTGGTGATCTAGGTGCAGGAGCAGGTGCGCCGTCATGTTGGAGGTACATATGCATCCAAGTCTGCAGGTTGACATCCTCCAAAAGGAAAGGCAAATGCTCGATCAAAAAATTCAAGTATTCCGTACTTGTTAATCTGCTGTCGAAAAAGAAAGGCCCGATAACTTGTCTGCCAATAACTCCTCCCCAAACGTTCATGCTCTATTTTGGAAATCTGCCTAACCCAGTAAGGGTTTTCCGTAGCATAATAATGCATGTTATGCCTGTTGACAACACCTATGCTGTTAAAAGGTGCCTCATCGCTAAAAAGAACCCACTATCCAGGAAAGTAGTGTCTTCACCCACTTTATTTAGCATTATTCTACTAAACTCCATTCGAGCTACTAAATCCTGAGGACGAAGGCCTTGACGCAAGCATAGGTAATATGGAAATGGATGGTACCTATGCTTGAGAATAATCCTTCGGACAGGAGTTCTGTATATATCAGTTTCTGCTCCAATTTGCCGTGCACTTAAATGGAGATTTTCCTGCAACTTTAATAGAACCTCCAACTGATTCGCCTCATTGGTGACACTTGGATTTTTTATACATTTTTTACTATATTCCACTGCTCCACTTGATTCAAAACGTTCTCGTAGTGTGGAAAATATTTCCGGTCGTGGATGTCGCATATTAGGGTACCGTTGCTTATTTATGCGAGATGCTAGGCCCAAAACGAAAACCATATTCACCATTTCTTCTTTAGAAAAATTCATTTTCAAACACGTTTTTATTATAATGCCCACAAAGCTAATTTTGACAGTTCGTAACTAATCAACAATTTATTTGTTTCCAATGATGATGCGATATTTTAGGAAATTAAGCCGTTCCATAAAAGACGTGCTAATAACCGAAAAAATAGCCGCAAAAGCCTTTATGTGTCTATTATCAAAATAAGCTTATAAAAAATTGAATCCAAACTTGCATAAATATACAGGGTGATGCATTTGAAATTTTTGAGAAAAACTACAATTAGCGGTTTTGACCAGCCTGTAGGAGCAAAAATTAAAATTCGGAAAAGTAACAAATTTCAAAATGGCGGACTGAGGGGTTGCCGAAGTGGGAGGTTTTTTGTATACAAAACACCTTATATCTCAGTAGCTAATTACTAATATTAATTTTCTTCTTTTGAATTGGTTTATCCAAATATGCAATAAAATTTGAGGCATTCCATTTGAAACATCACAATTTTGATATGTAGGTCGAAATTGGAACACCCTGTATAATGGCCAATATTTTAGAAATCTGCCCTCAAATGTCATGTATAACATCCCATAAGTATATTTTCCCAAAATGTATTTGTTTATGAGTAATATTCCGTCCACACATGGATGGGCCACCCTGTATAGTGCACCATTTTTCGAGATATTTGTAAATATGGTTCAAAATGTTGTCGAACAATATTTACAATAAACGAATTTCCTAAAGTTTTGACACAAATAAAACACATATTTTCTTATTCATTTATTAATACCTTACGTAAAATAAGACTCGATATCAGAAAATGTTTTGCCCAGAGTTTCTGGCAAGAAGAAATACAAAAATACAAATCCGAACAGATTCAGTACGGACAAAACGAAAAACAAATGTTGTATAGTTATTATATCCACCAAGTATGGATAAACCTTGACCACAGCAAACATCATCACATAAGCTATCGACACTAGAATTCCTCCAAGCTTGCCTTTCACTTTGACAGGCAGCAATTCTCCAATCAGTGTCCAAGGTATAACTAGGTATCCTAAAGAACTAAAGCAAACGTATCCTAAGACGCAGTATAAAGTGATGTTATCATGAGTGGTTTCGTCTTTTTTTATGTTGAATTCTTGATAGACATTTTGGGGAATGATTGTTAGGTACATATAGAGTCCCGCCATCAGACTAGTGAGACACATTCCTATGGATGAAGTGAACATGAGAGGTCTTCTTCCTACACGTTTAGAAATGGCTGCGGAGATCAATGACATCACGAACCTTATAGTACCGAGAAGTACCAGAGCAACATACTCGTTCATTCCGTCTTGAAAATGTCCACCAATATCTCTAAAAATGTCTATAGCGTAGAAAATTATTACGTAGGCTCCTGACAATTGCTGGATTAAGAAGATTATTATGAGTATTATTAGCGGTTTGTATACTGTGGGATTTTTGTAGACGCTGAGGTTTTTCTTGATTCGTAGGAGAGCTGATCTTTCGTCATTTTTAGTAGATTGTATATTCTCATTTTTTGTGTTCAGTATCCTACGGAATTCACTCTCGAATATCTAAAAATACCATCAAAAATAAAGTATTGCTTATTCAGATTGATTCCAAAACCTGGAGTAGAAACTCAAGAGGTGTTTCATTAAATAGCCTTAGAACTGTCCATAGAATCATCCCTTGAATGTTTGCTCCATGTTTTGTATACAGAGAAACTAAATTTGTCAGGCTTGAGTTAAGTGTGTACGAGAGAGAAGCGCGGGAAGTCAACACACATGTTAGAAAGAGGTAGAGCGAAGGTCATCACCAAATTGCCTAGCGACTGTGACGCAGACGGCCATGTTGCCAATATGTTACAACAGAACATGTTTTCATAGGGTTCTACAATAGGTTAGGCTGCAGTCAAACCCAAGAAGGTCTGTTCGAACATTTAGAACCCTATTTCAGTATCCATCACGCTTTGACGTCTATTGAGGTGAACGGCTGATCAGTAAGTGACACTTTTGTGTTAGTCTACAACGTTGGCAATAATGAATCGGGTATGAATCTAGTAAAACTTGTTTGTGGCATTTTGTTTTTTGTATGCAAATAAACTTTTTTAAATAAAAGAGCTGTCAGCAAGTACAAAATGAATCTATAGTGTACAAAAAAACAGAACAAACTACGACTCTGACGTTGACGGATCCGGCAGAATTATGTGTTCTGTGCCGATATTACTAGATAATCAGCTGTCATTCTAGCGTGATGGATACTTGTGAAATAGAGTATAATTTAATATTTTGATTTCATTTTTATTAGAATAACTTATTTCAATTTTGATGCGACTTATATAGTGTTTTAATTTATTTTAGAATGATTTGCACCAATGGTGATAAAATCACATCCTGTATGTAACAAATGTAACAAATACCATTACGCAATACAAATTATCACTACCTGCGTGTTTGCAGGTGAAAACCATTTCGAATCTGGACGACACTCCCCTAAGAGCACCTGTTGGGTACTGACCAAAGTCGCTCATCTATGATCATGGAGGTGGAAACCTTAATTTGGAATGTACTAGATGGGGTGTTGCCAAGCGAACCAATGAACCGGGATCCATCCTAAACAGATTCGACACAATTCACAATTCAAAAATGGATACGCTCAAAATAAAAGCATTATTTGGGTGTAGAGAATAAACTGATGCAAATTTTCAACATGTATCTTAATTCAAAGAACTGGTGTAACATACTGGGAACGCAGCAGGTTGCTGCCTCAGCATTGCTAGGAAACTCGGTGATGAGCTTCGCTATCCAGCCGGCTTCTATCTCTTTCTAACATATGTGTCAATACACACTTCTCTCTCGTACAGAATGAACTCAAGCCGCCAGACAAAGGTTCTCAGTGTATGTGTATCAACATAACACTTGGGATCAGCCTTTTTTGTTGGAAATTACTCACCAAATTGTTCTTGTAAACCCAGCTTAAGGATTTGGCAGTGGCCTGGGCATCGTCCTTAAAGACCATCGTCCAGTAAGGACTCTCTGGTATGAATAGAATCAATAAGCTTGAAATGGCTGACATACAAAAATAAATGAATGCCATTGTCCTCCAGTGGAACCATAGTCCTACAATCACGTATCAACACGTCCTTTTAAAGATCAAACATAGTACAACTCCGAAGAAATCAAACATTGAGTATCTACTTAGCTCTACGCTAATTTCAGTGCATGTACATACAAGATTAGTTCTGGGAAATATTCAAAAACGTTTATAAATTAAATATTTCAAAAGCTCCAGACACCTCACGAATTATACTTAGTTACAAACACTCCTGATATCATTGTCATTATTTATCTTAGAATAAATTGGCGGAACTTTGATGCCATTTCGAAGAAACTTATAAAGTTAAAGTTCATAGTCGCCCATAGGAAGGTGCCAGGGAGGCCATGCCCCCAGTTGAAAACCCGTTTGAACCTTGAATTGGCCTGGGCATCGTCCTTAAAGACCATCGTCCAGTAAGGACTCTCTGGTATGAATAGAATCAATAAGCTGGAAATGGCTGACATACAAAAATAAATGAATGCCATTGTCCTCCAGTGGAACCATAGTCCTACAATCACGTATCAACACGTCCGTTTAAAGATCAAACATAGTACAACTCCGAAGAAATCAAACATTGAGTATCTAGCTCTACGCTAGTTTCAGTGCATGTACATACAAGATTAGTTCGGGGAAATATTCAAAAACGGGTATAAACTAAATATTTCAAAAGCCCCAGACACCTCACGAATTATAGTTACAAACACTCCTGATATCATTGTCATTATTTATCTTAGAATAAATTGGACGAACTTTGATGCCATTTCGAAGAAACTTATAAAGTTCATAGTCGCCCATAGGAAGGTGCCAGGGAGGCCATGCCCCCAGTTGAAAACCCGTTTGAACCTTGAATTGCCCTGGGCATCGTCCTTAAAGACCATCGTCCAGTAAGGACTCTCTGGTATGAATAGAATCAGTAAGCTTGAAATGGCTGACATACAAAAATAAATGAATGCCATTGTCCTCCAGTGGAACCATAGTCCTACAATCACGTATCAACACGTCCTTTTAAAGATCAAACATAGTACAACTCCGAAGAAATCAAACATTGAGTATCTGGCTCTACGATAATTTCAGTGCATGTACGTACAAGATTAGTTCCGGGAAATATTCAAAAACGTTTATAAACTAAATATTTCAAAAGCCCCAGACACCTCACGAATTATAGTTACAAACACTCCTGATATCATTGTCATTATTTATCTTAGAATAAATTGGACGAACTTTGATGCCATTTCGAAGAAACTTATAAAGTTCATAGTCGCCCATAGGAAGGTGCCAGGGAGGCCATGCCCCCAGTTGAAAACCCGTTTGAACCTTGAATTGGCCTGGGCATCGTCCTTAAAGACCATCGTCCAGTAAGGACTCTCTGGTATGAATAGAATCAGTAAGCTTGAAATGGCTGACATACAAAAATAAATGAATGCCATTGTCCTCCAGTGGAACCATAGTCCTACAATCACGTATCAACACGTCCTTTTAAAGATCAAACATAGTACAACTCCGAAGAAATCAAACATTGAGTATCTAGCTCTACGCTAATTTCAGTGCATGTACATACAAGATTAGTTCCGGGAAATATTCAAAAACGTTTATAAACTAAATATTTCAAAAGCCCCAGACACCTCACGAATTATAATGGGTGATTTTTTTGCTAGTATCTTTTTGGCAAAACTGTTTTTGACAGATGACGCGTGAATCGTGTCTTGTGTCATTGTCAAACTTGTTCAGTTTGGTCTATAATTTAACCATGAATCGACTTACGAACGAACAACGCTTGCAAATTATTGAATTTTACTATCAAAATTCATGCTCGGTTAAGAGAGTGCATCGAGCACTGCTTCCAATTTATGGGCAATTTGGTCGGCCTACTGAGGGAGCTATTCGGAAGCTTGTGACTAAATTTCGAACCCAGTTTACATTATTGGTCATTAAACCACCATCACGCAGACGTAGAGTGAGGACTGAAGAGAATATTGCGGCTGTATCCGCCAGTGTTAGTGATGACTGTGAAATGTCGATTCGCCGCCGTTCGCAGCAATTGGGCCTCTGTTACTTCAGTACGTGGAAAATTTTGCGACAGGATTTGGGTGTAAAACCTTATAAGATACAGCTGGTGCAAGAATTGAAGCCACACGACCTCCCACAACGTTTCCAATTTGGTGAATGGGCGCTGGCAAAGTTGGAGGAAGATCCACATTTTTATCGAAAAATTGTGTTCAGCGACGAAGCTCATTTCTGGTTGAATGGGTATGTTAACAAGCAAAATTGCCGCATCTGGAGTGAAGACCAGCCAGGAGCATTGCAAGAGCTACCAATGCATCCCGAAAAAATCGCTGTTTGGTGTGGATTATGGGCCGGTGGCATCATCGGGCCGTACTTCTTCAAAGACAATGGCCGGAACGTAACTGTGAATGGCGAGCGCTACCGTGCGATGATAACAAACTTTTTTTTTGCCCAAAATGGAAGAGCTGGACTTGGCTGACATGTGGTTTCAACAAGACGGTGCCACATGCCACACTGCACACGAAACAATGGCCCTATTGAGAGGCGAGTTCGGTGAACAGTTTATCTCACGTTTGGGGCCCGTCAATTGGCCGCATAGATCGTGTGATTTAACGCCGTTGGACTATTTCTTGTGGGGCCATGTTAAGGCTAACGTCTACAGGGATAAACCAGCAATGATTGACGCACTGGAAGCCAATATTGAAGCATTTATTCGTGAGATACCCGCCGACATGTTGGAGAGAGTGTGCCAAAATTGGACCTTGCGCATGGGCCATCTAAAGCGGAGCCGCGGCCAACATTTACATGAAATAATCTTTAAACATTAAATTATATCGACCGTTCAATCGACTCAAATAAAGATTTAATCGTTTTTTCAATTTTTTGTGTTTTTTTTGAAAATCAAATCCTGTACCTCTTAAAAAATCACCCGTTAGTTACAAACACACCTGATATCATTGTCATTATTTATCTTATAATAAATTGGACGAACTTTGATGCCATTTCGAAGAAACTTATAAAGTTCATAGTCGCCCATAGGAAGGTGCCAGGGAGGCCATGCCCCCAGTTGAAAACCCGTTTGAACCTTGAATTTGCACATTTAGCATGCTAATGATTTTGTGTACATTTTTTGGAGAGTCTGTAGAGTACCCTCCACTTTGCTGTTCAAAAAGTTTTGGCACCACGCACATTTTTACAAACACTAGCTTCTAGCTATGATCGTCCCCAATCCTGAGAAAAATGCCTGCAAGCGCCTTTGCGTATCAGCAAGCTCAGTTGCTTCTTGGGCAGTACGTAAAAGTTTTTTTCGAAAATGCATTGTGACAATTTTCTGCAAAATGAATTGTGCCTAAGCGACGAAGTTCGTATTATTGTTGATTCACGATCAAGTAGGTCTTGATGCATTGTTTCTTACCTAGAACACACGTCAAGAGGATTCCAAGAGTAACAAATACACTGTTAGTATTCAATAACATTGCTCTCATACTAGGATGCGTGATTTCACTCACATACACAAGACCCACAGTGGTTAGCCCTAAAAAAGATGCACTAAAGGGTCAAAGAAAGTATAGGTATGTAATTAACTAAAACTAAGGGTTAGTCAAATCATGTGTAATGACCTGTAATTGACGAGTTGTTTAGCCAAGAACGTAACATAGAATGAAGATGAAGTGATTTTGTAATTTTTGGCACGGAAATGTTAGGACTGGAACACGGATTTCGTCCAAAGAATTGCTATGAATTGGTTTTGACCTCAAAACTTTTACCTCAGCAGCATTTTGTCCATTCGCTTTAGTTAAAAATTAGTTAATCAAAAATGCTAATGCGAGTTGAACAGGTTGATTGAGGCTGCATATTGCTTATTATACAGGGTGTTTCAGTTTATTGTTGCATAACTTTAGGATTCGATAGAACTTTTAAAATTAAGGCATAAAGTTTATATAAATATGGGTCGAAAAATGCGTGGCTTCCGAAATACAGGGTGTTTAAATTTACTTTCTAAAATGGTTTTTTTTTAAATATTTCGAACAATATTTGATGTATAACAGTGAAAATTGGTATACAAGGGTTTTTTGGTACGACAAAATGAACCATGAGCATAGTTTTACTGTAGCCACTAGAGGGCGCTCTCTACTGTACCTGTAAAATGACTGAACATTTTTTCTTAGTGCAATTTTTTGCTTTTTGAATAAAAAAACTGATTCTTCGCACTTTTCAACATAAAAAAGCTCTCTTGTGAGTTTTCGTTATAGTTAGCCATTTTTGAGCTATTTCGATTTTTAAGGTTCGATGCATTTTTAATTATTTATGGGAAAATAATATTTTTTTTTACATTTTCGATTTGGTCATTACAAGAATTAAGATGATCGTTTAGATTGTATTTTTAAACACAGCAATAATTCCTAACTCCAAATAAACACAAAAAACAGAATATTAATTTGTTTAATTTTCCAATATTATTTTTAACAAATTAAATTAATTATTTACAACTAAAATGCTATTGGATAGTTAGGACAAACATACAAAATCTAAAGTAGTTGCTCGAAATGTAAACCCAATTGTTCAATACACAATTGACATCTACGAATGATCGAACGTGGTATAGCATTATTCAAATAAGGCCTTATTTCATCACATGCATTCCTGATTCTATCTATTAGCATATCTCTTGTGTTTACGGGAGTCTGGTTCACTTTTTCTTTTAGAAATCCCCACACAAAGAAATCTAATGGATTTAGGTCAGGGGATCGTGGAGGCCAGGCGACTGGTCCTCCACGGCCGATCCATCTTTCTGGATAATTTTCATCCAGCCAGTTTCTAACTATTCTCGAATAATGATCTGGACAACCATTAAGCTGGAACCAGGCCAATCTTTTTAAATCGAACATAACATCATCCCACATATTTGCATGTTCAGCCTTTAAAAATTCCAAGAAGGTCGCAGCATTTAACCTTGCAGGCAAAAGGTAGGGTCCAAATAGTCGATTACGGTAGATACCAATCCACACGTTCACACTAATATCCCGAACTGCATGCGGATTTTCATGCGACCAAATATGTTGATTATGAAAATTTACCACTCCACGTCTAGTGAAGCATGATTCATCGGTCCATAAAACGTTACTTAAAAACTCCCTATTATTATCAGTTCTATCAAGAATCTACTGACAAAATGTGATTCTTCGTTCTCCGTCCCCTGGCTGTAGTCCTTGCACAGGTTGCAAATGGTAAGGACGTCTATGGTCATTTCTAGGAACACGGTGAACATGGCTTGCTGAAATTCCCAAGGCACCAGAAACTCTCCTAACACTTGTGGTCGGATCTCTATCAAACTCACGCAGAATCATACGGGTAAATTTGCGCTGACGAACATTTATGTTTTGATCCCTTTGGAGATTTCCAAAACCATTTTCAATTATTTGGCGATGCACTCTTACAAATACTGAGCGAGTTGGATGTCGTCTGTTTGGAAATCTTCGTGCGTATTCTCTGGCTGCTTCTGCTGCGTTTCCATTTACAAAGCCATGCACAAAATGAATATCCGCTAACTCTTGATTGGAGAATAAAAATGGCATTTTTATAAAACTTACAAAAAAAAAACAGGTAAAAGAAACTAAATTTCGTACATTCACAATTGCAAAAAAACGTTTCAGGTTTCAACAGACAACAAAACTAACTGTCAACTAATTGACGTTTAACCTTATTCTGCTTTCAATTTCAAAAATATTTGCAGGCACAGCCTACTTCTAAAAATTATCGAGATACTGACTTTTTAACGTTATTTTATCATAAATAGTTAAAAATGCATCGAACCTTAAAAATCGAAATATCTCAAAAACGGCTAACTATAACGAACATTCATAAGAGAGCTTTTTTATGTTGAAAAGTGCGAAGAATCAGTTTTTTTATTCAAAAAGCAAAAAATTGCACTAAGAAAAAATTCGGTCATTTTAATACACTACAGGTACAGTAGAGAGCGCCCTCTAGCGGCTACAGTAAAACTATGCCCATGGTTCGTTTTGCCGTACCAAAAAACCCTTGTATACCAATTTTCGCTGTTATACATCAAATATTGTTCGAAATATTTAAAAAAAAACTATTTTAGAAAGTAAATTTAAACACCCTGTATTTCAGAAGCCACGCATTTTTCGACCCATGTTTATATAGACTTTATGCATTAATTTTAAAAGTTCTATCGAATCTTAAAGTTATGCAACAATAAACTGAAACACCCTGTATAATTTTGTATTGTTTATGTTTTACTAAATACCATAATTCATTATGCAAGTTACAGAAATAATGTACCTCCTTTTTTTTGAATTTTCAGTAACTTATATTTCATTACACAACTTATGATGGGTATCATCACGGAACATTTAGGACAACGTTGGAGATTATACCATACACATTTTATGCAAGTTGTTGACATATTATTTTTTTAAAATAGTGAGAACTATTCTCATTTGGGTTTAGAAAAATCATTTTTTGAGTAATTTTGACGTGAACCACAAATATTGCATCATTTACGAGAAGATAGTAACACTTAATGAAATACAGAATGTAGTCTAATAACATCCGAACTTTATATGCAGTTTGTTTTTTGCTGAAAATTCTCTTTACAATTTTTGACTTTAGTTTACATCGCATAGTCCATACAGTTCATTTTCCAAGAATCGCTATACAGTGTAAGTTGTTTCTCTAATCCACTTGTGAAAAATGACACCATATACCTTGTCACTATATTCTGTAATTATCCATCATTTAAACGCTTTTGCGTTCCCACAATTGATTATATATTTACGATTTGCGGCATATCTGAAAAACTTGCTCTTTGCATAGTTTCTCACGTTGTTTTAGATGTTTTTATGATGATGAACATTTGAAGTTGCATAAAGAAGTATCACAAGCTGGTAATTGATTATTCTAAAATAAATAATCGTTACATTATTTATATAACTTACATAAGAAGTTAGGTACTTTGACAAAACACAAATATCAAAAATATAAAAAAAAAACATCTGTCATCTATTATCAGAATGGATCACTGCGGAAGTTCGCATTGTCGCATTGTCAGCCGGGTCACCACGAACGCGAGATTACTAGTTTGTTCGATGGCGAGTAACCCGTATCTACTATAGCACCGGAGTCAGCCGCATCTAGCGGCCACAGTGGTAACCTGGCTAACATTACAAACTGGGATACAGTTCCAATACATAGCTTGCTGTTTTCACTTTCGCAGTGGTCGATCCTGGTAATAGATGACACTTTGTGCTGTACTGTTTCGTGTCAAAGGTAGTTCTTATTTCTCGGTAGGCTAGGGGGATTGTGGCAGCTAACTTACTTCCTTGAATGATTTTCTAACAGTTAGCCCCCAAGCCTTTCCAGATGATATTCTTAAGATACATGCAAATATATTTGTTAACTTTACCACCGCTAAAGCCAGCTATAATGCGTGCAATGTAAATGTACCAGACGTTCGTAGCTGCGTAGTGTAATAACCAAGCTATCGAAAATGGAATGTTCGCTATCAAGCAGGTTTTTTTTCTCCCAAGCTTGTCCATAACAGGGCCGATGATTGCTGCACCCAAAGGTAATGCTATTGTTATTATACTGGCTGAAATAAAAAAAATATATACAATATATAACTAAAGAAACATTGGGAAATCCATGGTATAGACAAAAAGTCCTGGGGGTCTTATGTGCGACTTTCATTATAATGTTTTCGAAATCGTAAATGGTCAACATAGTGTAAAAAATTAAACCCTCAATTCCAATTCGACAACGTTCCGAGGGATGAACATTTTAGTTTCATTCAATGAGTTTTTCTAGAATTTCGGTATTGCGAGCCATAAAAAAATATTGAAAGGAATGTCATTTAGCTCCAGCAGAAATTTTTCGTCTCTTCATACCTCATGTAACGACACAGCAAACATGAGCACTCGATCGTTGTTCCTATTTGCTGCTCGCTGACTGCTTAGGCATTCGTGGCTCACTGGACTGAATGTGATGATGTTTGTTTTAACGGGAAGTAAACGAGATTAGAATAGACTTGCCTTTGCGCGCGCGGAAAACCGCGGAAATTGATATACGAGCCCCTTCCAACTTCAGTTGGCCCACTTCAAGATTTGTACCAAAATATGCCTTTATAAACTAAACATGACGAAACTATTTACTTCTAAAACAATTTATTTACCCAAAAACATTTTAGATACACTCTAGTCGTAAAAAATACATATTTGAACTCACTTAGACCTATAATAAAATATCTGAACAAATAAACAATGTGCGAATAAATGCGCGAAGTTAATAAAGCAACAATTTAAAGATTACCATTCGGTAACATCCCCTTTATTTTTTACTACGGCTGAAATTCTTTGGGGCATAGTGTTAACCAAGTTTTGGCAAAAATTTGGTGTAAAACAATCCCATATTTCTTTAAGCTTTTGTCTCAGTTCGGTGATTGTACGAGCAGGATGTTGTCGTAGAACCTTTTTCATCTCGTGCCACAAAGTTTCAATAGGTGACAGATCTGGTCTGCTAGAAATCCATTTCAAAAGTGGTACATTATTTTCTTCCATCCATTTTATAGCCTTTTTTGAGGTATGGCACGATGCACCATCTTGCTGAAACACAAAATCTTGGCCGGATGTCAAACATTTTTCCATCACTGGTAAAAGCGATTCTTCCAAAATTGCCAAATATTTGTTTGTATCCACATTTACATCAATACAATGAAGTTTTCCTACTCCTTTTGATGACATACTGCCCCAGACCATAATGGATGCTGGAAATTTCACTTTTCTCTTCAGACAGTCAACATGGAATGCTTCATTTTTTTTGCGAATAACTCTACTGCGACTGTCACCAACACAAACTTCGAATCGGGCCTCATCACTTTATTGTATTGCACACCATTGTTGAGGTGTCCATTGTCTGTGTTCTTTAGCCCATCTAAGCCGATTTTTCTTTTGCAGTGGAGCTAATAGTGGCTTTTCTTTGGCCTATAAACAAGTTGTGCAACTTTAGGGTTTTTACTTCACTTTTTTTATAAGAACACTTACATTGCAAGTGCTAAATCCCAGTTTGTGGGCCTCTCTATGAGTTGTGGACCTCGAAATTCTTCTTCCAACAGCGTCACTCCACAGAGCAGTAAATAATTGGCACGCCTGTTTTTCACGATTATTCTTCTTAATGCTCTTCGGTCGGCATTTGTGATATTACTTCTTTTCACATATCGTGGCTTAATATTAACTGAACCAGTTACGCTATCTCTTCTAACAATATTTCTCACACTGTACCGCGATAAGTCTAACAAAGTTGCAATTTCTGAGTTTGATTTCCCAGAATTAAAAAAATTAATTATCAGTAACCGAATTTTCTCACTAATAACCTTTCCTCTACCCATTTTGAAAACCTTAACTACCCAAAACTATTATAAACGTATTCTGACAGCTGTGATTAATAAAAACAATTGTCATGGCTTTTATTTTTCACAGCCACCTATGCGTTATAGACTTATTTTGCATTGAAACGAAAATAGGTTGATATGCTGTAATTGCAACATGTGTTATTTTTATGCTGCAAATTTGATTAGGGAGTGATAAAGTTGGTGTTTTCTACTATATATTATCAAAATATTCATTGTTAATATTTTGAACCTATAACACCCTGCTACATTTTTATTATTTGTGTTTGATAAGAAAAAACTAAGATTTCAATAGTTGGGCCAACTGAAGTGGGAAGGGGCTCGTAGTTTATATTAGGCTTGTTCAATTTATGTTCAGAATATATAGTTCTTTCACATTGAATAACACGATTCGAACACGAACTAATACCGACCATGCCGATTTTCCTATATGTGTGTATTCATAACATACAAAACGTTAATCTTAACATACGGTTTTGTGTTGCGAATTTCATTTGGTTCTCATCAATCATGGAAGATTGATGTTACGGTATAATAATAAAATGGAAAAGTATAATACGAATGCAATTAACTTCATTTTATGATCAATAATTTTTGGTTTCAAATGTAAAATGCAAAACAATGATGGAAAATAAACAGGCATAAACGCAAATAATTAAGAATTACTTTGTTCCAGTTGAGGGCGAGGGGGGGTCTAATGGGCAATGCTGCTACAGTATGTATATGCTTGATACAAACCTATCCAAGATGCCTCGGCTTTAGTGATACGTATATTGCTCTTAGTTTCATCTAGTTGAGGTAAAAGAACTGCGCTGAAAGCCATATTGACTCCAACTTGAATCACTATAGTATTTGCTATGCATACTGCTAATATCTAAAACAAAGTTAAAGTTGAACTTTAAATCTCCTGCAGGATGAGAGATTGAATTGTTTTTCTGTATACAGAGAATTCCATATACGATGACGTAATTTGTGCAATACATGTGTTAGAAAGAGATCGAAGCACCACGTTGACTAGCAACCCGAGTGACGAAGCCAAGGACGCAGCAGCGGCTTGCCTCGTTGCCATCGGCGCACTGTTTCTGACATTCGAATAGCATGCTTCTCACGCTTCTCTCTCGTACACATTACGACGTCAGTGATATTTGGATTTCTATGTATATACAGTACAGCCAAACAGCCATGTATCGTGGGTTTTCGGCGCCCGGGGCCGACCGAATATTTGCCCCTCGCTTTATTTTAATTGAGTATAGAAAATTAGCAAAAATCATATAATGCGTCTTTAAATTCATTGATTGCTTAAAAATATACTGTTCGTATTTTTACGTCCCATGCCTACTGACACGAAAACCGTGTCACTCATTTCAGTCGGTCTGTTTGTCAGTCTGTCCGCTAATCTTATAACCGCCTATACCTTGAGAAGTAACCCTCGGATTTCAATGAAATTTTTACACAATGTTACTACTATGCCAAGGACGCAAAAGGTTTGTAATTTTTTTAGGATCGGTCCAGTGGCGGCAGCGAAAATTCCAAAAACGAAATATAACACAAATCGCTCAAACTTCGTTTCTTGATGTTTCAAAGGATCCTGATCATTTATAAAAAGACAGAGGTGAAGGGGGTGGGGGTTGTAATGGTTGGTGGAGAGTATATCTCAATTTTTTGACGATGGTATATTTCTCCAACCCCAGTAATTCTACGCACCTATTTCACTCATCATACATGTGCCCGTACAGTTACCCTGGTCATGCGTTGTGCGTCGTAGATGGTAGTCAATATCATTATCCACGCGGGATTAGCCGTAGCAACGATCATCTGTGCCCGGGCTCAGGGAGAGAGAAAGAGTAATTTAATTTTTTCTTATGTCCGTAGCTAACTTTTTTCTCAGAAGGCTAACTTGTGCCGAAAGTAATCCTTTACGAATTGATGGCGGCGTTGCGTGGGAATTACAAAGTCAACTTACTTGATGCCATTTTTTGAAAGTTGTGGAAGTTGTTTTGTTATAGATCACATAAGTATCCTATCATTGCAATCATTTCCACAAAATGTGTCCCCGTACAGAGAACGTCTACAAAAATGTGAAATAAACAAAATATATAGTTGTCAGGGGGTTGATATTTTCCAATTATATTCAGCCCCTCTATCTCCCTATGGGCGCCCATGCGGTATATATTTAAACGAGCTCGAGTTCGTTAGAATAGGACAGCTCTAAACTAATTGGGTACTTCATGTACTTCATTGGCGACAATTTTTTCGTAACACCCCGGTAATCTGAATAGGTTTTGCTACAGTTTGTTTGGATACGGGATTCGTTGGAGTGTAAACAAGTGATTCTCCAATGAATATGATCAGTGCAAATTGCACACGTTACATAAATAATATTTCTGCGTGACGCAATGGAATCTCTACGGTTATCTCGCAAATTAAAAGTTTATTGACTTTAGCGACATATCAACAATACCATGACATGTTTCAAAAATAATTCTTCCACATCACTCTCAAAATATGAGTAAAAATAGTACCTGTTTCCAAGCGTCCTTCAACTTCACATCGGTAACACTGTTCCTCAGTTCGTTGCTAAGTACCACAAAAACTGCACTTTCCTCTGATTTCTGATATTCTCCAGAATAACATATTTGTTCTTCGCCTTTTTCAGTATCCATTGCATCAAAAACTATCCAGATTCCGCAGATATTGTAGAAACGCGCCACATTTGTTTATATGGTATTCTACTGATGTCTCTGACTTAACTGATAACAAATATAACCACACAATGTTTGTCTGTGTAGCTATACGTTTAAATGCTATAATAATTGGGAGCGTAAGCATCAGACGGAGAGTATCTATTCAACAATGTGGAATGTGTATGTAAAATTAGATCCATGCTTAAGCGCGTTTTTTGAATCGTAAGATATTTTCTGCATACGAGGGAGAATTCGTATTAATTTTTATACTGCAGTAGCCGCGAAGGAATAGGTGGTCATTCTGGCCAGTTCTCGATGTATAATTTTCGACATGGAAGGAGAAGTGGAGGTTTAGTAGGTCTGTTTAGCATACCTAGCGCGAGGCATCAACATAAAACTCCTCAACAAAACCGCAGATCACCGAACGCCTGTCGAAGTGAGACTGTCTTTTAAGGACTGTCAGTTCATCGAGTGATTCTAAGAGGAAAAAGTTGTACATGGTGTTTCGTATTTAAATGACCGTAATGAAGTGGTAGGAAATGTGTACCAACGAATTCAGACTAGGTTGAAGGATCCAGTCAAGGATTTGTTTGTTTCCTGATCCTTATAGTCTGCAGTGAAGACTAAAGTGCACTTGACAGAAGGCAATGCTTTGACAGTTTTGTAATTGAATTCCTATTTTTAGTGTTTTTTTTTTGAGAATGCGAGTGCTTGCAGATAACTGTGATGTTCGACGATTCCAACATGTGGTACCTACTTCTTACCTAATTCGGCACACGGCTAATGAAGGTAGATGCTTCCACCACTATTATGATACAAGACTGTCACTTTGGTAGGTATTGATAATTGATACCCAAATGAACCGAAGGCATGCCCTAAAACTACGCAGTTTTCGCGACAAACAATGCAATGTAAACATATAGGCTCCTTCGAATTCGTAGGTATGAACTGACAACTGTTTTATATCTGAAGATAAAAAAGTTCCAATTTTTCATGAATATGCAGGGTTATTTGTCTAAATACTTACGCCTAATCATTAATATCACATACTCTTATCTCAGGCACTATTGAACCGACTTATTTGGAATTTTACACGATAACAAGTTACCTACGAGCAAGGTAAAACTAGACGGACTCGGTTTTTTCACTTTTTTGTTTTTTTTAATCAAAATCAACACCTTTTAAGCTGCATATTGAAACGACTGGCTATCTCAAAAAAGACCATGAATGGTCCTAATTAATTAGGAAAATAGCTGTATATGTGAACCAAAACTTAAAATTTCAAAGGCTCTCATCTTGGCTTCATCAAAGTCTTGCAAAATAGTGCTTAAAATTGAGCTAAAGGGCCGCATTCAGTTTTTTTTATTTCTTTGTATTGTATAAAGTACAACACTCTATGAGCTATAGATACTATGGATTTGTTATTATTTCGCAGGAAAAAGAGTATTACATAATAACAATTAAAGGGGAAATTAATCTTATGCACCCTCTTTTTTGTTTTAATGATTTAATTCGATCAACTGATTTTATTCAATAATATGAGTTCTGCTTTAAAAGGAGATGGCATCTGGTGTGCAGATACACTGAATTTGACAAGATTATGATAAAAATGTAGAATCAGCAGGCCCGGACTAAATATTTTCAACACAGTCAAGCTTACCTGTTGTCACCACAAGCCTACGTTAGGTTTAGCTACATTATGCAAACATGGTACTTCAGACAAAGATGTCGCTCGGACATGTATACTACATTTTTATGGATTTTTAACCTACAATTAATTTCGACTTGGTCTGGAAGGTCTAATTTAGTGGAATTGCATATTAAATGAGGTTTTCCTTTCTCAGCAGAACTCATGCTGTTGTACAATATCAATTTGTAGAATTAAATCATTACAAAAATACCGTCAAAGGTAAATAGGATGCATTAAATGAATTTTCCCTTCTGCTTATGCTATACACTACTCTTTTTTGCGAACTGATAATAAATTCAGAGACATGGTGATGAGACCAAGTTGAAAACCATTGACATTTTGAGTTCTGTGTCACTTAAACTGCAAAAAATAAGATGTTTGAATAAATCAAGAGTTTTAATTAAAAAATTATTAGTTTTTTGTACATAGTCAAATATTTCAATAGCCAGCTTGAAACGTACTGACTTATGAGAAACGAAAAAAAAAATTAAAAAAATCGAGTCTGACCCTGGATTTTTTAGCCGTCGGCCTTTTTTAAGTTACTTCTTGATAACAATAGCACCTGAGATATGTAATATTGAAGATTTCACGCGCTGAGATAAATCACCTTGTATATCCCTAAAAATTGATTTTGGATTTGTTCTTCCTACGTCACTGAGCGAGGAAATATTGTAATCGAAATTAAAATTTAACAAGGGTTTGAAATTGTGGGGTTAGCTTCACGTCGAAATCGAAAAAAATACGCAACATGTCATGACTGTCAGTAGTCAGTACTGACAAATTACCGGGGTTCACTTTAGTGGTCAATAAAAACTCTTTTTTGTCGACATTCGTTATTTGCTGTCGCTGTCAAAAATAATGTAACGGAAGGCTTAACGATTCGTTATTTTTGTTGCACAAGAAACTCTCTGATAGAACGTGTTTCACTTGTACTAAAGAAGTAACGTTAACGAACTCCCGCAGCCTCTACAATCTTCCACTCCTAAGTTCGGACCCCTTAAAAAATCCCAAATGAGCAGAAGGGAGATTTTTTGTCACCCCCCATTCCGCTGCCTCTGGACCGATTTTCATAAACTACAAAGATTTTTCGTTCCTGGCATGGTAGTAATGTTGTGGCAAAATTTCACCAAAATCCGAGCGAATATAGAGGGGTCAAGGACTAGCGAAAAGACCGACATAAAGACAGACATCAATATCAAAAACATACTCGTATTCGAAATTTGTCGCGATAATACTTCCTCGCCACTTAGCGTGAGAATTGAATATTTAATAATAATAATAATCCGGCTTTATTTATACAAAGTGTAAAAAGGCGAAGTGTCCCTAAAAAGCGTTTTTAACTTTAATGCATTTAAATTTGGCTGATCTAAATGTCCATGACCATTTATGGTATTAACGTAACGTGATGTATTAAATTGAATTTCCAACAATATGACGTACCTGCTAAATGTCAACAAATGTCAATAAAATCGGCTAAAAGTTTATTGCGAGTTTTGTGCAAAAATGAATTTTCATAAAATTCAACAACAATAATTCAACAAAAAAAGGACAATTAGCGGAATTTTGTTTATACTTTTCTTCTTAGAATCACCGCTTGAAAATTTCCCCGGTACTTTGTTGAGTTTCTGCATATCAAAAACAAGCTGTATATCCCTAGATCCTATAGAACTAACGAACAAATATTTTTGAGAAGATCAGTAAACGTCGCATTTTCATATGTATAATTCATTTTTATTCACAGCATTAAATATGTAAAATTATATTTTGCGGCGTTTTCTATCTATGTAAAAAATGGAATTATCATTATGCACAACATCCATATACAAATTTCAAAGGTCACAGCTGTGTTATTTTACATTGTATCTATGGCTGTTAGATAAAACCTAGTCTACTATTATAATAACATGTTGGTTGACTAGTGCCATTAATAGACCGATGAGGCTGTTGGGTGTCTGGTTCGATGCATAGGCGGACTTGGGGGGGCATGGGAGGCATTGCCTCCTCTCAAGATCTATCGCTATGCTACCTCTTGTACGCGTGAAGAAAAATGTTCTCTACTCTTCTTCATGAAGTAAAATAACTTTCAAGAACTAATTTAAATTTCCCCCAACTGATGGCTCGTACCGCAATCATATACAGAGAGAGAGCCTAGAGCACCACCTGAGGTGAGCTCAGTTACAGAGAACTCAGTCTGGGCCTGGGATTATAACGAAAAAATTCCATGAATACTTCATAGTGTCCACTAATGGGCATCAAAGGACAGTTTGCTAATATGCATAATTTGGTGAAGGAGAATTGCCGCTCTGACCTGTACAACCTCAGTCTTGGGCCAGTAGAATCACTCTGGATGATATTTGTCAGACGAGTGAATTTTACGAGAATTTTTGTCAAAATTTTTCCTAAAAGTGTTAACACTAATACACTAATAGGCCAATAATTGTCAATTTTAGTTTAATTTTTTTTATTTTATTTTACAACTTTGTTCATAAAAAGAGAATAAAGTTTTTCCGATTTTCCTGCTTAAAAGCCAATCTGGTGTACATATAAATGTTGATCAAAGTAAAAAAATCAACAAATCGAGCTTATAAATATTTTTAATTTTTTTCCAAAAGTGTTGACAACACTAATACACTAATAGGCCAACAATTGATAATTTTATTTAATTATTATTTTTTATTATACTTAATTTCAATTACATTCCCAATTTCAATAGTCTTTAGTTTTTGTATTCGTGTTCGATTTCTTACAACTTTGTTCATAAAAAGAGAATAAAATTTCTCCGATTTTCCTGCTTAAAAGCCAATCTGGTATACCTACAGCTAAAATGTTGATCGAACCAATCGAGCTATCAAATGTTTTAAAATTTTTTGCCAAGTGTTGATAACACTAATACACTAATAGGCCAGTAATTGATAGCTTTAGTTTAATTATTATTATTTTATTATATTTAATTTCAATTACATTGTCAATTACATTTTCAATTACATTTTCAATTTCAATAGTCCTTAGCTTTTGTATTCGTGTTCGATTTTTCACAACCTTGTTCATAAAAAGAGAATAAAGTTTTTCCGATTTTCCTGGTGTACAGCTAAAATGTTGATCGAAGCAAAAAAATCAACCATTCGAGCTATCAAATGTTTTTAAATTGTTTTCCAAGTGTTGATAACACTAATACACTAATAGACCAATAATTGATAATTTTAGTTTAATTATTATTTTTTTATTATACTTAATTTCAATTGCATTCTGATTTTCAATAGTCTTTGGCTTTTGTATTCGTGTTAGATTTTTTACAACTTTGTTCATAAAAAGAGAATAAAGTTTTCCCGATTTTCCGGGTGTACAGCTAAAATGTTGATCGTAGCAAAAAATCAACCATTCGAGGTTTCAAATGTTATTAGATTTTTTTACCAAAAGTATTGATAACACTAATACACTAATAGGTCAATAATTGATAATTTTAGTTTAATTATTATTTTTTTATTATACTTAATTTCAATTACATTTTCATTTTCAATATTCAAATATTCAAAAAGCAAGTTCTGACTATCAGAGACTGTCAAGTCGTCATCCATACAAATGGATGATATGATCTTGCCTTGCTACGATTTCAAAAGAAGGTTTGCTGAATAAGCATTGGGGGTGAATAGCTATAGAAGGAGCAGAACCATTTTTTAAAAAATATCCTGAACCGGGAACAAAATGATGTTTATAGTCAAAATAGGTACTTTTAGACATGTTTTGTAGCCGGAGGAAAAGTCTAAAACCTTCTAAGGAGTTGATGCAGTTAATGCGGGGCTTGGTTTTCGATCACAGTGATATTTAGCCGAATTTTATAATTTTTTTTCAGGATTGGTTTTCACTCTTCCATCCAGTAATGCAACTTGTGAGGCGTGCATTTTCCAGGATGTATCCCATTAATAAAGTTGGCTAACATGTTCAATGGGCCAAGAGCGGTTTTCAAAAATAGTTGTTTTGCTTCCAGAATCCGACATTGTGATGCATCTAAAGTTAAAAGTACTAAGCAACAAATTTTAGAAAAGGGGAACCCGGAATAATAGTTTTTCACTTAATTCACAATTTTAGTTTTCAAGGGCTTCTAGAGACTTTGCAGAATCCGTCACCCCCCAATTCGTTCTTCAATTTTCTATAGCGGAATAAAATTTAATTTTCATATTAGGAAACTTGTAATAGATGTACAACCCCCGGAGTACACTTTCTCTAACGCCGCTTATGGTTCGATGACTCTATGACATTTCAGTAAATTTCATAAATAAATTCAACAGATTATTTTTTGGATCCGCATGGTTTACCTACTATAATTTTTGTATGCATTTACTACGTTTGCAGCCTGTTGTTTATGAATGATTTCAAAATTATCAGTTTCATTGTTGAAAGGCACAGAACGTGGTCGATGCCTTTTTTTCAATAACTTCCATGAGAGTAATTTTCAAATTGTATATTACTGGTGTTTATCTGTTTATATGAACAAGAAGCTGCAAAACTTGCCTTCCAAAATTGAAACGTAAAATATCGTGAAAATGGCCATATTTATGCCGTAGGTATAGCCAAGTGCTTAGATACCCCATGTCTAAATAGTTTTGTGCGTAATACCGCGGCTATACGCCATATATAGTACTTTTCACGAGTATTCATTGCGGTAGAATGACAGCTGATTATCTAGTAATATTTCAAAATTCCCCATATCGGCAAAGGACACATAATTCTGACGTATCCGTCAATGCCAGAGCCAGATAGACAGAGCCATACTTTGTTTTGGTTTGTTGTACGCTACAGATTCATTTTGTATTTGGCAAAAACTTTTTTATTTAGGAAAGTTTATTTCCATACAAAAAACTACAAACAAGTTACGAGTATAGACCAATACATTGATGTCACTTGTTGATCAGCTGTTAACCTCAGTAGACATCAAAACTTGGATACTCGTGAAATAGGGTTTGTCTTCTTCCTTCTTCTTATCTACTTTTGACAGTTAGCGCGAGCAAAATCGGGCATTGCTGCATTAAATAAAATGTGTGGTCACATCGTTCGTCGGCGTCCGGAGTAAAACCAAAACCTATTGGCTAACGCATTTGGTGTCGGTGGGAAACACAGCTAATTTAAATGATTTCTCTTGTATCTATCTTTCAATATGTACGAATTTCAAATAAGTTTTTTCCAACACTCGAGTGAAACACGAGGATAAACTGCATCATCCCTGGAAAATAGAAGTAAGCAGCTACTGTTTGGGATTCCAACACGGACAAGGTAGAAGGTAGAGTCAAGGATAAACCGTTGTCTCCTAATTCTGATGTAGTGGGAAATAAAGTGCACGTGACGTCAATCAATTTTTTTACACTTGTCATTAAATTTAAATTTTTTATTTTATTTTTAAGACATAGTACTTTTTACATAATTTGCAAAGAGAACAACACGCCTAATGACGGTAGATGTTACCACCTGTACCTATTATTGTGTTGATACAATGCTGTCACTTTGGTGGGCAGAAAAACGAGTGAACAGTATGCACCAAGACTACGCAATTTTGGCGACAAACAATGCAACGTAAACTCGTAAACACATAAGATTGACTCCTTCGTTGCCCGATACCAATTCAGAGCGTTTACGTTTCCAATGTTATACTGAATAGACGATATATATAGGTATGATCAAAGTACCTAGGCTGAGAATTAGTAACACACAAGCGATTTTAAGTAAACAGACATAACGTGTTTCAAGGAAAATAGCTACGTAGATAAAAGTCTTGCCTTGGAGGAGCGCATCAAGTACGTTGCATTATATTTAATAACAATGTCATTAAAGCAACAAACATTGACTGGAGTCATTTTAATTTTAGATTTTATATTACAAATGTATGTAACAATTAGTTTTCTCGTACAATAACCTATAGTACCAGCAATGTAATAAGCAGTTTCTTATTATATAGTGGCACATCATAAAAAAAAATTTAGGGTCAGAAAAATTAGTACCTTTAATTGTAATACTAGGAATAAAAATCATTACTTACCTTATTTGAAATAATTCCGGTTTTGAAGATATTACCCTTAAATGTAAGAAAGGCTTATTTTCGTCATTCCTCGAAAAATATTTAAAATTTTATAAAACTGTATCCCTAGAATGGAAGCTGGGAAAATTGACTATATTCTGTATCTCACAATATTTGTTTTTTTATTTGGGTGAGATGATCCCAAACAAATAATAATCAAAATCATATCGGAGATAGGAACCTTGGGTAGTGCACAGAATGCGTGTGTGAAATTGTCACTAGGAATTAGTAATTTCTTAAGAGATTGCATCATTCCATTTTCAGAGTAATGGCCATATCAACGTTCAGTATACATTCCTTTTTAAGAAGTGTTAAAAAATCCAAGACCGCGATTCAATATAAGTCGGCCTATATATATTTGTATCACAAACAATACTTGACATTATACTTTGTGTGACTATCAACATGAAATAAAACGATCAAATAATAAACTTTCTGTTTCGAGCTGGATTAAACGGAACTTTACTGATAATGTACGATCTTGAAAGTCATCCAGTTTTCTAATTTATCAAAAATATTGTTCCTGGAAGTATAAATGAGCGAATAGTGTCAATTAAATCGACTAATACCCAATTCGAACAAACTATACACGTGCACTTTTGTAACAACAAACCACGTCTGCGTAGCGAACACTTTTTAGACGAAACCGCATTATTGATGGGAAATTGGGCTGCCAAACACACTTAAATCAAGTCATTAAGAAAATCAACAGTGCATACCTCCAAATTTTGAGTCTAAAGCCCATAATCTCTAAAAAAGTCCTTTTAGATAATATGTATCACGCTTTGGTTTACCCTCAACTCAGCAATAGTGTAATATTATGGAGACAAGTAGCCATGATCAACAAATGTTTCATCTTACAGAAAAGATTTTTCAGATTAATCTCTAGTATTAGTATAAGATATACTCTTGTAATGCTATCTTTATAAAATATAATCGGGTAACATTAACATCCACTTACAGTACCGTTCAAAAATATTTGAACACCCAGAAAGCAAAGAAAATGATGGAAATTATTAAAGAAAACATTACAATATCTGTATGAAACATTTATTTTTTGATTCTTAATAACATACAACTATTTATAATCAAAATAATCATATTTGTTACTCATCAATATGTCCTCCTTTACTTTTAATTACGGCCTGGCGAATGATGGGTAAACGCGCAACTAATTTTTCTAAAGTGGATGGGATTATTTTTCGCCATTCATCTCGTAATATTCTCCATAAGTGTTCTTGAGATGTAGGACAAGATTTCCGTACTTGTCTGTCCAGTTCATCCCACAGTAACTCTATCATTCCAATCTGGGGATTGAGGAGGCCATTGCCTGACGTTCAGAATATTTTGCTCTTCTTTTGCTTCCAAAAATTGTTTACAGAGCTCGAATGTGTGCTTGGGGTCACTATCATGCTGGAAGACAAACACCGGACGAATAAGACAAGTCCCAGAAGGCACAAAATGATTTTGTAGTATGGCTTCTTAACCTTCTTTATTCAGTATTCAATGTACTCTCACAATATCAGCCAGAGCCGAACCATCAAAACAGCCCCAAATCATTATAGATTGACTGAAGCGACGCACAGTGGGGCAGTATAGTTATGCACAGTTGTTGCTTATTTTATGTTTGAAATATTTAAATTTTACAACAAACAAACATGAACAATTGTACATTTTTTTTCTAAAGTAGTTTTAAAAATATCTTCGCGAGTCTCGATCTTGTTTCGACAAGGAAAAGTTTGGCTGCTCAGGAGTGCACAACGAATAGTTAAACTAATTTTTAGGGAGAAATACCTGGCGCGTCATTAATGGACGTGTGACTGTAATGCATTGATTATTACCGATCGGACAACTTTCTGAAGAGGCCCAAGAGTCACGCAATAACGACATTAAGAAATACAGATTAAATAATGCAAGAAAATGCTCTCGAATTTGAGAGATATCTTCAATAGGCTGTTAGTAACATCAGATCCATTTCTCTCCCGCATCAGGAAATTGCCCCAGAGACCGGCGAAATCTTTATATAAAGAAGCCCTACAATTATTAAAACAACCTGAAGTCACCAGACAAGAGACAAGGAACGATTCCGATTTAGATACAAGTGGGTCAACATCAGAATCCGAATCGAATGATTCGAACATTGAAGATGACGTACAAGATTTTTGTTACTAGAAGTAAATAACAGATATTCATTTTGTTGCAAATTTTTTATAAAATAAATTTTTGATAAATAAAAAACATTGCTCGAAAGATTTTTTACTCATTAAGACCTAAAAATATTATAAAATATTTTCTATTTAAAAATATTAAAAAATCAATATTTTTTGCGGAATCCTCCATATATCGCGTCTGCTATTTTGAAAATTAACATCTTGATAACCAATTCGTAATTAGCGATTCCAAAAACCATAAACAAGTACAATTGGGTATTTTTACTGGATTATCTGACCAATTGGTTAAATTACGTCCGCCATTTTGGGTCCGCCATTTTGAAAATCGTAATTCTGATAACAGATTCATATTCAGCGACCCCAAAAACCTCCGAGAAGAGAATTTGAGATCATTTACGACACTTTCTCTGAATTTTGGCCAGCTTTTTGGGATTCTGCCCCACTATGCGAGGGTGCATGATTCTAATGCCCTCTCGTTAGGCAGACGGCGGGCAAATACTCTTGAACGGTAGTGAATATACCAGAAATGCACTCTCTTCACACTTAAACACAGAAGCAGATTTATCCAAAGCAATTCAGTTAATACACGCTACTGAAACATCGGAACCGGCTTTGATTTGAGTATACCGGGCCATTTATCTGCTCAGTTTCAGAAATCCTCACTCTTTACATCTACAAAATTTTATAATAAATTACCAACTGAGTTCCGCAGAAGAACCAACATGCTTATACTGAAGAAACATCTGAGAAGATTTCTATCTCAAAAATGTTAGTACTACTGGACGAATACTTTACTACTCGACTTTCAGTATCGATACAATAGCACAATTTTCAGACTTAGGTAATGCGGCAGCTAAAATTCCACTCAATTATTCTAAAGCCCTTGACACCTTAAACATAAGGGGAAATTATTTATTTTACCGACATCATATTTGTTATATATATCGTATATTTGTTCATTGCATCTGTAAAAATTCATCTTTGTATCCACTCTTTTTTTCTTTCAGCTATTTGTCTATTTCTTAACACTGGTGATATTTATACACAATGATAATTTCATGCAACTTATTAGTAAGTAGTCTTGCCGAAATTCAAGAAAAACGAAGGACAATCGTGTGCATCTCCGCAAGAAGCAAACAGGCGCAGAAATAGTAGGATTACATTTCTGCTTACTCGCTTCATCAGGCCCAAATGGATCGGCATGGAAAACACCAAAGTGAAAACATATGCCTATAACATCTAAGTTCCCGCAAGACTACTAGTCTTACTTTGATTTTAGATACTCATGGCCTTGAAGTACCTCGGTAGGTAGCTATCGCTGGCCCTTTGGAGATGTTGCTATCCAGATGCAATGGATATATCTTTTAAATTTGCTATTTTTGGTGCACATCCATTTGGGCCTGATGAAGCCAATAAGCAAAAACGTACGTCGCTCCGGTTGCCAATCTTTCTATTTCTGCTCCAGTTCCTCTATTGCCCAGTATCGCCCTATGTATAAGGTCGACAAGTCTTAGCCCATAATTTTTCATGACCAATAAGACATTCAAGTTTATCTATTTATGTATGGATATCCCTGGCAAAGTGGCAGTCCAAATATCGAGGTGTACTATACCTTCTGTTCGATCATTGATACAGGGTAATATTTGGAATAGCGAATCAAACAAAATTCCTCCCCGGTCAGCGAGGCAGCGTTGAATGTCGCCCTTCAGCCCCCGAGTGTCTGAGGGCTTGTTCTCTTACATCATAAATAAATCTAGCCGTGTTAGGGCGGCTCCGACGCAGTGAGTTTCAAGCCATTTACAAGGGTTCAGCTGCTTCGCAACTGACACTCCATTTTTCAATATTTTTGAATGAAATTCATACCGTATGTTCAGAAGATAATTGCACAGAGTGCTATAGGAGCACTTTTTGAAATTTTGTTTGCACAAGTTTTATGACGGGTTGAAGTGCGCACTTTTTCTGTTCAACTTCGCGATTTTTTTAAAAAGAATCTACTGAAAAAAATGAAAAAGTGGACCTATAGCACCCTGTGGGGTTTTGTTTTCAGCACACTATGAAAATTTCATTCAAAAATATGAAAAAATAAAGCGTCAATATCGTATTTTGGACGAATTTTGTCTACTGTTTCTTGCTGCCAACCCAAGCGTTGCGGTGCAATGTACTGACTAAGAAAGGACGTATTCAGATAATTTGGTGGCCCTATTTCATATACCTAATATTGCATAGACAAGTCGTTCTGCAAATAGGTACTCATAATCGCGACCGCTGATACTCCTCGATTTTAAAGCCGTTTGACTTCCCACGCCAGTGGCGAGGAAGTATTGTGTTCGCGAAAAATTTCTAAAATGAGATGTTATGTTTTTTTTTAAGTCATATTATATCTACATCACGAAAAACTATATCACTCATCATCAACTTGGAAATTACCGCTCGGATTTTTATGAAATTTCCACACGGGGTTACTAGTATGCCAAAGCTTTGTAGTTTTAGTCCAATGGCAAGGGTGCTATAGGCAAAAAAGAAAAAGTAGCAATTGCTGAAACTCCGTTTTTGACGGTACGGGAGATCCTTATCATTGACATATAAAAAATGTACTGCTTAAAAGGTGGGGATTGGGGGAAGGTGATTCTAAATGTTGCATCTTTGATATCAGTGAAACACATTCTATTATTAAGAAGCTTCTGGTCCCAGTGATTGCAGGAAATTTAAGTAACGAAAATCCGACGAATAATGTGCTCATGGTTTGAAAAAATCGGTACCTGCTCTATAGGTTTGACACCAAGAGCCAACAGATCTATCTGCAACTGCCGACAGTAGGGAAGAATGAATTCGGATATCACTCCAGTCAAGTATAAGGGAATTTAGCGTGGAACTTTAGAATTATCGATATGTCAAGGAAATATGTTTTTGAGAACGATAATTTGGTAGATTTTATACCTGCATTTTCATTTGAATTTCATGACCCGTGAAATGTACCCATTTCGCCGTTACCTTCAATTTGTGTTCTGCAGTTTGTGATGTTTTTCTAGATATAAGCAGGACATAATTGCCTAAGGTGCTACCAGAGCTTTTTACAAAATTTTGTCTTTGTGCAAGAATTATGGTGGTTGAAATGCTTACTATTTGTGCTCAACTTCTTGATATTTTAAAAAGATCTTAGTGGATAAAATCGAAAAAGTGTATCGTTAGCATGGACTTTGTTTTTAGCACGCTGCAAGAGTTTTATTTGGATATAATAAAAAATGAAACGTAAGCTGTGAAGCGCAAATCGGTTTTTGGGCGAAATTCGTCTACTGTTTCGTCCTGCCAGTCCAAGCGACGCGACGCGATGGTGCTTGCCGACTAAGAAAAAATGTATTGAAATAATTTGATATCTTTAGTAAAACAAATTCAAGAACTCAAATTCAAATTCGTTTATTCATGTCAATAAACACAATTATGTTTACAAGGGTCATGTGGTACATGGTAACAATTGCACGAGGGTCATAAAAATATCTTATGCCGTCAAAATAAGAGGAAACAGTTAGGTAGTTTTTGCAAAGCAATAAACAGCTAGGCTTATACCTGGATTAAGTACATTTCTTGTCTAAAGTAGATGGCGGCGATGCTGCCAGAAATGGATTTGTGCGATCAATCAACAAACCACAAGATTGAACTGCCGTGTCCAATTTTTTTTGTATTGCCTTTTTTATTGCTTTACTAGAAGACTCTGTTGGGTATATGATGGAGTTTAGTAGAACTTACCAGCTTGTTGTCTGCCTTCTTCTACAAACTTCACCAAATCGAGACGCTGTCAACCTTATCTTCCGATGAAGGCGCCACAAACTACAGTCCTGTGATTTGGTGACTTGTTCGATCTGCAAAATCTCATCGTCACTTTTTTTAAGTTTCCCTAAAAATTCTTGCTTAGCAACCTCCAAATCAATGTCGTTCATGTCAGGTTTTTGACAGAATTCGCCATAAAACTATTCATTTTCTTTGGAATTGCTATCCGAATTGTTAGTTATTCTTATATCAGCTTTTTTGGCCTGAGTTTCTTTTCAAGGTTCTTGCGTTTGAGTCTTTGTTCATCTTAGCGATAAGCAAGGTTGGACTAAGCTTAGAGCGCAAATGTATTTGGACCACATAGGCCGCTGGGTATTGTGGCTAACTACAGCTGCAGCACATCTTCCACGGTATGACCTCTTCTTGCAATAATTTATTCCCCAATGTATTTTGCGATTATAGAGTTGAACTGCTCCACACTATTGTTGACCTCATCATGAATTCGTGATTAAAATGGTCGCATATGACCTTTTATTGTCCATTATCAACCTTGATAAAAAAAGGCACTGAAGAACAATCACACCAACAAGAGTACAGAACAACAATTCAACAACACAATATCGACGAACAGTAACAAGGGGAAAAAATACTAAATGATCACTTGCTGAGTACCAAAATAGAGGGAACGATTTACAGGCTAGGTCGCTAATCGAAATCCGACTCTGTTATTATAAAAATTTACCTTGGTATGCACCCGCCGTCATCCTTTTCTCTTTTAAAGTAGTGCCGACGCCCGTCTAGGGTCTAGGGCCAGCCCACCCTCGTTTCCATTTCACCTCCCCGTTACCTCAGCAGATGGTGCTCGTGATTGTAGGAGCCCCGTTAAGTCAGGGAGCCATGTCTAATCATCGAAACGCGAGAGGAAAATAACTTGTGCAGCACTTTAGATATTTCACGGCTTGTATATGTAGGATACGAACGAGATGATAATAATGGAATATAACGATAAACATGAAAACCACAAACCTATCTTAGAAGGTTTCGTAGTACCACCCTGTACCATTTTATTTTTACTACATGGGCAGTCTGTAGATAATTATAATTCGATATGGGCAACAATGTTAGGATAATATTAAAGCCACTTACTTGGTGATGGAACTGCAACGAGTTATCCTTCTTTGGCAAGCGATAAGGGCGATATGATTGGATTGTCGGGACCAATACCGATTTTTAGAAATATGACTTGAGTACCTCCCATATTCAACCAACTCATAACATGCACT